GGTCCAGTTGTTTGTCGGCTTGCCGGTGGCCGAGTCTGTGCACTGTCAGCGTGGCGGGAATTGTTGCACACGGCCCTCCGCTTCAGTCTCAATCTACAACAACCCTGAGCAAATCCCAGCATAGCCTCATGAGGCTCGCTACGTATTCAACTTACCTGGTGCAATATGCCGTCAGGATATTTAATAGCTGTTGCACATTCGGCGCTCCTCACCGCGGTACCGGCCCCAGCAGGCCTGTCTTTTCCATCTCGTTTGTTGTTTCATCGTTGCTGACTGTAGCCAGTGTCCACTGTCCACATCACAACAACGACCCCCATAGCGATGCGACGACAGGCTTGACGAGGCAATGCGATTGGTATCTGGCGCCCAGTAAAAGTGGTCCGCGGCGTGTCCAAGATTGCGACAATTTTGTGCATATTTACTTAGGCCTTCACAGCTTCACAGGGTAGCCCTAGGTCGACTCCAGCAAGGCTCCAGTTCGCCACAGCCGCAGAAGCGGAAGCAGACACGATAATACCTGGCGACGATATCCGTCAATACGATACAGAACCGCAGGTGCCGGTATTGAAACTTTTTGCATGGTAGCCCCATACAAAAATTTCGGAAATACTGTGAACCCACTGTACATGCCACGGCCTCGATACACTTCCTCATCTTTGTCCTCCCCTGTCGGAATGAAGTCCACGTAGCATCCCGTTCCCCGGCGTCATTTTGAGCCGAGGCTAGGCACTTACTTACACATCATAGGTACATACATCATGATACATGCATGCATGCACGCACGCACGCACGCAAGTACATACATCATACAGACAGCCGCTGTACATGAACGCCGGCTCAGAAGACAACTGTCTACCAGGAATCTTGCTAGACGGCGCGATGAACTTGAGAATCCTGTCCAATGATGTAGTAGCCTCTCCATTCTCAAAATTGGATGTACGCCGCCGAGGTCAGTAGGAGGCAAAGAAAAGCAGAGCTGACAGAGCGGTGGTAGCATCACGATGGATGCACCTTTCAGCGTAGGCAAAACCGCCAATTTTGGTCTAGATTCGGAGTTCTGTGTGCATTACATGGTCCGTCACTCTCAGAAAATCACTGGCTCACCTACGAATTGCTTCCCGGCACACTGCCGCATGACCGAACGAACACCCCAGATGTTAACAGTCCGTGACCATCGAGAATCGAGATCCTTGGGTCAGGGGCCGTGTTCCGGCGGCTCACTCGGCTTCAAACCGAAATCTCCACCGCTGACAGACTTGGAAAGGGCCTCGTCACCTCCCCTCTTAGGTCACGGATACTACCGTGTCATTGGCGTGTGTATGCAACGCGAGATGCGGCATCCTGCCACTGCACTGTCGGGCATACGCTACCGTTCTTGGCAGTCTACAGCAAGCGCCCCCGTCACTTTCCATGCCGGGAAATCACCAACCGTCTGGAGCGGTTGCGCGCAGGAGTCGAGAGCTCTGATGCCATACAAAAATTGGCCATGGAAGATGTCTGCTCAGACCAGGCCAAGTGCATCTTTTCTACTCCGTGCACCGGCGCCGGACCGGGCATACTCCTGGGAGGCTGCATAAATTGCCAAAATCAAAGGTCAACGTGTGATGAGAAGCCAGCAGCGCGATAACGCGAATGCATCTTTGGAGACAAAAACTCGGACACTAGTAGATACCCAGAGAACCTGAAGCAGAAGGGAAAAAATGTGGCGTAACCGCAGGCAGCCTTTGTTGGCCAAGATAGTGAGTGGCTTGCTGACTCTACTATTGGCGATTCCTACTAATTTCGGAGTACGGACGTCACATTTAAATACATACATACATACTTATTTATGGATGGAATAGTGTGACGACCGCCTCTTGCGCCAGAAAAGCAGGTGGGGTTTTGATAGACGCTTTTGAAGAGGCTGCCACATGTGCGGACGACGCTGGTGGTTTCATCAACTTATGTTGAGCTACGGAGTACATTGGAACGGGAATCCCATGACTGGCCATCGCCACGACTGGTTTTCAGAGCGACCCTTGGGGACTTCGGGATGAAACCACCCTCAGGAACAAACTTCGCTCCGTACAGGCACTTTAGCGCCTTGGAAGCAGAACGCCATGAAAAACAAAGCCGTGGGCGAACGTACGTGCGCATCTGGACCGAATTACACTGTACTTCTTTCTCAATGATCGCCCCCTCATGCGGCGAAACCAGCCAGTGAATCTTAGCAGCGCGCTGGCTCTTATACATGCACAGCAGGCCAGGAGCGTTCTGTCAGCAAAAGGCGTTTGCTGGCGGCGGAGTCAAGGAGGAGTCTCAGTGTGAGCCAAGCCGGTCGGTCTACTGGCGGGCTGTAGTAGTCTTTCGCGGGGGGTGGTATTGAGAGCCACCCCCTCCAACACCTCTTTGAAGACTTATTACAACATACTTGCATGGTGTGCGCCCCTGTTCAGGGCGGACATGACGCCAAATTTGGTGTCTCTGACCCCGGCCAGAGCCCCATGCCCAGCAAAGCTTAGCATGCCCAGGCGAGGACGCCTGCTCCTTCGGCAGGACAGCCCGCTGTCTAGCCGGGTCAGCCTCTGGATGCGGGTATGTCGGGGAGCTTGATGGTCCCGTGGCTAGGCTAGGCATGGTGGGCGGAGACGGATTTCAAAATGCTCACACATGTTGCAAGACGAGACGACAAACGAAGGTGACAGAATAACGATAACTATCGGAGGCGCGAGCCGAGATAGGCTGAGGCGGACCAAGGCGGTATTTCAAGCCGGTCTGTATTTTGGAGGCATCGTGCCTCTGGAGTACACCGGTTGAATGCTCCATGTGGATGTATACATTGTAAAAGGGCGGAGTGCTTGGTGACAGTTTCTAATGCCACGTCTACACGGCAGCTCGTCGGGAGCTGAGTCGCTAGTAGCTACAGGTATGATTCATGAGTAAGGCGAAGGGAACTTGTCAGTACGCCTGCCAGTCCACGAGTTTTATACATTGCAGCACGATATCCCACATACAAGATGACGAAACGGCTGGGACCAAGGTCCATCCGGCCTGCTTGAGCAGCTACACAGATATTGTGAGAGGCAGTGGTGCCGCTTGTGGGAGGCGCTGGCAAATCGACGCGACCCCTTCCACGCCACACACAATTTGGGTCAATAAGTTGATGCTCGAGAGACACACCACACCACGGAGCCGGAGCCGAGGAGATTGAGACCAAGGAACTTGGGGGGGGGCGCCTCTGGGTCGAAACAGGTTGGTGGCTTCGGCTGATATCTCCTCAACAAGCACCCACCCATCATGGTGCGGAGGACAGACACAGGGACGGGCACTTGAACACAGAGGCAGCCAGAAATTCTGCAAGGTTGGGCGCCCCTTGAGCGCTTGACAGAGCTTCGACGGTCTCCCGACGGACCTTCGACGGCCCCTCGACGGCCCCTCGACCTGACGATTGGTCCCTCCATGTGCAGACGATATTCCCCGATTTTTTTTTTTTTTTTAAATAACAATGGCGTCAAGCCCCAGGAAGGCACGGGCGAGCGACTGGATCCTGGTATCCCGGCGCCCCGAGAGCCCGTACCTGGTGTACGTGCCTTCTAAGTTCTTTACGTGTCTAAGCACTCGGTCAATACCAAGCAAGTTGTTTGCTTTTCGAGCGTCGAGTGCCACTGCCTGCCACCGGCCTACTTAATAAGTACTTACCCACTCCATACGTCCGTCCCCGTCCCCGGACTGGGGACTCCTGATCTTCCCTACTTGGCCATTGAAGCTAGTACTCGAGGAGGCCTGCTGCTCCAACTCCAAGGACTGCCAAGCTGCTACTCCGTCCACGCAGGCGCAGGCCTTGAGGCATTATTACTTGCCCGTTTCCAGCCTGGGCCGTGGAACTTGGTCTTGGTCTGCGACTCGGTCTGGTCCGGTCCTTGCTCACTATTACCTCGCGCCATAGGTACACATCGTGCTGATCCAGAGTCCGGGCGCCAAGGTCGCGGATTCCGAATTCCCGCCTTGAGTCGCCTCTGGTCGCCGGCGCTTCGCCTGCGCTTCCCCTTGCGCCTGCGACTTCCTCGCGGCCTCATTACCGAGCGAGGAAGAAACGCAAGAGGCGACGACATCGACTCTTCCCGAGACGGAAAACGGGACACGGCCCTAGCTACCGCGATACCTCTCAGGTCCCGCCGCGTCGAAGCTGGGTTGCATGATTGCAGGACGCAGATGCCATCTGTGATCTCTTGATCTCCGAGCCAAGTCTCACCGCGCCCACACCGAACGCACACGCACGCGCACACCACCACCGCCACCACCACCACCAACCATCACACCACCATCACAACAACAAACCACTACTACTTCTGCTGCTGCTGCTGCTGCTGCTGCTGCTGCTACGATCACATAACAGTGTCGCCAGCTGCCTTGCGCACAATTGCGTAGCAGCCATCTCTTGCACGGCCCTCTTGCCAATCGAAGCCGTTCCCTCGCATCCCATCTGCCGCTCACCGTCCGGGGCCAAAACCACCGTCTTGTCGTTTCTTGGCGCATCTCGTCGGAGGTCGCTGTCGACGAGTCGCACAAAAACTGCAGCGCAACCGGATAGACGGAAGTCGACCTGCATCGCTTTGCACCGCTTTTTTCTTCTTCGGCTTTCTCATCAGACGGGTAGCCTGAGCCAACCACTGACCACTGCTACGAAACTTGGAACAGAGTTTCCAACTGGCGGAAGCGAGATTTGCATCTTGTCGCATCTTGATTCTTGATTGTCCCGCGTTCCAACGAGCCACCCAATCCCAAGGATTCCTCACCACAAGTTTTTTGTCCCTTGGCCCCGGATCAGCAACTCGTGTGACGCCTGCACTCTGCCGTCCTGTAGATACGGCATATCTTATAGCGTCCTTGACCTTTCAGTCTGTCCAGCATCGAGCGTCAAGGACTGGCAGGAAACATTGATCCCACAAGCCGGGGGGGAATTGGGAACATTGGCAGTGTCAGTGCCAGTGCCAGTGCCGTCGAGCTTGCACCATATCGTCATGGCAGAGCCGTCGCACAACCCATATGCTCGATCTCCCAACCCATCCACGAGGTCATATGACTCCTCTTCAGTTAGTTCCGCTACTTCACCGAGACCGCCGTCGAGGTATCTGAGCGCGCTACTTGGCGCTAGCTCGAGATCCAACAACGCAGCTTCAAGTCCGCAACCACTTGGCATGACTCCTCTCCCATCCGTCAACCAGGGATTCCCTGATGGCCCGAACCTGAGTCGGGAATCCCTTCCATCGGCAGAGGCTGTCATGGCGGGGGGACAGGCTCCAAACCATGGACACATGCCGGGGACACCTGGTGGCCAAGCCCAAAAGAGGGCATACCGACAGCGAAGAAAGGACCCCAGCTGCGATGCTTGCCGCGAAAGAAAGGTCAAATGCGACGCGACGGACACCACCCGCTGCTCCGAGTGCTCGAGCCGAAACGTCAAGTGCCAATTCACCAAGGAGACGAACAGGCGCATGTCTTCTATCAAGCAGGTGCAGGATTTGGAAAAGCAACTTGAGAAAATGAAGCGCGAAAACTCTGCAATGCGCCGGGCCCTGGAAGAGCGACAAGGGCACATGGACGTTGATCTGGACTCGGCGGACCGGCAGTCTACTCAGCTACCGTCCATTGGATCGGAACCGAAACTACGAAAGCGACTCCCACCAAACCCAGAGTTGACGCGAGCCAGGACTAACGTGCGGAACTTTTCCAAGGGCATATGGCAGCTCCCCGCCCAGCATCGTAATCATGCTGCGTCTGTTCCTGACTGCCCTACGCCAGAGTTGCCTCCCCAGGCCATGACAGAGCGCCTGTTGCACTCGTTTTGTATTTCGGCGCATCCCATGTTTCCAATTATTCACATGCCGACCTTTCAATCCGGGGTAAACGAGCTGTATCGAGTCCATCCTCCACGCGTATCGTCTGCCTGGATCAGCTTGTTCTTCGCAGTTCTCGCCACTGGCAGCCTGTTTAGCCTCGAAACTCCGACGACGGCTACATTTTATCGGCCGGCCGAGTTTCTAGAATCCGCCCGCAAGGTAGTAGACCCATGGAGTAATAACCACAGCCTTGATAATGCGAGGGCCCTCGTGCTCATCACCATTTGCCTCAACGAGATGAACCTGAAGTCTGCGGCTTGGAACTGGCTTGGAAACGCCGTGCGTGTTGGGCAAGACCTGGGACTATATTGCGAGTACGATTCTTGGCCAGCTATCGAGACGGAGATGCGGCGCAGAACATGGTGGGCCATCTACATCCTGGATAGGACCATGGCGACCGAGATGGGACACCCATTCATCATTGATGATGCTGACTGCGACGTGTCATTACCAGCAGCTGTGGACGATCACTACCTTCATGAAGACGGGGTGCGTGTGCCTGAAGGAGCGGAGCCCTTGACGCATTCGCTGCTGGCGGTCATTCACGTTGTCCGCTCATATACAGCATTGGTAAAGGCGTTGGATCAGCCTTTTCTCTCTGCGTCGCATCTGGCCGCGTTTGACAGCTACTTCAAAAAGTGCCTCAGCACATTTCCTCCTGCTTGCGACCCTAGCAGCACTGTGTCCTTGGCACCTCACTTTCTGGCTCCCCTTGCCTATCTCTTTCATGCCAGGCTGCTCCTTCACAGACACAATTTGTCGCCAAGCTGTCCACCAGATGCCCGCCTTGCCGCCGTAGAGAGCTGCATTCACGTCGCCCTGAATACCGCATCTCTGATTGACCGGACCAAATCTCCGGCGGATGGAGCAACATCGCTCCTTACTGAGCACGTCTTCCGCTCGACGTTGTTCTTGCTGCTTGCCGGCTATCTTGATGGTGCCGTCAGTTGCATTAGGGCTCTGGCTGCTATTGATGCTCGCCGCGACGTCTCCATGGGCTGCGGACGATTCTTGGCTTTTTTCGTCACGACATTGTGTGCGAAGCGCACTGAATACGCAAACTACATGCCCCTTCGGTCATCCATTGACCAGACAGCACTCGCTGTATCTCTCGCTCGCGACGAGGAGTTGCTAGTTTATCTTTCCGCCGATGTTCAAGCTTCTCCCAACCGGTCCTGGCTATGGTCGTTCCAGGACCGCGATGCAGCCCCCCCGCAGACGAGTGTGGTTCCTCAAAGCCATTATGCCACGAGCGAAAAGGTTCTCTTCAGTTCCGAACAAAGAACTGGGCTGAACGAGGCAGAGCGCAGAGATTGGGTCGGATGGGCTAGGCTGGAGTCCATGGCTCTAAACATGGCCTCGGCAAACGTGTCGTATCCTCCTGCCCTACCACCCCCGCAGGTGAAGAGCGAATCGCCCATCGCAAATGTTGAGATTTCAAGGCTTTCCGACGCATCCCGATATTCCGTTGGTCATGGAGGTGAAGTCAGCCCCCCGGGACCAAAGCGAGGCGCCGAGCGCATTAGCATCGCAAACATTATTTGATTTTCGGCGCAGAGTGTAATAAATTGCGCTACATAGCAAAGACAGGAATGAACCCGACAGGCGGTGTCGTTTTAATTGGGAGGCGCTGCGGGGCTGTAGCCAATGTTTCCAGTGTTGTTTCTTTTTCTTTGTCGCATTCTTGATTCCCGTTGATGCGCATCATAGCTGGCAGTTTCGTTTTGGTCAGCATATTTTCAAGAGCTTGGAGATACCATGGAACTGATATGTGCGGTTGTCTTTAACTTTACGAAACGATTGCTCTCGGAGCCCTTCTTGTGCTTATTTCGTCCCCTTATTTTTTTTCTGGCTGTTTTTTTTTAGCCTCTCGAATCTGCTTTGAGCAAGTCGAGGAAGCCGCGAATACGACACATGGCTTTTGATTACGATATGATCTCTTAAATTCTGGATGATGGCTGTCGTTACCGCCGCATGTATATATATATTTGTGTGGAGAGTCCGTATGAGCTATACATGGACATACCGTTTTTGATGAATCGATATGATTTGATGAGGAACTTGGCACTAACTAGCCGTGAGCCCTCACCTCGAGCAATTTGGATGGTGTCGAGTTGGTTACGACGAAGCTTTATCCCTCTGTTCTGGAACACTTTTCATTTTCAAAGCGTAATTGGCCAAACCTATCCCTCAAGGTCTTCGCCATCACTCCCCCATCATCGAGGTATTCGGCCAGTTCCATGGCCTTGGCAGCCCAGAATTTGCAGCGGATGTCCTCTGAGCAAGCATAGTAATCAATCCCATGGTTGAACGTCGTGGCGGCTATCCACTCCAGGTCCGTCCGAGGTAACGAAGCACCCGCATTGCGGCTTTCGCGGGCAGTTTGCATTATTTGACCGATGATTTCGAGTGCCGCGGTGTCGTTGACAGAAACGGTGGCTTGAAAGATGACGCGCAGATATTTGCAAAACTTTGCGGAGTTGAATTGTTCGAGGCTGTGGATTTCGTTGATGATTGTTCTGAGCGTCGTGGTGAGGACTGGCTTGTCAGATCTTTTGGAGAATCTGAAGAATTGGGGTCTGGAGGGTTTATTACCTTGTGCTGGGATGGGGTCTTGCAACAGGACATCGCCTAGGCTCTTGAGTGCTTGTACATCTTCGTGCTGTTTGACAATGCCTGTGATTTCTTCAAGATCTTCGAATTGACGAAGCGATACTGCCGCTTCGAAGTCGTAGACTAGGAGGGTGGTCATCTTGCCAGCTAGATCCTGATGTGTGATAACATCTGGCATTGTGGTGCCGTTCAAGATGTCTCTGTACTCTGCTGTGTGGTGTCGGATTGCTGCGTAGCAGCGGTGCCTTTCAGGCATATCTTCGAGGCGCCGTGCCTCTTTCAATAGGCAGACTGAGATGAGGAAATGGCTTCTTAGTAGAGTTGCAACTAGTTCGTCGGCTTGGAGAGCCGATATTGTGGATGGGTAGCATGATACAAAGGATATGCATGCGCTCGCAAGCCGGATGACATTGCCCTCTTCCCATTCGTGGCAATTCAAGATGGCTATATTGTAAGCATTCTTGTGGAACCAGTCCAATTCGGAGGTCGGGAATTGTTCGTTTGCTCGTTGTTCTTCCACTGGCTGGGCGTATTTTACAGCTGAGGAGTCAGTTGATAAATCCATGAATTGCGGGCGGTGAATTACCTATTTCGAAGATATAACATGTATCTTCTGCAAATTGCGACATGTCATAAAGCTCGCTGGTCTCTTCATAGTCCAGCCCAGGCGTCTGTATGAGCCTTATAGCGGAACGAAGCAAAACAGGTACGTTGATAGATGAAGGGAGATGTCTGCTCAGTTGCTGAAATAGTGCCCTGAATGCTTGCAAAGCACACAGCTTGTCTCCGGTATTCTGAGCCTCAGTGAAACAAGCATATAGTATGTCTCTAAGTTGGAGGGTGTCCTTCTCGGTGAGCATTGCCGCTATGCATTTGCAGCCGAGCTCGTGATCCTAGCTGAGCAAAGACACCTTGAACATGGCGAAGTGCACTAATAAAGCATCGCCATGGCAAATTGGAAGCACGCTTTTCAGTGATTCGTACACCTCATGGGAAGTATTCCTCTTCGTTCCGCAGATAATCAGCCGTCTGGCAAACCGCCCAAGACCTGGTGTGTCATTCCTGCGAAATAAAGGTCCAAGAGCTAGACGGCACCAAAACTCGACGTCTTCATATCGTCCCGCTAAAAACAGTGGCTCTATGCCGTTCCAAATAAGCTAGGGATATATTAACAGCGATAATTAATATCGTGATGGGACAACATACCGCCTGGCAAGCTTCCACTTCCGCCAATGACAGGGGTGCCTGAATCGACTGATAAACGTTTTCGACGATATGACCTAGTTTGCGATGTTCGTCGTCACTACTGGATATATTTAATGCTGTCCATATCCGCAGATAGACAACCTTGCCGAGCATAATTGCGTTCTCGCTCGGGAGTGCGTGTCGGAATAGTAACTCGTCGAGAAGTTCTGAGGAACATTCATCTCTGACTTTTGCCAGGTGAGCAGGCGCTAGGTGAAGTGTAGTTTCTGAAAGCTCCGGTGATGAAATCATTCGCCGCATGATGTCGGCACGAGCCTCTCCTGGACAGTCATGCCCTTCAGTGGTATCCAACACCATCAACTTCCAGTGCAGAAGGACCGGATGATCTCCAACTCGCGAGGAAGCATGATCTAACATATTTTCGACCTCCGCTATATCTTCATGCAAATTACTTTGTAGAGCGAGTTTTATTATATCATTGCATACGGCGAGATATAGACGCTTGGTCTTTGGGGAGAAAATGCCGATCTGAGTGCTGAGTAGATGGTGTGCCCTTTTAAGCCAAGTGACCCCCAGTTCCAGGTTGTTCTCGGAAAGCAAGCCTGTGCCAACTTTTTGAAGAACGTCCGCCAGGCTTTCGACTGCACTGTCATCAAGATCTGGCTGAATCGGATCGAGTTTGCGGAACATATGCTCGGCCACATCCAAACGGTTTTCTCGCCACGACTGGACGGTTAGTTACTCGGCTGATGCTCTGACTATCACATACGTACTAACAATATTCTCAGTGAATAATACGTAGCTCTAAGTTGCGTTGCTTTTGCACACTGGCAGTTCTGCCTGCTTGGCGCAGACTCAAGGGTATTTACAAAGGAAGCACCTCTCTGCAAAGCGAGCTTCGCAACACCGACTTCAGAATCGTTGATGCTGGCAGTTGTGAGCGTCAAAATGAGTCGTAACAAGTACTCTGCTTCGGCGACACTGTCTCTACCTGTAGCCAATCCCAGTCGGCTCATATGGAAGAGCAGAAAGGCCAGGAGCCAGGAGTGCAGAACAAGTCTCTTCATGTAGCTTGTCGAGAGTTCCTTGGTCAGATCACGCCTTTGTCTGACACACAAGTTCCATAGTGCCCGGCCGTGAGCTTCAAGCTCTCTCAGAGTGCGTGTGTCTACGACCTGGGACACCGAAATACAGATATTGGCCATGCGTAGGCCGGCCTGCACCTTGTCAAGTTCAATATCAAGAATGCTTTGGTCGGAAGGATGGCTCGCTAATGCAGTCTGAAGCGTCATCGAGATTTCTGCGTAGGAGAATGGTCAGCCGAGTTCCCAAGTCAGTGTAGGTCGCCTTTGGGCCCGGGGGCATGCACCAATCAAGTCACGAATCTTTCTTTCATCAGACGGAGAGGCCTCCATGGTATAATGCACTAAAGCCCGGTTCCCCACGACGTGAACGCGCGGGCGTGTTGTTGCTATGGTCGATGGGATCTCTGCATTCGTGTGGATGATGGACGTGCGGGACGCCGACTCTCTGGAGGGACATGGCATTTGAGCCCAAGTTGTCAAGGGGGTTCTGGTGTCGCTCCTTCCCGAACTGAACGAAGAGGAGAAAATGAACGGATGCTCATCCCCTGGGCTGCAGGTGTCGTGTTTCAGCTTTGGAATCACACCAAAATTGTTCCCTGCACACGGCTTTTCCCGCAATATCCAACGTCGGTCTTTATTCAAAACTTGGCTGTACAGCAGCCACCTGTGCTAAGCCAACGCCGTGATGGCCAACACAAAGATCCCATGTCCAGCGAATACCTGGTCCAGTAAAATAACAAGTAAAGAGTATGAGCCGGGACCCCAACCTTTGCGCCGTCTAAGCAGATCCATCTCCCGCCACCAAAAGGTCTCACCCTGCACGGGATTCAACAACGCCTGCAGTTTCAATCGCGTGGCGGGTCGTGTGGCAAAAAATTGCCTACGATTAGGGCGGGCCTGGTCACGTTGTTAGGAGAGTAGACATCGATACAGCGTGAGACTGATGTGCTCACAGTTTATGGTCATCACGCCGAATCGTGAAAGAGAAGCAACACTTTGCAACAGGGTGATCTGACGCATCGCTCGGATTCTTCAATGAACATGCCGTTAATAATGTATCATGTGCAGGGTCGAAGGCAATAGTGCCAAATTCTTCCCAGTATCGAACCATAGATTCTTCAGTCAGAATCTCATGCAAAGCAATTTTGCCCTAGTTTGACAACGGTCAGCTTGCGTACGCGCCAAGCGAGACAAGCAGAGTACACTCACGTCTCGTAGTTGGTCTACGGGGACGTTGATGAGCTCGGCCATCTCCTTGTTTCCCCTGAAAATTTCTCCCGTTCTCCTCCAGCAGCACGCGGGAACAGCCATGGACGCGAATACGCGGTCGTAGTCCATCAACTGCTTCTCGAACCACATCTCCACGATGATGAGTTGCATGTCCGTCAGTCCCTGTGCCTTTTCTCTAAATTTCGGTCGGAATTGGTTGATGGTTCGCAGAATTTTTTGCTTCGAGGACGGTGCTATATGGCCATCCAGGTATTGGCCCAGACGGGCATACCCGTTGATGTAGTTGAAGGGCTTCAGCAGACCCGCATCAATTTTGGCGCGGAGAACACGGGCCATACGATCTTCAGCTGTATCGTTTCCGGATGGATCGGCAGCCTGGAGATAATACTCACGTGTCTTGTCGGCAGTCGAGCTTGGTGACCTTCTCCCCCCTTTGCCCTCGCTTGGTGGTGGCGGCATTAGGTTTCCTCGCACGTTGGTGGACTGTGCTGACCCGCCGCCTGTGGATAAGCCAGCAGTGTTTCCAAAGCCTGACGGCATGTCGGACTGTCCTGATCGCCCAAGAGCCGTAAGTTGCCTAGTCTCGTCTCCAGTCAGATTATCATCATCCAACAAGCCGTTGTGGAGGAAATCGTTGAGCAGATTGAATTCATGTGTGACATGCGGAGCGATCATGTAGTTTGGATTATAGGAGCTCATATCATTGAAACTCTGCGCTGTGAGCCAAGCATCCGAGATGCCGGAGACTACGTAACAGTCAGCACGACGTCCCATCATGTCTAATCGTAAGACAGACGAACGTCTTGGAGAAGGAATGGAATGCTAATGGGTGACGAGGGTAGAGAGAGGGGGAGCCCTCGGGAAGTCGTCCCCGCGATCGAGGACGACTTGGGATACACTGGGCATCAACTCACATTGATTCGCATTGCCCGTGCCGCTGCTGTTTAGGCCGTTTCCTTGTAAGCCCGAGCTGGCACTCGGTGTTACCAATGGCATCGCATTTCCCTGACCGAGAACACCACCAGTGCTGAATCCTGATGCAGAGCGCTGCCGCATGCCGTCGAATGCCGGTGGGCCCATGTTGCTTGATATCGAACTACGGGCCACGTCTGATGGTTCTTGTGACTGGGTGTCAGACTCCTCCACAGGAGCTGAGGGAGTCTTGCCATTTCTCGTCTTCTTGGCGTCGGCGTCACGGGGCTCGTCATGGCAAAGGTGGCCAATGTTACGTTTAATACACCTTGTACATGGCCTCTCCTGTACACAACGTCAGTGGCGTTGCAAGGCCCAGGACGATAAGGGGCTTGCGGTTGGGGGCAACGGCGCGTTGCCGCCGCCATCTCAGTTGGCGATTGTACGGCGCAGCCATGGATGGGGCTCACGTATACGTACAAGGTCGCAGGTCATGTGCTACGAGGAAGAGCAGGTTAGTCCAGAGGTTCGTTCGGCAATGAGACAGACAGGACGGCCACAGCGGCAAGGTTTCACTTTAACCCAGGGCGGCGATCCGAGCAACGAAGCAGACTACCGCCCCGGCATGTAGCCAACACCAGGAGGACGACCGTGTGCTTGATATCGGCCCGCCGAGAATTACATGCGAGGCGGACTTACAGATCTCCGGCAATATACACATGCTATGGACGGTACTCGGGTTAGCGAACATTATTCAGGCCCCAATGCTCATGCCAGACGCGACAGTTGGGATACATGCAGAGGATCAGGGGATTGAGTGCTGGCTGATGAATGTCGGGCAAGTGATGACAAGACTATGCGACCAAGCTGACAACTGTCCATTGCTCGGAGCGGGCAGGCTCCCAAGTGTTGCGCCATGAGGGAAGGGGGTTCGTTGGCTATGCGTACCATGATTCACCTTGCGGCGTTTCTTGGGGCTCTTGGAAGCGGTCGTGGGTGTTCTGTGGTCTCTGTCGCGATTCTTCGCATCCGACTTGTCTGCTTTGTCCGCCTTCACGCGGTCGGCGGCCTTGGTCTCTTTGTCCATGACGGCGACGAGGTTCCGAATGCCCTGGTGGTTGTTTGTCCCATTGGTTCTTGAGGTTACGCAGAGCGGCCGGCGGGACGTCTCGTTATTTGCCCTCGGGAGGTTGCAGCCTCGTCCTGTATGTTTTGCCTTGGTCGCTCTACGATTTTGCCGGAGGGCAATACGGCATATTGGGCTGTCGTGGTCGGGAGGTGTGTGTGTGCGTGTGTAGCTTCGCAACGGTGCAACGACGCAAAGCGATCTCTGGTTCGCCAATTCGCGGGGACCAACAAGTCGACTTTTTCTCTAGCGGGGGTCCAATGCTCGTCGATGGGCAGACTATCCAGAGAGTCTTGCCGTGGCCTCGCAGCGGCTGTACTTGAACGCCATGCGCGCCGGCTGCGGGAGGAGCGATCGTGGGAGAAGACAAGGTTGGAAGTAGCAATCGGGCAAGACGACGCGACGAGGACCGAGTACGGAGCAACGGATGAGGTGACGGCGACAGCGGACAACGGGCAGGCGCTGAAGATGAGCACGAGGGCAAGTCGGCGAACGGGGTCAGTGCAGGCTGAAATGTGAAAGTGTCTGCAGCACGCCCGCCCGCGCGCATCGCCCTTCTCCGTACCTACCGAGGTACTTAAGGTAACTACCTAGGTACTTTGGTACTAGGTACTCAAGTAGGTACCTACAGGTACTGCACTTCCAAGTCTGTATGTACCTAGGTACTTACCTGGGCACCTACCTGCCGGTGGTGCGAAAATCCGCCCCCTCGCCGGCGCCGCCTCGCGAATTACGGCCGAGGTTGCCCGTGCCCACCCCGCGCTCGTGCAAAATAATTCTTCACAAGGCCTGGTAGGATGCCACCTTAGCTTAGCATTTCCATACAATCATGATACGTACTCTATGCAGTATGCACCAACCACATATGCTACATTGCGTCATATTTATTTTCCACACCTTCACATTCTAAATGACGACGAAAAAACTCTGCTCCCCCGCCTTTGGATGCACTCTCGCTCGTCTCATAATCTCATCCTCGCAAGCCAACCTGATCCTCTCCGGCGTCGCGGGACTCTGTAGTCTCAAGAGCCCCTCACCATCGTCTGCGCCGACCGTTGCTTCCACGCCAACCTTCTTCCTCGCAGACTTCAAGGCATCCCTGATGGCGAAGAATACTGCACTGCCCATAAACAGAGGCGGTTCCCCTACACCTCTGCTTCGCTGAATCGTACGCAGCTCCTTCCACTCCACGTCCTTGAGAAGGCTGACGTTGAATTCCTGCGGGACGTCCCTGAATCCAGGGATCTTGTACGCCCCAGGACCCCTGGTGAATAGATTGCCCGCCATGGGCCCGCCTCGAAGCCAGAGAGATTCTTCCATGGTGAAGAGGCCCATCCCTTGCACAAACGCACCTTGAATTTGGCCGTAGTCGATAGCAGGGTTGATGGATTGGCCCACATCCATTTTGATATCGGCACGGAGACATGTCCACGTTCCTGTCAACGTGTCGATTTCGACTTCAGCCACGGCGACGCCCTGTGTAAAGTAGAAGAACATCTTGCCCTTGTTCTCGCCCCAGACGTATCCAATCTCAGGAGTTGTATAGAAACCCTGGGCGGACAGGTTGACACGGTCCATGTATGCTGCGTGGGCAATATCCTTCATGTTGGCTTTGTCCCCGAGTTTGGCTCGGTACGGCGCCAGTCGCTCGTTGAGCTGTGTGCAGGCATTGAAGGCCGCGTAGCCGTTTAGGTCGGATGACGCAGAGGCGGCTGTGGCAGAGGCGTTTGCGACTGTGTTGGTGGCGGTTTCCGAGATGAAGACTGTCTCCAGCGGTACCTGGAGGGCTTGCGCGACAATCATGGTGATTTTTGTGTGCAGGCCCTGGCCCATTTCCGTGCCTCCGTGGGCGACGAGCACAGAGCCATCGTGGTAGATGTGTACCAGCGAGCCGGCTTGGTTGAGGAAGAGCGCCGTGAAGGAGATGCCGAATTTCGTAGGGATGATGGAAATACCTCGTTTACGCCACTTATACTCGTCGTTGAACTTGGAGACGAAGACTTTGCGCAGATCGTAATCTGACTCCTCCTTGACTTGCTTGTACATGAGGGGAACGTGCCAGTCTTCAATGACCTGGTTGAAGTGCGTGCTGCCGTGGGGCTTGTAGAAGTTGATCTCACGGAGTATTTCGACTGGCATGCCCAAACGATCTGCAATTTCTTCCATGTACGTTTCTGCGATGAACATGCCCTGAGGACCACCAAACCCCCGGAAGGCGGTGTTGGATACGGTATTTGTCCTGCAGATACGACCGCGAACGTGGACGTTGGGGGTGTAGTAGCATCCGTCGCAGTGCGACAAAGCTCGTTCAACGACAGCGGTGCTGAGGTCGAATGTCCAGCCGGCGTTGCTGTAAATGTCCAAATCCAGAGCTTGTATCTTGCCGTCCTTATTGACACCGACTTTGTAGTGCGCCAAGAACGGGTGACGCTGTCCCATGGTCACCATGTCTTCTTCTCGAGTGAGCATATATCGGACAGGTCTCCCTGTCTTGTGGGCAGCCAGAGCAACGGCAGAACTGAGAATTACAGATCGAGATTCTTTGCCGCCAAAACCACCACCAAGCCGCTTGACCCTGACGTTGATTCTGTTGGCTGGCACACCACAGACTCGGGCTGCAAAGGTTTGACTGAACAATTCTTAGAATGAGTAGTCTAGGGGATGGCGTTACGAAAAAAATATCACAAACTTACGTTTCATTGGCATTTTGCGTACTAGCAAAAATCTCCATCTCTCCATCTTCACGCTTGGGAACTGCCAGACAGACATTGGTTTCGAGATAGAAATGCTCCTGGCCTCCCATGCGGACACTGCCAGTGAAGACGTGGTCGCAGGTCTTGAAGGCACGCTCAGGGTCACCCTTTTTGATTTCTCGGTATACTGGATGGAAGCTCTCCTTGGCAATGGCTTCCTCCATGGTGAGGACCGCAGGCAGCTCCTCATATTCAACCTTCACAGCTCTAGCGGCTTCCTGAGCTCTGTTGGCCGAAGTGGCCAGGATCATAGCAATGGCCTGTCCTGCTGTATGAACTTCGTCTTCCGCGAAGAACACTTCATCAAAATTTGGTGGACCAAACTTGTTCGCCTCAGCCGACGGCATATCATTTCTGTCAATATATTCCACCACGCCAGGCATATCCAGGGCCTTGGAGTAGTCTATTGATTTGATCCTAGCGTGCGCCTCGGTGGACAACACCCAGCAGCCGTGAAGCTCGTTCGCCAGAGGAGGAATATCATCAGTATACTGTGCCTCGCCGGTGGTTTGTCGGAGTGCAGCCAGGTGAGGATTGGCCTTGCCGGTGACCTCTCGCTCATAGGCAGCGGTTGATGTCTCGTCTATCGTTCCCTTTGACAGCGATCGGTCAAGTTCGTCAATGGCCTCCTTGTCAACATGCTCGCGCTGGCCATCAAGTATCGTCAAAACGTCGTGGTAAAATCGATAAAAGAAGCCAAGCGCGAGGGCTTTTCTGTATGATGCCATGCCTCCAGGGACACTGAATTGCATGTCAAAGTCGGTACCCAAGGCACTCATGACTCCCTCGAGGGTCTCAAGCTCGGTAAACTTTTTGCCGATCATGTAGGCGGTTGCCGTCTTGGCCCCAACAGTCGTGGCAGCCATACCACCATAGATCAAGCGACATTCAGTAACAATCCCTTGGTCGTCTAGTTTGACTCGCAAGGCTGCTGTAACGATAGCAATATCATCATCTTTCCGCTTGGCCTGCTTGTAAGAGCGGTAAAACTCATTGTTGGACGCAGTGACCGGAATTCGTATGGAGGTGATGATGGCATCCGCGGCAAGAGCTGTTTCCCGATATCCGGTAAAAAATTTCGACACGGGAATTTCGGCCTCTTCAGTGGCGGACTTGGTCACCAGGACGGCATCGGCGGCCCATAGAGCAGGGTTCAGATCAGAAATGGGTGACGCAGTGACTAAATTACCAGCTGGCGTACCGACGTTTCGGATTTGTCGTCCTGCAAAATACTTGAGCTGCTTCAAGATTCCCTTGAATACTTGGCCTCCTTCATGACCATAATGCTTTATAGCTTTCTCGCAGATGCTTTCCAGGTCTGTCAAGATGACGTTGCCTCCCACGTCAACATGGCCGTCCTTGAACTCATATTGTCTAAGCTCAGCAATGTCGCCAACAAAAACCGATTCCGGGTATTGTAAACCTTTAAACTTGATTTCTATTTGAGTTTCACTGCTTCCGCCAATAATCTTGGCTTGGGGGCAGACTCTCTTGATCTGGAGAAGCTGGTCCAAGGTGGTTGGTCGGTACCACTTCTTTCGCTTGTTTCCGAATGCCAGGGGCCGAAGCTCTTGCTTCTTCAATGCGGGAGGGAAAATGAGCTCTGTTTCCGGGTTATATTCGATAAATCCTGGGGGAGTAAACCGCTTGATGGGCCGATCATCCATGCCTTTGCTTTGCATGCAGTAAACGCCAGAGGATGGTCCACTACTACCGTTTTGCATACAGCAACCGCCGCCAGGTGGTTCATTACTACCATTTTGCATGCAGCATCCGTCGGCATTGATTTGGGATGGCCCATCGACACCATGATTCGTGCTGTTGTTGGTTGCACCATTCTCCAAGAGAGCTCTGTTTGTGTCACTCTTGCAACATCCATTGGTGCTACTGGCCTGCCTGCTGTTATTTCCGTCCTGTTTGCACCCAGCACCTCCATTTAATTTTGGTAGGCCGTTGGGGAAAGACTTTTCGATGCTGAACGTCTGAGCGGCATCAAGAATAGGTCTATATCCAGTACAACGACACAAGTTTCCATCAAAGGCCTCTTCCACGTCATGTTCTGTGGGCGTTTCATTGTTTCTGAGAAGAGCGTACAAACTCATGACAATACCAGGGGTGCAGAAGCCGCACTGACTGCCATTTCCCTTGGCCACACGCTCCTGGGTGGGATGTGGGCGTTTTGCGTTGCCAATACCTTCGATGGTAATGACATGCTTGCCGTCTAGACTGACAAGCGGTGCGAGACAGGCGTTTACACTGGCATGATAGATCTGCTTTGTAGTAGGATTATATTGACTGACGACGATGGTGCAGGCGCCACAGCCACCTTCTCCACAGCCGCTGTGAGGGGAGTCGAGAACTATCAGTCAAGCCCGCTGGCAAGTTTTGTTGTGGAATAGATACTTGGAAGTGCATGAGACGTACAGTTTTGTGCCAGTCAGTCCGATACCTCGAAGATACTCCAAGACGGTGATTTCAGGATCAATATCATCCAAGACGACCTTGGTACCGTTGAGATAGAAGCGCAAGGTATCATCAAACTCGGCCGTCAGAGCCTCCAGGGTCGCTGGCAGGGGCTCCCGCTCGGGCGAGACTGCCATGGGCGCCATAACTGATGAGTTGGTGATGCGACGTTGGACCCGTCAGCATGGGGTTTAAACCAAGAAAAGAGTATACGCAAAGACCAGCTAGCGACGGCACAAAACTGGCAGCGTAGAGGCGAGCACAGCAAGTCGGATTGGCGAGACCCGCAGCGACTTTGTAGTGTGAAGACTTTGGATGAGAGAGGAGCGGCAGATTGAAGATGCGAAGGACGGCGGCGTGGTCCTAAACAGTACGTGGTGACGGGGGGTGACGGGGTCGAGGGGGGTGACGGGTGGCGAGTCGCGAGTTGTCGGTGTCAAGTGGTAGGGAGGACAGAGCACGGGGTATCGGGTACTTGGTTACTTGTGGTACGTGCTCCGTAGTAGCTTGAGCCGTGCAGCCGCTGGGCGTCGACTTAACGTGGCCCGGGTGACTGACCTTGGTACTCACTCGGTAGGCTCAGCAAACCGGAGGGGCCAGCAATGGCTCCTTCCCTGTGCGAAACTGATTGGCTGCTACCGAGTAATGGCACCGGGGAAGCGAAACTGCACGCGGCGACGCCCCGAATCTGTCCTGGCCTGCCAACTTTAGAACGCGGGGCCCCACAAGGGAGCTTGTGAGAATCAATAAGGCCCTTACCCCGCCATTACGGGGCGGTCGTCCCGGTCTATTGATACATCGCCGTCACTGTACGGAGTACAATCAGATAAGCCCCGACCATTTGCGCAGTAAGTGATAGCACTGTCCACGCACCACCGCCGCGCATCGGCGGGTTCCGATGGGACTCTGCGCACCCACGAATCGCCCCGCCTTCGGGATCCTCCACCTTTTCGACCCTCCTCGATATCGGTATCTATCTACTCTCTCCTCCGTGCCCGTACGAGTGCATACATGTAAATACACAATAAGTCCACCCAGTACCCTTGTTCCTGGCCAATTCGATACACGGTGGATGACATGCTTCTCGATTCCCAATTCCACATTCTGAACTACGGTTACGGACCCGAACTCCACGTGGCCCTACCCAACCAGTATTTGTCCCGTGGAAGCCAGGTGCGGATCTTGGGCCGTGAGCTGCACATCAAGTCGAGCCAAATGTCTGTATGCTGTGCCAGGATAGCAGGATCAATATTACGAGCCTTGCTACTCCTTGTGAAAGGCATGCGCGGCTCAAGCAACAGCATGATCTTCCGAGTGCATTGCCTCAAGCTATCAAGTCTGGTGGTCACTGGTCAGTGTCGGTGAGTAAGTTCATTGCCCCACTTCTCCCCGTCTCTACTTACACCTAGGTACTTAAGTAGCAGTAAGGTGGGTAGTTTGGAAGGAGCGACCATTGCGATTACTACTTCAAACGTACTCGGGTGAACCGCATGCCGTCTGTATAGGCAAATGTCCATAAAACTGTCTTCGTTTTGCCATTATCCGTTGTCTTCGAGTATTCAAACCTGGTCATCCTAAACCCCAAACCATGCATGAAACTGAATTGAGCGAGCTCCTCGACGCGGTTGCTTCCACATTGTCCTGCTCACTGGTCTGGCTAGACTGTACAGCTCGCGGCATTCATTCCACAAGGCATGGGTTACCAAATCTCACAGTCTTCAAAACCTCGTATTTACTGAGCGTACAGGCGATCCAAAGCCATCCTCGCATGAATTCAAAGGCCTTTGACAAGCTACACAAGCTCAGAACCATCAAAGACGCGCGTTTTGTGCACTGCAAAATGATGCCGACAGTTTCGGATTGCTTGCCCAATGTCGCTCATCGACTCTCCAGTGCTTCTGCTTCTATTGTCATCCCGCATTGAGAGTGGGGGAGAGCTTGAAATATCAGCTCACTTGGCTCCGCCCAGGGTTGGAGCATTCAGACGTGGCAAGGCTTCCCGTATGCGAGGAAAAAAAAAAAGAACAAGAAGAAGTCTGACTATTATTCTGCTTAGGAACGGGGAAGTGGAAGTAGCAACGAGGTTCGTCAGCCAACCAGAGATCCGACTTGGTGCCGTGGACAAAGGGGAAAGAGTGCTGCCAATTTGGGCGTGATACACAAAATCTCCCCGTGTCTGGTATCCATCGCTCCTCTCCCAAGCCGCGAAGGAAAGCGCAGGTGCAACCCTTGTTCATGATGAGGGGGCCGACTGTCGGCTCGACTCCAAGACAAGTCGCTGGACTAAAGAAAAAGGCATTCAATACATGGACCTGCACCACGACAAATTCGGCTATCGAGACCAGTGCACCGATTGCGAACAAGCACGTAATAATACCCATCGGACAATGGCATTAATATGCCACTTCAATCTCCTATTATACAGCACAGCTGATAAATCGCGCGGCCGGAGGTGACCAGGACCCGCACTGGCGATCAATGTCTTGTTTGTGTTGTTCTTGGTGTTGGCGCTGGGCCCTGTTTTTGGCTCCGGCATGAGGGATCAGTGACCCGTGGAGAAATAGTAGTACATACTGCGATTTACTCGCTTCTCACCGCTATTGCATCCCGGCTATGGAAAACATAGTAAAGCCTTCGGCGTCGCTGGCATTGTCCCATGTCCCCTGGGCGGACTGGAAGGGACAGGAGGAAGAAAACCCGCATAAAAGGGCATGAAGCCAGGTCTGGAGATCAAGGTCTTGCCACATCGTTTTCAGTGCCGACCGGAACCAGTCCTAAGGACCTGGCTGACTTACCGTAGTCATCATGCTATCGGTCAAACGAACTATTGGCACATTGGCGTTGGCAGCAGTTCCAGTTTTGTCATTGCAATTGCATCGTCATGATGTGTCATTCACGCCTGATATTGTGCTGAGTGTAAGTCGTCAAAATATCAGTATTGGTGGCATGTATAGGGAGACAACCTTGGTCAACAACTCTTTGCCTGGACCAACTCTCCGGATCCCTGAACAAAAGACGATTTGGATTCGCGTGTATAACAATATCGGAAACGACAATGTAACAATTGTACGGCCGTCTCCTGAGCATAGAGCCCCTTCCAGGTATACTTGAAGATGCTAACCACCATACAAGCATTGGCATGGTCTCGCCCAGGCCGCATACCCCTTTTCTGACGGTACACCACTTGCCAGTCAGTGGCCTATCCCGCCCAATCACTTCTTCGACTATGAATTAAGGGCAGAAAGTGGTATGGCTGGGACTTATTATTATCACTCTCACGTTGGATTCCAAGCCGGTACTGCCACTGGTGCACTCATCGTTGAGGACCCTGACGGAGCTCCTTACAAGACGGACGGGGAAAGGCTAGTGTTCTTGCAGGAATACTGGAGTCTGTCGGACACAGAAGTCATACATGATCTTGAATCAATACCGCTGAGATGGCCCGGAGAACCAAATGGCTGGCTAATCAATGGCAAGTCAATATCCGACCGCGAGGCTAGAGACCCCGCCACGAGAGCTTTGAGCGTAATTGAGGTCAAGCCAGGCCAGATATACAGATTCAGATTCGTGGGAGCCACAGCCCTCAGTCTGGCACTGCTCGGATTCGAGAAACACGGAAACTTTGAGATAATCGAGGCCGACGGCGAATATACCAAGCCGTACCCCGTCGACTTGTTGCAAATCGGCTCCGGGCAGCGGTACAGCGCACTGTTCCGCGCCAAGTCGTGCCAGGACTTGCGAAAAGATGATCAGCTCGACTACTACATCCAGCTGGAGTCGAGGGACAGAAACGACATCGTGACGAATTACGCCATACTCAGATACGAAAACACCTGCAACATGACCCCAAACCGCGTCGCCACGCACAAAAACCCAAAAAGGCAGCCGCTGCACCTGCCGCCGACTATCGACGGGTATCTAGACTACGCCCTGCAGCCATTGAAGCCCAATAACTTCCCGACAGCAGCAGAAGTCACGCGACGCGTCATGCTGAACATCCAAGTCGTTGAGAATGAGTACTTTATCTGGACGATCAACAACCATACGTGGTCCGAAAATGCCGGACCCCTTCCAGCAACCGTACCCCAAACCCCGTACCTAGTGAACCTGTACCGGAACCAGTCTGCCTATCTACCCGATTACGAGGCTGCCGTTGCCAACGGCGGCATCGATCCCAATATGGGGACATACCCTGCCAAGATTGGCGAAGTCCTGGAGATTGTACTGCAGCAATTCGGCGGCAAGTCGGAGGAAGCGCAGAACAGGGGCCTGCTGGATACGCATCCTTGGCACGGCCACGGCATCCATCACTACGATGTCGGCGGCGGTAGAGGGGCCTGGGATCCAGATACCGTCGAGGAGAATCTGAAGGGGACGCAGCCCGTGTTGAGAGACACGACATTGCTGTACAGGTACAAGAAAGGCGTGGAGCCAGGCGAGAAGATGGGCTGGCGGGTATGGAGAATCCGAGTCGAGCAGCCGGGCGTGTGGATGGTGCATTGCCATACTCTGCAGCACATGATCCAGGGCATGCAGACGGTTTGGGTGAATGGCGATGCCGAGGACATTTTAAAGGTCGGCGAACCCGACGTAGCCGGCTATTTGAGGTACGGCGGCAGCGTCTATGGCAACGTGAGTCATGCCCCTGAGGTGGTACATTTCAACGAGTTGGATTAACTCCAACCGCATCACTGCCATGAATTGTCATTTCCAGCCGCTCACGTCAAAATGTAATATATTCCCACTCTATCCGCATCTTAATCTGCACCCCTTCTAATTCCCAATAATGAAAAGAAAGAGACGAGAGAAAAACTGACGTCTTAGTCTAGTCCCATTACTACATATACTTCTTCAACCCCCTTAATCTCCTCTTCGCCTCGTCCAATACCTCATCATCCTTGCAAACGGCAAACCTCACATAATCCTCCGCCAAGTACGCATTCGCATCCGTGTAAAACTCGGTTGGTGGGATCGCCGCTACACCTACCTCCCAGATCAAAAACCACGCAAGCTTAAAATCCCGCGGTCTGCTCGCAACATGTTCGGGGAAAGGGTAGTTGGCGGGCACCTTGACCTTTTTCATATTAACGAGCACGAAGTAGCCGCCCTCGGGCTCGGAGTAAGGCAAGTCGAGCTCGGCCCAGATCTCGTTGAAGCGGTCCATTTTGGACTTCATTTCGGTGATGGATTTGGTCCAGAAACCCTTCGACTCGGCCATTTCAAAGCCCACGGCACATGCCTCCTGAAGAGGCGAGACGGACGAGTAACAGATGCGCGTGTGGGCTGCCGAGACGTATTTGATGAGATTTGGGGGTCCCATGAGCCAACCTGCGGGAGAGATATGCAAAGTCAGTGGTGGAAAGTGCGTTCTGTCTGTGTTCGGGAGAAAACAAGTTGAGGATAGGAGCGGGGGAGAAGGCGGGAGAAGACAAACTTACCGACTCGCCAACCTGTTGCGTAAAAGTTCTTGCCCGCAGATCCGACCGTGATGGTCAATTTCTCAATCTCAGGGGACAAAGTGGTCATTCGTGTAAACGGCACATAGTACAGGCGGTCGTATACTTCGTCTGATAGAATGATGATTTCGTTCTTGACACACAAGTCGCCTATTTTCTGAAGCTCATTGCGCGAGTATACTTTGCCAACAGGGTTGTCTACCAGCCAACATCAGTAGACTGTCTCCTTCTTCTTTCTTTCATGTCTCATACGAGGGTATGAATTTATTTATTCATTTTTTTGGGTTTTTGTTGGGGAAGCACAGCGTACGAGGTGTGTTCAGGACAATCATCTTGGTCCGCGGTGTGATAGCCTTCTCCAGCTCGGCAAAATCAATAGTCCAATCTGCGGCGGACGAGGTCTTGATTGCACCTGTTTTGGGGGGGTGCATGGGCACGTAGACAATTTTGCCGCCGGGCATTTCAATGTTACTTATGTACCTGCGCATATTTAGACCAAAATTCCATCTCAGACGTTGAATCAGATGGGAGGAGTGGGTTGCGTACTGGTCGAAGAACGGTTCAAAGATGATGACCTCATCGCCAGGTTCGATGAAGGCCATGAACGCACTCAACATGCCTGGCGCAGACGATATAAGAATCAGCCAAGGACTGTTGGAGGAAGCTGGGCAAGAACGAGAGGCATAAAAGGGTACGCACCCTCATTGGCACCTGTGGTGATAGTAATCTCCGTCTCCGGGTCAATCCTGCGACCCCAGAAGGGTGAGTACGCATCTGCAATAGCCTTTTTGAGCCGCGGCCGGCCCTTGGTAGGCGAATACTGGTTGCACTCAACGCGATCAAGCGCGTCCTTGGCAGCATCGAGGATGAAGTCGGGGGGGTTGTAGCCGAAAAAGCCTTGGCCCATGTTTACGATGGGCTGTCGGGGGGAAGCGGCTGCTGCTTCGTTGATGATTGACCTGGGTAGCGAGTCAGTATATATATATATTGACAGAACAGTACAATAAGTCCATGAGAGGGCCTACATACCAGACGTCTTGCTTCTGGCTAGATACCCTTGCTGCGGGTTTAATTTTGCTGCTGCCTTCCATGGTGCTCTTGAACCGATTTGAGGCGAGGGATGGTGTGGGTTTGGCCAGGCGTCGGAGGATGGGCCGAGCAAATGTGCGAGACATGAGCCCGAAAGCTTTGCGTCACGGAGGATGACCAAACACCCAGCCAAACAGAGGTTGGAAAAGGAGGCGGCAGGTGTCAATTTGAAGAGACTAAATCGCTCGCTTCCATGGGGTGAGGCGAAGGCGAGGTCGGAAATGGCTGAGATGACCAAGGTTTATCTTACCTGCATGTATTCCGCAGCCATGTAGTCACTCCCCCGTGCGTGGATACGGGAGGAACGGAAGAGGGGCAGAAATGTCGTGACCTCCCGCGGTCGGAAATACGGAGTACAACTTGGCGGATAATGGCGGCATTTTGTCCGCGTCTTATTGGCAAACGGAAGGAGCAATTGCCAACCATCTTTCCATGTCTACCTACCCTATACAAACCTCCAACTTCGTCCCTTCCCTTCAACCCGGGCAGATTATCTCTATCACATATGCGACGTGGCATCGAAAGAATTTCTCACCGTCTCCGATGCCGAGTACCTCACTCAGCTGAGGTCTTGCAACGTCCAGCCAGCCGCACGAATTGCTTGGCAACCCGCTCACGCTGTTCGGCATCAGCTCAACCATCATCACCCTCCCTCGTCACCACCACCGTCACCAAAATGACATGGGCCGAAACGCCTCGGGCGATGTGATCCCAAGCTCCTCCGCCTCTTCTCTCTCTTCTCCTCTCAACTCGCCAACCGCCAGCACGCACTGCTCCGCAGTCATCCTCTCTTCAGCCTCCCAAGCCAAAAGCCCGATCAACAACTCCACAATCCCCAACCCCGGATTCAACTCCCTCAACCCGCACACATGCTCGAAGCACCTCCCAGGATACATCTCCAGCTCACTCTCCGTATACACCATCTGCGGCCATTGCCCGACCATACCCAAGAGTGTCACCCCCAAAGCCCACATGTCGTCCGCCGCACCACAGTGCTCGCCCCTCGCCTTCATCTCTGGCGACCAATACGCCGGCGTGCCCTGCAACTTGCCCGGCTGCCCAGATATCCTGACGTCAGCGAAATCAGCAAGCACCACGTGAACAGGATGAAACGTCCGGATCAGCACATTGCGCGGCTTCACGTCCGAGTGATACAGCCCCCGCGCGTGCAAGTACCCCAGCCCCCGCGCAACGTGCAGCACGACAGTGAGGATCTCGCCCCGCGCCATGTGAGGCGTTGCTTGGTCGATTCGCGCCTGGAGGGTTCCATGGGGACACAGTTCCATGAGCAGGAGGTCGGACCCCGGAGAGAGCACATCCTGGTATAGCTCGACGAACGCCACGATGTGGTCCTGGTATGAGAAGTTGGACAAGGTCAGACGTGGATGCCGACGTGATGAGGAATCTGTGAATGGGGCAAGGGCACGTCATACATGTCGCAGGAGCTTGAGTGTATCCGCCTCCCGCCGCAAGTCCTCGGGCGCCTTGGATGACTTGCCGGCGAGCACCTTGCCGTCGCTGACCCGTCGTATTTTGAGTACGATGCTAGAGCCGCCGAGGCCTAGTCGACTTCCGCGAATATATTTGTCGGTGCTGAGCCCGCGATTTTCAATCATTGCTCGCTCCGTGTCCTCGTCGGTCCAGATGCCCACCCCGGTGTTCATTTTCGAGGTTTGTGGCGGCGCGAGAGGCAGACTTGGACCCAAAGGAAACGAGGGCTGAAGAGGTTACGGTTGCATGAGGACCGCTGGATGCTGCTTGTTGAAAGGTATCGCTCCAAACCAAGGTCCTCCCTCGGTTGACACTGCTGCCAGCTGCGCAGCTCACGTGGGCCGTGTAGGTCATGTTAACTATAATGCAAACGCTTCCCTCCTAATGCATACCCGATAGGTACTTAAATTTCATCGTGTGTTGGCTTAATGTATTGTACACAGTTCACCAATCCTGGTTGCTTTCGACGACATTCATGCCCGTTTCCGTCGTTATAAGCTGTATCGTTTCCCATTACAAAAAAAAAAAAGCAGAACAAAAAGGAAGCCCCATGCAACGCCATCCTAATCAACGCCAGCCCTGTAATCCTTGTAATACCGGCCCCCATTGCGTCTATAAAACAATTGGAAGAGGACGGGTATCGATTCGCTTCGTGGACAGGGTAGGGCCTGCCGCTTTGCATATCTCACAGTAGTGTTACAATTCGGTTATTTTATCCCCTTAAATGTCCATCTTGTCCGTTCTCCCATTCATAGAGGCTCTGCGTAAGTTTTGCATCATCCGTTCCACAAACTGCATAGATTCTGATCCAGGGACATCAGCAAACTCTTGCAGCCTTACTCCCACTGGAGTCGACGCGTTTTCTCGTCCAGTATACTGTTGTTGCGCGACCCCAGTGGCCATGAAAGACTGTTGTGTTTGACTTGCCCATGCCGCTTCACCCTGTGGCGGTTTGACGCATGGTTGATATGGTGCCGGCGTTGTTTCTGCCAAGTGTGACTGTGCGGGCCGAGACTGATTCTTCGTCAATTTTGGCTCCGGTCTTGTTGCCGGTTGGCATTCGGAGGTCTTGCCCATGGCAGCGAGAACATGTGGCGGAAGTGGCACCGGAGAAACTTTTGCTGGGACCTGCACAGTTGATTTAGTCGATTGAAGGGGGGGATGAACAGCGGCGAAGGGGGGGATGAACAGCGGCGGGAAGACCAGCCTTGCTGGGCTTCGCCGCTGGCGCTGCATTCGGCATCGGTGCCTGGGAGAGTGACGGCTGCTGAGCTGGTTGTGCTTGATACATTTGGCGCGCTTGATGCATTTGGCGCGCTTGAAGGACTGGCTGTCCTGGCCGTGATTGTTGTTGTTGTCCTTGTTGCACAGGTCCTGGGGGTACATGGGTCACACCAAAAGCCGAATGACACATTGAATTGTTCTGGGTCGCCATTGTGTGTGTCCGGAAATTTCCTTCATGCCCATTTGTGAAGCCACCCCACGGTGAGTACGGAGTCCTATATTTGGACGAATCCCTACGCCATGTTAGCCCATAAAAGCCCTTTAGGGCACCATCTACACGTACCGATTGTAATTCACTCGGAAGAAGGGGTACTTTTGATACACGGACGAGTGGACTTGCCACAGGGGCTTGCCCTGTTGACCAGATGGTGCGTTGAGAGGCTGCTGGTATCCAGACTGACGGCTTTGGGGTAATGGGTTTACTGCCACCTGGGGCATCTCAATATGCTGCGTGCTTTGCACATGTGCCGTACTCTGGTTCTGCGGTGTGCCGTGTACAACGGCAGACTGCGGTCGGAAGTTTGCCGTTTGATGATTATACGCATGGAATGTCGGTGCTGAGCCAACTGACGACGTATTCGTGGCAGCAGAATCTTGATTCGCAAATGTCGCGGGCTTCGTGAGGTTGGACTCTGAAGGCGTCCAAGGTTTACGGGGCCTCTCAAACGAAACCTCTCTGTTCACTGGAGCACAAGCACCCGCAAGGCTGTACGAGTAGGCTATAGCTTTGGCAATGTATGACTGGTGGTTGCATATGGGTCTGGAAATAGGGGCTGCAGGCCTGGGTGGCTTGGGTATGGTGTCCAAAAAGTTGCCCTTAGGATTGTGTCGTTGCCGTGCAAGATCTTCAGTATACTGTGCCCTCGCCTCTGTCGACGTCTTGCCGAGATAGTGCCAAATTTGATCTGGCTTGGTGAGATCGACTTTGGATTGTCCCTTGTTTGAAACTTCACAGGACTCAAACTCCGCCCATCTGTAGCCTTCGCAAAACAAGTCATCCTTCCTAGGTTTATCGGCGTGGAGTCTCTTGGTGTTGAGTTTATCCTTGGCCTTGCGAGAAGCAGGCATGGGCAAAGCCTTTGCGGATGCCTTTGGGAGATGGTAATCAGCCGGATCTGGCAGAACGAGCCACTTCCATTCGACTTCCAACTGGCCCCTTTGAAAAGTTAGCGTTTGTCGCGAATTTGACCATTTCAATGTATACACGTACCCCTGAGGAAGTAGATCGATTAGGAGGGTTTCGTCATGCAGACGGTTTTCGACAATGACACCAGCAAATATTTCACCCTTGAGGTACTGCAGCTGACAGATTTCACCCGTCTTGAGCTCCTTGGCTGCGCTTCGAATATTGACGTCCATTTCCAGGGCGCTGCCATCAGTCTTCTTGTCCCGCCTTACTCGGTGGAACCGACAGGTGAACTCGAACGCCTGCTCCTTGTATTCTGTACCATCTTCTGCGAACACGGGGATGTCTTGATCTTCGACAAAAACGCCAGCCGCAGCTGCACACGTGGCGTGATAGGCTCTTGCACACTTCTGGTGAGAGCACTGGAAGCAAGCGCCGCGTCTCGAGCGGCAAAGCAAGCACTTAAGATTCAGTCGGTCCTTGTGCACGCTTCCAACATTGCAGATGACCTCCTTGCCATCGACAGAGTCCATATATGTTTCGGGAATATAGAGGCCGCATAACTTGTGAGCCTTGCGACCCTCGTCTGTAGGGAGAACATCGAAGTGAGGAATGTCGTTGGGACAGAGGCAACATGGTGGTTCCATTTTAGCCTTGAGTCGCAATCTGATCCTCTTGACTCTGGCCTTGTCTTCACCTGCACCTCGCTTTCTCTTCTTGATCGCATCCTTGATAGCACCGTTGATCGCTGGCGGTGTAGGTAGGCCAGATAGATCTTCGTCATCATCGTCGTCATCATCATCCTCTGTCTCCTCATATTCCGTTTCCTCCCCGCGAAGTTTCCGCTCGATTTCGTACACATTGATCCAGACACTGTCTTGGGCTTGTGCGCATTCGCATCTTTTGGCAATTTTGCCCATCTCTAGCCAAGAATCCAAGGCAAAATTGACGGCCTCGGCACAGTTGTAACCAAGATTATAGCCCGAATGGTAGCCGTAAGGATACGTTACCACGAATTCGCCGGGGTATGATACAACCTTGTTCACCTTGATTCCGTAATGTTGCAGCAAATGATGGGGAGAAATCAAGAAGCCCTTGTGTCGTAAGAACTGGTTGCACGCCTTGGCATCCGCAGGCCACACACTCTTCATGGCACCCTCAAATCGACGGGCGTCAGCCTGAGAAATACTATACCACTGCTTGGGCGCACCAAAGTGGAGGTAGTTGATGCTGTATAAGTCCACATCTTCGAGATGCCAGGCAAAAGTAGCTTTCCACATTCCCAGATACAAATATGCCGTGTTGACTCCTGGGATTTTTGTGCCAAGGACATCCAACAGATTCGGAAGTTTGTTAAGATTCCAAGTGCCTGTTCGGTCATCAAAAAGAGTACCCATCATGTCGGCCCCATACAACGGTGCTGCGTAGGTAAGGGTCTTCCAGTACGCTCGTTCCAGTTCTTCGCATCGCTCTGGGGTAAAGTCCGAAATATCCATACGATAATCGAAATCTTTGAAGGCCGCCTCGTCAATCATGGTTGATCCCTCCCGTCTGCTGTACTTGCGACGGGCAGACACAGACTGTGTCTTGGGCTTGGCGAGTTTGGCGCCGCCCATTCGACTGTCTATTCTGCCAACAAGAGGTTCACCGTCTTGCTGGACTTCTTCTCCGAGTTCCTGCTCGATAGAGTCAACAAGCTTGTCTGCCCCTTCCTCAGGATCAGCATCAGGCTCTGGCTTGGGCGAGATGGGAGTCATGGGACGTTCATCCCCGTCGTTGGACTTCTTTTTTGCCTTGTTCTTGGCTGGTCGGCCTCTGCCGCGCTTCTTTGAGGTTGATGGCTTGGAATCTTTGGGGGCGGCAGGTCTCGGCCGAGCTGGCTTGGGTTTATCGGCATTGGCTCGGCGTTCACCACGTCTGGCGGGAGGCTGGTGCTCGCTCTGTTCGCAGAGTTGGCGCCACTGTGGAACATTGTAGGACCGGCCGTGGAGAATGTTGACTTGCCGATAGGTGCCATTGGACCCCATGATATCTTGCTTGATGGGTTCTCGAACTCGGATGTGCTTGACAAGTTCATCCAATGGAGGTTGGGCGTCTTTCCATTCCTTCGGGGGAATGATTTTGATGATGCCGGACTTCATACCGTATCGGTCAACCTTTTTCATCTGCAAAGAAGCAAGTCAGTATTGAGTCATGGTGCATTGATGATGCCCATTTGAGACATACAAATTTCTGGAAATCCTTGAATTGGTGCCATGTCGGGCGAAAGATGGGGACGGCCCCAGACCAGTCATCAGGGAGTACTTCTCCAATGTCGTCGTCGTCGTCGTCTTGGTCTTGTTGTTTTGCCCCCTCGGGGCTTTTGGTTGGTGAAGGTGCAGGTACACAAGTAGAAGTCGTCGCAGCCGTGGCCGTAGCCGTGGCCCCAGCCCCGGAATGTGCAGATGCAACTTGGGGCGCGGGTTCGGGCGTGGGTGCGGAAGGTGCATCGTCGAGAGTCGGTTCCTCGTCAAGGTCACTCAGCTCCGAGTCGCTCGCATCGACGTCAGACTTGGTCGCATTGTTGCTATCGGGTGGCGAGTTCAAAAATACGGGCGCGGGCGGCTTTGCACATTCAATCATCATCTGGACTTGGGAGTCGGTGACATGTTGATTGGAGGCTGACGTCGGAGCAGGACGTGCAGTTGGTTGAGGGTCGGAGCTTGAGCTGGGTCCCGGTGCCTGGGACGGTGCCTGGGCCTGGAGCTGGGACTGGGAGGCGGGAGCCCCAGGATCTAGAGGCGCTGCGTCGCTCACGACGTCGGTCGACATGGTGGTTGCCTTGGAGTCGCTACATGCGACCGGTCGGCAAGACGGACAGCTCGTGGTTAATTGTGCACAGCAGTAAACATGAAGCAAAGGCCCGGGAGACGGGTGGTGGGAAACACAAAGTGACGCCAGGAGCTTGCAGGGAGTCGTTGGTGTGCGAGGGCGAGTGTGTGCGCGTGAGCGGGAGCGTGAGTGCGGGTGCGGGTGAGAGTGCGAGTGCAGGTCGAGTGCAGGTGTGAGGCGAACGGCGCTCGTGCAACGTCGGGACCCCGTCTCCTTCAGTGTGGCCAAGTGGTGTCCTGGTTGGCTACGGCTAGGTACTTAAGTAGGTACTTCAAGTAAGTTCCCAAGGTACCTACCTAGGTAGGTAGGCTGGAGGCTCAGGTCCATGTTCCCGCGAGTGGTGCAGGAGTACTCATCAGTACATCTTTAATCGAATGCGGTACGGGGTGGCACTAGCAGGGTACTTTCCTAGGAAGGGAATACTTGACTTAGTGAGCTGGTGCTCGTTTGCTCAAGTTCTTAAGTACTTAGGGAGGAAGGAGCCAAACGGCCTAGCCACAACATGGAAGCCGCCCTTCTTCAAGTCATCAAAAAGCACCTCAGCGGTGAGCGCCATGTTTGGGCGACAAAGCGTTTGAGAACTACTCGATTCAACTGGTGCTTCGGCCATGGAGACACGGAAAGAGCGGAGGCGAGGCCAAGGTCCTCTTGCCAGAGATCAAGATAATAGAGTTCCTACCGCACTGTCCTGCTCATCAGTGGTTTTACAGTCAAGTAGAGGCACACCGAACAGTACTTCCCCTTTATGTACTTAAGTACCTACTTAAGTACTTAGTGAGTACTTACTGAGGGAGGTACTTAGGCAGGTAGTCAAGTACTTTTAAGTACTTGAGAAGGCACCTAAGGTTCTCGATACCCACCTTTCTACACACCAAAAACATGTATCTCCAAGTATCTAACTACTTAAGTAAGTACTGGGAGCCCAGATAGGTACCTCGGTAATCATGCCCTCTTTCCTCCTTTCATGGCCCACCGTTCTTGTCAATCAAGACAACCGATTGCCGATCTCGATACGAAGCCCGAGGCCTCGGAGATGTTCGCGTTCGCACATCGATTGCATGGTTGCTGGACTTGAACCGTTGGGCACCTTGCCAAGAGACAAGTTTACTACTTCTTGGCCATATTTCTTCATTCTCCAACAGAATGTCCGGGACATGTCTGCGCCCATCCAGCAGTCGAGGCCGGTTGCAAGTTGTCTGTCTGCGTGTCACAAGGGCCACAGCCGTCCCTTGTAGGCCACATCGATTGATAAGATAATCGTGTAGGGCGCACATGGAGGTGGTCACATCTCATGTAGTTGATGTTAATATTTACAGAGGCAATATATGTGGAAATTGGGTAGCGGTCCAGCACCACAATAACCCGCCCATGTGAAGTGGAACAACCACGTCAACTTGGGTTCCATGGTCTAACGGTTATGACTGCGGATTCTGATTCCGCCAGCGAGGGTTCGACTCCCCCTGGAACCTTCCTTCCTTTTTGGCCTTTTCGCTCTGTCAAATAGTTGACTAGAAGGCAGACGTTTGTTCAGGCCCAAAGTCGGTCGCTTCTTTGCACAAAAGTCAACAGAGCAAGAGCCATGCGATGGGACGAGCAGGATGCATCATCGTGTATTCAAAGGTACCGCAGCATCCGAGTCCAAGGCTTGCTAGTACCATTACTCCTCCGTACATGTTATGGCTTTCCTTTTCTTTTCACCCTCCACAGCCACGGAAGAGGCGCCAAAATGCGCCGTGGATGCGCCGTGGATGCGCCTCAACCACCACGTGTGTAGCCGCAAGCGGCAGCTTGAAGTCACAGCCCCGGGTTCAACTCTAATTCATAGTCAAAAGGTGTCCAGAGAGAGTTGATGATGAATCAACCCCAGACGAATTGCCTAGATTTCTGCGGATTCAATCAATCTCCGGCCCCGCATCGCAAGTCGCCGCCCATCGACGCCCACGACCATGAGCTGCTCGGATTGGAGCCGTCGTTGGGGTTGGGAGTCGATGCAGCTGGGCTTGCTGAGCTAGTCGAAGTTGTCAGCCATTGACTCAATGCCGCAGTGGCAGACAAGTACGCCCAAACTCTGTCCAGGTGGTCTTGTGTCGAATCTGACCGTCTCTTCACGCTCATATCAGGCGTCTTCCGCGGATCCGGGCGAGTCGTCCTTTGCTCAACCTCATCCTCTCTACGCATGTGGTGGTTGACCAAGACCATCGCCGTCACGTCGGGCATGATTACTGTATTGGTGCTTGACACTTGACATAGTCACATAGATGATAGGACGGACCCCTAGGGCGTACCATGACTTCGACCTCAATTCTTGTCGCCGTGGGTGGCTTGTTGGCGCGCGTCGCTGCGCAAACTGCAAATCCAACCGTCCGCGCCGCCGTTGTCTTCATCAATCACGGCGAGACCACGCCCAACCTTGTCAGCGATCGTGCCATCCTCACGCCCAACGGCGCTCAGCAAATGCAGCGACTGGGGGCTGCCTTTCGCAGTCGATATCTGGGCGGCACCGCAGGCAATGCCACCTCGTCAAATAGCGCAGAACAAGCTCCCATCCTGAGCTTGTCGACCGACAGCATTGACAATGCCCAGATGACTATCATGGCTGCAACGCAGGAGTGGTCGACCAACAGTGCTGCTGCATTCATGCAAGGACTCTATCCTCCCAAACCTGGTACGAGCTACGTCGGACGTAACCTTGCCTTGAACTCCAACACTACGGATTACCCATTGGATGGCTACCAGTATGCTCAAATCATGACATATTCGAACTCGGATGTTAACTCTGTTGCGTATGTTCTTGTCTCACCTACACGCAGGGGCATTGCCAGAGTCAGGGGGAGAGGACGCTAATTCGAGCTCCAAACATGCAAACAGGATCCAAGGCTATGAAGCCTGCACCGCCTGGCAAGACCAGATGAGCCAGAACCTGTCCCGGAGCACCGAGATCGCCCAGAGAGTCAGCGACAAGGCCTATTTCTATAGTAAACTATTCGCCAGTGGCCCCATGCAGGGCAGCTTGCCAGCGAGCCAAGCAACGTACCTTAACGCGGAAGAGATATACCACTTTGTCGACTTCAACTACGCCTACAATGAGACGGTTCACAACAGCCTCCAGGACCCCAACGGCACTCTTTCCGTCCTGCAAAACAATGCGTTTTCGCTTGAGAAGACCAAGACCAGCTACAGCGACAAGAATACAAACACATCTGATGCCGCCAACGTGCTTTACAGCATTGCCGGCCGTACGTTGGCCGACAAGGTCACCGATCAGTTCAGCACCTTCCTCGCAACCAGCGGGACGAGGGGCAAGCTGACGTTGATGTTTGGATCTTTCCAGACCTTGATGGCCTTCTTTAGCCTCGCGGGTCTCATCGACGACCAGAGCGCCGCGGCGGACGCGTTTAGCCAGCTACCAAGGCCGGGCTCTGCGATTGCGTTTGAGCTCGTAGGCGACACCAACTCCAGCGACGATTTTGATGGTCTTCAGGTGCGGTTCTCATACAAACCGAGTGCCGACGCTGAGGATAAATTCTCGACGCATCCCCTTTTTGGATCCAAACACGGTGGCGCCGGCGCCTACATGCCTTACACGTCTTTCTTCAGCAACATGAGCGAGATCAGCAAGACCCCCCGCCAGTGGTGCAAAATCTGCAGCCCAGGATCAACAGCGACCTTTTGCTTGAACTCAACCCTCTCAGACGGTCAGGAAAGCGGTTCATCTTCAAGCGCCATCAGTCCCGCCGTTGCCGGCATCCTCGGTGCCGTGCTGACGGCCGTCCTCATTGCATGCGTCGCAGCGGGATTCGCAGCCCTCGGCGGCTGGCGTTTCAGTCGCCGTAAGGGGGGCCCGGGCGGCCCGGGGCCTGCAGGCTCTGCCGTAGGAGGATTCAGGGGAAAGGACAAGATGGCCAGCGACGCTGACATGACGGTGTCCAACGCTGGGCGGAACCAGGAACGTGTGGGGAGCTGGGAGCTGGGAGATGGCCGGACGGGAGGCGCCGTCGTGACCGGCAAGTTTGCCCAGAGGACGAGAGCAATGGACGAGGACGGAATAAGCATCACGGGCGCCCCCGTCAAGGCGAGGGAGACCGTGTGAGACCGTGCGATTGATACCCGGAGAGGGCGTGGCAGACGCAGCGAGGACATGCACCTCGCAGGTGCGCCTTTGTAATGCTGTCGGATTGCCAGCTGTATGGCGTGATGAAGCACTCCTTTTCTTCTTCTTTTCTTCTCCTTGCCAAAGCGCAGCGCAGAGGCTCCGTAAATGGCACATGGTGAAATGACAATCTAGGGCTCGGCCTATCCATGGCCACTTTTCTAGCTACATTGGCATTTGATGCTTGCCTCGTGCCAGACTTGTCTGTGCTCCTCACAAGACACAAGAAACCTACACCCCCACAGCGGAGCAAGAGCAAAAGCCCATTCAAGCATCTCCACAGACTCTTCCTGTTAAACAATCAAAGGAGGGACCGGGACCTCCTTTGTGTACGCCGGAGGGGGAAAAGTTAAAAATGACCGCCGAACCGCCCACTGAAACATTCCGTACATGTACGGAGTATTTACTACTGCTATTGCCAAGCCTCCCCGCCACGCTTCGACACCGAATTCGGAGGTAGACGTCATCCATCCAAATCGCTCATGAGTCATCGGCAGTCGGCATATAAAGTCAACCAACTGCACCTACGACTCAGCTCAACTCTAGAATGATTCCGCAAACAACCACTAGTGAGTGGCGCAAGGGTGACCAAGTCTACAGGGAGCAAGCAGTGTTGGCACTTTGGCTTTCCGCATCCCCGTCACGTTACCACACGGAGTGTTAGGAGCGTTTCGGCCACATATCGTCAGTGCGAGAACGTGCCTTGGTCATTGAACTGAAGTTGATTGATCGAGTGGCAAAGGGCCTTACTCTCTCCTCTTATCTATACAAAAGTCGCCTCATATCCATCGTTCTTGCCGCCGCATTGAAAATAGAGCAAAGAAAATAGACTTTCCCAAAAGCCTACGTCACATGTCCCGTGATTTTCCCAAACGCCGGAGAAGCTGCTTACATGCCCGCCCAATGGGGGAACAAACGAGGTCACGAGAATAATGTTCTACCCGTCGAATGCTCACTGCCTGCTCTGCAGCAGAACTCTTTACAAGCCAATGGTCAAGAGTTCTAACCTTGACACAACCGCGTCAGTGTTGGCACTTAATCGTTGGACACGAGCCATGGCAAAAGCGGCCGTAGTCTCTTCCTCTGTAGCATCAACAAGTTCGTAGCGGGAAAGCAGCTTCTCAGACACGATACCGCCGAAGAGGTCGACACCAGTCAGGTTCTCAGTGTCAATATCTCTCGGTGTTGGGGTAGTAGTATCGGCTTCCGTATGGAACAGGGCGAACTCAGGGTCGGACTCAAACTCATCGTCCATAGGAGACCCAGGTGTAGCCAGAGCTTTAGTCTCAACCGGCCGGTCAATGACGGGTACCTCGAGCTTTTCATCATCAGAGCTGAATGACTCTTCTACAAAGTTGGACATCTTTCCAGAGAGAACGGAAGCGTCAATGGCATTGGGTACTTCAGGGGTGTCAACAACGAAGACCTGAGGTTGGAAGTTGTAGGTGTGGCCAAGGCTAAGAAGAGAAAAGTCCATCGTCTGCTCAGGGATCATGGCCATTCCGATTTGCTGCGGCGAGGAGAACTGGCTGTTGTAGGCGTTGACGTCCTTGGGGATTTGATTCTGTTCCTGCTGCGGCGCCTGTTCGATTTTGACGGGAGTGCCCTGGGGGACACAGGTAGGGTTGGCGCTGAGGTTGTCAAGAAAAGTAGAAAATGACGGCGATGAAAGAAGCATGCGAGTCAGATCAGTCAGCCGCTTATTCTCGTCCATGAGAGCACGGTTCTGGGACCTCAGGTCACCGTTCTCGTTGACCTTGTTTGCGATCTCGGCTTCAAGCTGGGAGATGTATTCTAGGCAATTGTTAGCAAGTGGCCGCAACAAGTAGAGACGTATTCAAAGGAAGAAAAGAAGAATTACCTTTTCTGCGGGATCGGAAAGCACGAGCGGACACCTTGTTTCTAAGTTGTCGTCGCTCCTTGCTGCTGAGCTTCTTGCCTTCCTCACTAGCAAGCAGACGCTCGTCCTCGTCCATTTCCTCCTCATCCTTCTTGGCCCTGGGCAGGTTGTTGGTAATGGACTGAGACTCGAGCTCATCTGACGCAGGCTTGGCCCGCATCGAGTTAAGGAGCTGGGTAATCTTCTGCTCAACGATAGGATCAGTGGGCTGAGAAGCCTTGCCGCGAGGCTTTGCAGGGCCCGGGCGCTGATTCTGCTGGATGAGCTGTTGCTGCTGTTGCTGCTGTTGCTGCTGCTGTCGTTGTTGAGCTTGGGCCTTGGCGAGAGCGGCTTGGGAGTGGGCGCCAGGCCATAGACGACCGACGCTGCTTGTCTGGGGGAGGGCGGAGCTATCCTGTTCGATGTTGCCGGGATTGACGGTAGAGAAGAGCTGCGAGTCCGCAGGGGAGTCAAACTCCATGTCTATGGTAGCCTGCGAGGGCGAGGCGTTGAAATCGAAGACATCGTTCTCGGGGCTGAAGCTAGAAAGATAGTCGAGGCTACTCAGGTCCTGGTAGCCGGTGTTGTTGGACTGGTTCACGGCCATGGTATTTGTCAGGGCGCCAGGCACGAATCCAGTCTGCTGGCGGTACATGTCATAATTGTGACTGGGACCACTCAGTGTCTGGGACGTTGAGGACAGACTCGGTGTGCTGACGGCGGCTGTGACTGGGCTGGCGAAAGTGAGTTTTGAAGATGTCGAGGGTGATGACGGGGAGTTGTAGCTGCCATCACAGGCAGAAAAGTCGAGGAGGGCATCGACATCGATGTTTTGGCTCGAGGTCGACATTTTGGACACTTCGAAGAACGACTCTTCAGCGGGCACAATGGCCAAGTTGGGTCAAAGTCCTGAGGATTAGCTACCAGGAACGGCCGGCTCGGGTATAGGTGTCGCAATTGATGCGGCGACGGTTACGATCGTGTTGTCTTTAGACGACGATGATATGTCGATGTGGACTGCCCAAAAATTGTTTTCTTGAATTCGTGAACCAAAACCCAAAGGTGTGGAAGGAGAGCAAGAAATGAAAAGGGGGCCCAGGAAGGCTATGGATGGGATGGATGCCTCGTTGATGATATTCTTGCCCAGGACTGGGGCTCCCGGCCAAAATCCAGCGCCTGCCCGAGCGGGCTGGAGTGGATGAGCAGGGGTCATTGGCGGGGAGGTGGGCAGTGGACGCGTCAGCTCCCTTTCCAGAGTGAAGGCAATGCCAAGGTTAGGCGGCTCTTGATTGGCTCAGGTTGGGTGCCGAGATGGCCAGCGCCCCATGCAAGGTATCTCGCCACGACTTTTGGCTGCGGTAGATACCTGGTTGGCTGCTGGGGCCGAGGCCACAGGGTCGTTTTATCTCGTGCTTGTTTCGCCGCCGTTGCTGTCTCTCCATCGCTCCTTCTTTTTGGGACTCGCTCTCCGATGTACCACGTATTACGGAGCATGGCGCCCCGGATTGCTTGATGACGACGCCCTCTATCTCCTTCCGACTAGCCCGTCATCAGCAGGCTCTCACCATCTTCTAGTGAGGTGCAGTTTAGATGCAAAGCAGCCCGTGGCTACCGCAGCAGAAACGCCCGTCCTGCGTCAAAGCAATGGATTTAATAAGAACTGGGGCTGATGAAACTCGTCGAAGTGAAGGCGACGACGTGTTGCTCGGGTCAACCCTGATTACGATGATATGCCGGTTGTTACACCATGGGCTGCCCTTCGACACAAATTCAGACGGGTGCCGTTGCCCAGCGCGGGCCTTCAACACTCTGGTTGATTCCATGCGGAAAGGGACTGAAGAAGCCTGGTTCGGGTTTCCGAATAGCCCGAGACCGCTCTGTTGTTAAAATTAGACGGTTGCGATGGAATATGGTACACCATCTTTGCCTCCAAGACTGCCTTGGCGCCCTAGTGCCTGACGGATTGTGGCTGTACGGAGTAGCCGTTTCACACGTCCCAGCCGTTGTCGATGAAGCATTTCCCGAGCATTGCGCTCGTGGCCCATCCTGGTCGGATGATTGCCCCATCGCATTGAACCATGTGACCAATCACGTGCGCTATACGAACCCGGCCCACATCTCGGCCAATCACAGTTGAGATGCTCTTGGATGAGTTAAGAATAGCTGCCTTGGAGCCTTGGATGCCATGGGTACTCCTGCTTGATAACTAGTAGTTATACTACCCACCTAGGCATCGCAACCTGAGAGCAGACGTTGGAGGATATGGCGAAATTTGAAAACCGAAGGAACAAACAATAGTAAGTCAGTCGTTGTCGGGAGCCGGATCCATCTGGCAAGAAACCGTTTTGGGACAATACCATGTCCGTCTTGACTCTTCAAACAGGACATGCTCAAAGATTCAACAAAGGACCGGAATTTCACCTCGTCCTGCGGTGCTACTGTGGGCGCTTGGGATTCTGTCACATTCCAAACGTTGGACTGCCATGTTTCATTTATTATGCACAGCGAGCCCAAGGTCTCAGTCTGGTTCAAGTGCTGTGCTGCTTTCTCTAACCCGCCGTCAGTCAGGCTGACGGCATATTCAGGCCAGAGCTTTGTTTTCTTCTTCTTTCCCCTTTTTCCTCCCTTTTCTCCTTTTTTTTTCTCGCCCTCCAACCTGACTGTGTTCGTAATGATTGTTAGAATAAGCGATCAATTACGAGTGGACAATGTTGTGGAGAAATACACGAGAAATACACGAGGGCTGAAAGTGTATTTATACCGAGGGTACTCCGTATCCCCCAACCTAAGTGCTGTGGGTCAACAAAATTTGACAACTATTGAAGCTAGACCTTCTTCTATTATAACAATCTCGCTAGGCTTGTCCATGACATGGCAGACCAGTAGCCAAGACGACTAGCGATTCATGCCATTCCTGTGCGCGGTCCTCTTCCGGAACGGCCATCAATCACGTGTGTATTCTGGTGTCTGCAAGGCCTCAGTAGTACCAAGGACTGTAGACCACAATCACAGCCCAACCATGTCACAGCAGTGTGGGAAGGGTGCTATGGTATTTGTGCCGTTCTACACGCAACCGGCTCTCGTATTGAAAACGGCCATAGGATACCTAGACAGATCGTTGCCGCCCCAGGAACTCGGGCAGCATTGTTCACGAACACCGCACACAGTCAGCTCGCAGACATCGTTTCAGATTCACTGCACAGCCACATGCTTCGCAGCTACCAAAAATCTGCCTCTGAGGCCAGCATAGCAGAAAGAAGTATCAACTGATGGTAAACGAAAGCGCCGAATGTTGTGGCCATCCAACAATATATTCTCACACCCATTGGCGCCCAGCATCCAACCTGCACGTGACTGTCTTACGGTGGTCCATAACCTGGGCGGCATGCGCCAATCAGGCGTGATTATATAAACAACCAGGCACCGGATCGGTACCCAAACTCAAGACCGCCAGTTGACAAGGTTGATGCTCTCCTTTTGCATCTTCGACTGGCATATTTCATGTTTGCCGGTCGAACATCGGTGCTCGTTGTCGCCAACTATCAGCGTCCTGCTATTGTCATTTGGCAGTGACCACGGCGCGTGATGCTGGCATTCCGCCGTCCCAGCCTCCCAACAAGTGATCTCTGTGCACCCTTCTATCTGAACACTGCCCTCAAGCAAAAGTTGCGAGGAGGGGAGGTTCTTAGGCCGGCTGCTGGCCGTGGTTTCACTTACTTTTTGCGGGCTATCTGACGCGCTCCCGTCAATTCTTCGAGGAAGTTTGGGCAATAGCAAACGCTACCCAAGGTCTCTCGGAAACACTGTCCCAGCACATGTGCCTTGTTGAGCTGTGTTCAACTTGGTCTTCTCGCCTTGACCCTGACTGACCCTAGGATTTCGCTTCAAGGCTTTCACAATTCGCATCATGGTAAGCTCGGGGATAGATCTTTGAAAATCATGGGGAGGGAAAAACGAAAAGTCAAGCCTCCTATTGGAGTCAGCGGCCTCAAGGAGAAACGCAGACGAAACCAGAGATTTCTGTTTGACCCTCTAGCACCTGCTCTTCGGGACCTTGCGGCAAAGCCAACGCTGCCGAAATCCAGGCATCACACATACTTCGAGTTTGTTGAGAATACAGACAAGAAAGACAAACCCCTTCAACTCAAGGTACAAATGGGCCAATGCCAGCGTTCAAACCTGTACCTTGCATGAGGCTCACCAATGATAGGAGACCGAAGACAAAATCCCGCCTCCAGGTTTCGAGTTTGTCCCCATCGGTAACCCATGGCTGACAAGAGCGTGCAAAGATCTTTCCCGCGAGAAAGACGCCATGATTTTTGTAGTTTCGGTACGCATTCTGCAAGACCGGAAAAAAGCTAAAAATGGGAGAAAATGTGCCCATGGGCAGAAAACTGACAGTGATCAGCCCGTCACTACCAACAACAGTCTATCTCAACAGGTCAACCGACTAGGTCACCACATCAGACAGACCATCGTTGAAGAAGCCAAGGCCACCATAGCGGACCTGCCGGAATCAGGAGCAGCTACACCGGATGGAAATCCGGAGCCAATTCCTGAGACCCAAGCGGAATATCATGCCCAGGCAGACGCAGCGCTTCGTGACCTGTTCCCTCGCATCCCCAACACTGACCGTCAGATAATCATCGAGCATGCTTTCACACGGGTTAGTATCTCCATCATTCGCCCTCTTCTGTACTCTTTGACGAACCGTAAGTCTTCCCAGCGTTCGAACACAAAAGGAGAATCATCCGTGGGATTCTCCGATAATATTCCCCTGGCTCGACGTGTCCAGTTGGCAGTGCTTGCTCACATTCGCCACACTCACACAAGGTATGATGAATTACTGAAACAAGCCGGATGGCAAGCTGCCCGCAAAGCCGTCGAAACCCTGTGTCTCGACATCCTCGTCAAGTGGCGAGGAGACGAAGAGACGGGCCGTGATCAACTGGATGAAATATTGCGCGAAGTCGTCGTCATCTCGGACTCCGAAGATGACAGCTCAGACGAAGAGACAATGGATGACGCCTCAACTGATGGCGATGGCTCATCCAGTTCTGTCATGATATCTACCACACCACCCGCGGTTCTTCCACGAATGGCAGCCGTAGAACAGCCTGGATCTCCGGGACCAACCGCACTAGCAGAAGGACACTCTGCACATACCGAGGAATTGGCCACTGCCAGATCCATGGACTACGTACGGAAGACGGACCGGAAGAATCAACGTGGCTTTAAGAGGTACCGTGCTTGGCAAGAGGCTATCATGCGCAGCCGCGAAGCAGACGATGATCGCAGTGGGCTCATAGTTGGCGGCGTGGGCGAATATAACCCACGTCACCCACAAATTCCTACCAGACAGCTTGACGCTCATCGAAGCACAACCTACAACGGCGGCCACGTCGAGCGAGCTGCCCATTGCTTCGCAGTAGGCTCCGGCCTTCCACTCATGGACTTCCAGTCGTACACCCGCCCAGTTACTTCTCCGACGTATGCCAACCAGTCCACCGGAATTCAAGCTTCTCGTGACGCTCTGAACTCCTCGGTGTATGAACTCCCGGCGGAAAGCGCCTCGTCAATAAGGATGATGTCCCCTATAACAAGACGTCTGCGAGATATGGCCGTCCCTTCCATTGAACCAGTCTCGTCAGAGACGGTGATGCAGCCGGCGTTTGTAAGGGCCGTGCCGCCGAGGCAACAGGATCGCCTAGACCCTTTGCCTGCTCGGCCACCATCTTTGTTCCACACCGCTCGCAGTATGTCACCTATGGATGGCGGTGTTCGCGACTCCCCAGATCGCGGAGGTCGCCGGGTAATTAGCGGTTACTCAGCCGACAGGAGATTGCAACCTAGCAATTCGGTTCTCGATGCTCCCATTTATGTTCCCCGGGAACGTGTTGACTATCCGCTCATCTCTGACGCCTCCGGTCATGCCAGGCCCGCGTCCCAAGGTTGGATCAGACCATACGAGCATCCCATGCGGGCTGATGCCCCAAGGGGCGATAGAATCATAGTGAATGCATCACGGCCCGGGACACGTACTAATCCAGTCCTTATGGAGGATCGTGGCGGCTTCTTTGAAAGGGTGGCCTTGCCGCCAGAGCCAAGAGCATTGAGGCATCAGAATGAAGACTCCATTGCATTCCTTTCTGAGCCGTACAGGGCGACGGGGTCCTACAGAGTCGTCTCTTCAGAGCGGAGTACTGAAATACCGCAAGACAATCGAGGGAATGCTGACATCGAAGTGATACCTATACCTCGGCCAGGTGCCTTGCCTAACTCGCGTCACTCAGAACGCTTTTACGGCTATCAGGCGCAGTCGTATCAGTCATCCATGCCAGAGCAATCAGATAGTCAAGATGTAGAATCCGGAGACGGCCCCGGACATGGTGTGGCTGGCAGACATTGGCCTGCCCCAGAGGTGTAAGTACCCTCACGTTCTCGCACGCCTCGCAGAGACAGACAAGCATCAGCGGGCTCTCACACTATAACAGGAGACGATATCCTCAGGTGGATGGCCCTTCACAGATTCGCCAGCCGTCATATCGCGCGCAGCACGGTAAACGTCTGGCAGCAGATGACCACTACAATAATGCTTCACGGGGACGTCGGCGTGTACGACAGTCTGACGATGTCATTGTATTGGAATGACAAATATTAGATGGAGGATCCCGCGCATGATTGACCGCATTTATGTCTTTTCAATTAGAATCGACTCCAAAGCATAGCGACGGTGTTGGCATAGAACGAATTCATGACGGGAAGGGGCACGAGTGACGACATCACAGGCTGTTTGCTACGAGCTTTGTCATGAGACGATTGTGCGATGGAGATACCCAGCATGAGAAGAAGGCAAGCGGGCGTTGGGACACCAGGAAGGGGTCCCGGGGAGAAGGAGGAGGGAAAATGCACAGAACAATTGTTTTCATTCTATGAGTGGGTTTTCATGGCTTGGTTTTGACGATGGCGAGGAATCCACGTTCATTGCTTCATTGAGTCTTGTTCATACGTTTGATCAGTTTGATAAAGGGTTACCAACCAATTCATTACATGTCGTCTTGTTATAGGGGTAAATCAGCTGTGCCGCCGCATAGGAAATGAATGCAATTTTGTTGGGGGAGATGATGAGAAGTCATGTATATTGCTCGATCCTCGTGTTGGATAAATCGCCCGGGAAAACACAGCAATACCGGCCAACATACTCCATGTCATGAACGGGGGTATCCCATCTGCGATCTCGTCATCGAAGGAATGGCTCCGTCAAACTGAACTTTCAATCAACCTCGGCTCCGCCTTTTAATTCCGCCCCCTCCTACTTTTTCCAATGCCTTGCGCCGGAGCACCCCGTCTCTTTTCAATGCCTAACCCTCTTCGCCCCGCTGAGATACTCCCCTTGCCACTTCGTCCGCCTTGCGCACCACGTCCACCTCTCATGGCCCCTCTACCGCGGAACCTGTTCCCCCTATCGGCCCGGCCGGGGCTAATCTTGTTTTTCATCATGGCGGCGTCGTCCTCATCCATCTCGTCCATGTCATCGTCGTCTTTGGAGCGGCGATTTGAGAACTTGAGCTTGCCGCCTCTGCCTCGTTTCGCTGCGTCTTTGCCCTTGAGAGCGGCGACATAGGCGCCCACTCCCGAGGTTCCGGGCTTGTCAATGTCCATGCCATCTTCGGCGGCAGCTTCGTGGTCGCTGTCCGCGCCGAGGATGAGCTTGCCGTCAGGGTCGAATCTGGGCTTGGATTTGGTGGGGTGCCGATTCTTGAGAGGTTTGGTGGAAGAGATGTTGGCGAGTGCTTTCTTGTCCAGCAGATCGAGCGGCTCATCGTCATCTTCAATAATGTACGTCTTGCCGCCCTTTCGGGGCCTTTTCTGTCGGGGCGCTGCACCGCCATCATCTGAGGGGGCAGAAACGTCGGAGTCGCTACTGTACAGGGCTTGGTCGTACTCGTTCTCATATTGACGCTTCCCGGACTGCTCGTCGTTGGAAGCATCACTGGCATCATCACCTCGACCGGCACGAGCAGCGTCCTTCTTCTTCTTGCTGTGTTCCTTTGCCTTGCGGATGTTGACGATGAGCTTGCGATCGGCCTCTGGGCAATTCTTGTGAACGAGGTCATAGCCAAAACGGCGTACCATGCGTTCAAGAATGTGCTTGACCTTGGCTTTAAAGTGACCCTTGTGTTCGCGGCTCCAGACGATGAGGTTGGGGACGAGCGTAGCTAGGCGTGGGGTCATCAGCTCCACGGGGAGGCTGATGACGCAGACTTTGACGAAGCCGAGACAGCTCTTCACGATTTCGCGATTATTGGAGGTGAGAAAGAGATCCATGGTTTGGACAAGATCGGAGAGCGTCTGCTCCGCCAGGGAGGAGCGGAATTCGTAGAGGAGACGGCTGATGGCAGTGATTGAGGCGGAAATCATGTGAGGCGTACTACCAGCGAGACCGGCGCTGACCATGGTGAGGTACTCCTCAATATTGGCAGTTCCGGCCGGTGCGCCGTTGGGCATGTGAGGAACTTTGCTGTTGTCGATTTTGGCGCCGTTGGCAGCAATCATGCGGTGGCCTATTTGCACAAGTAGGTCGTAGGCAGTCTCTCGAGCACGCTCGTTGTTTTCCTTGCAGCAGATGACAACTTCGCTGAGTATCGAGGGAATGAAGTGGAGAGACTCGTCAGAGACAAACGGGAGAAGAGCGGAAATGGCTGCCAGTCGCTCGCGTCGAGCTGGAGCAGACACCTTTTCGGAGCTGGACAGAATGAGCTGCTGCAACTCAGTGTTTCGCGCCTGAAGAGCAGTTTTGCCGAGGTCAGAAGTTGCCAGGCGAGGGATAAGTTTGTACGCCTTCTTCTGTAGCTGTGGTTCATGCTCTCTGTAGACAATCACGGCGGCAATCTCAAACAATGCAGCGAAGCTGTCTCGGGGGAGGTATGTTGACATGGTGATGACGAGATCCATCAGAGTCTGGGCGGTGGATGGCATGTGGTCCTTGGACTTGGGACCCTTGTCCTTCTCCTCGGGTTGCCGTGTGTTTTCAAGCTCTGCTGCCAGCATCTTGCTCACTCGGTCAAAAGTGTCTACGACCTCTTGGCGAGGCGTGATGCTGAGAAAAGCGTTGACGGTTTGTAAGATCGGACCTCTGCTTTGAGGGAGCGTTTGTGTGTACACGTTAAATAGGACGGCAAGCATGTTGCCGGAAAACTGTCCGAGGTATGTGAGATTCTTCCGGGCGGTCTCGCGTGAGACTCTGCTTTGGAGCATGAAGTCCTCCTCCGTGTCTCCTATGCTCTCTATAGCCTGGTTTGACTCGATCAAGGTCTTCAGAGCTCTACAGATATCCAATCGTAGCTCAACTTGCTTGTACAAGAGGTTGGCGAGCATTTCGGCAAAACGCTGGTCAAAGGCTTCAGTAACATCTATGGCAAGATCGCAATACCCGGGTAGCGTCGCCCAGATTTGTTGCACCAATGTCTCATAAATTTTGATTTCCATAGTCTTGTCGGCTGAGCCGTGGTCCAAAACTTTCTGGAACATGATCTCGCTCAGTGGAACCATCTCAGTCTTGAAGTGGTCCAACTCAGTATTGCTAACGTAGTCTCGCAATATGGGGAGCATCCATGCCCTTCCGCCCTGTCCCTTGACTGGTTTGATAATGTTGAGGGGAAGAGCAGTGAGAACTGCTTCGGGTCCCATGGCCCGCACGGCCTGTCCGATAAGTTCATCGGCTTCTTTTTTGTTTCGGAACGAGGAATTTTCGCGAATTTCGCCGATAATCTTGGTGATGTTCATCATTCTCGGATAGGACTGCCATCGGAAAGAGGTGAACATGGAGCCAAGCACGTCGAAAGTCTGCAACCAGGCAGCCTGGTACTGCACGGTAAGCAGAGCCTCGGCAGTTTTTGTTATCTTATCCAAGATCTTTTCCTCGTATATGGATGGTCCAAGTACAGCTTGCTGAGGAATGCAGTTGGCCATGAACGACACCAAACACTCTGAGGCTGAGATCCGAATGTTTTCAGAATGTGATTCGAGGAATTGTGCGACCATGGCAAACAACTCGGGCAACTTTTCAAAAGTCTCGTCTGGCTCGACCTGAGCAGAAACATCAAATCCTCGTGACAGAATAGCCAGCCAAGGCGGAACAAGCTGTGTGTCGTTGGCAGCAGGGCGCAGTTCTGAAATAATCTCCATGAGCCGTGGCAGCTTAGATGAAGAAGCCTCGGCACTCATACTCTCGAATATCAACTCGAATATTTCGAAACCAGCCATGGTCATGTATTCATTACCCGTCTTGGCGATGCCCAGCAGCAACTCACACAAAGATTCAATCTTTGTGCTGGGCCAACCGCCACTCGCCGTCGCCACAGTCTTGACCAATTGGAGCGCATGGATCAGGGCTGGGTCGTGAACAGTATTAGATGATTTCTTGCCCTTGCGGGCGTCGGCAGCCTTGCCAGCCAGGTCCTCCAGGTTCTTCAGCGCCGTTTGCGCGCACATATCGGCGGCCGGATGATCGAGTGAGGGACTAGGAGGGGGATTCTTCAGGACCTTTTTGAGAGCGTCCTGTGCTCGCTTTCGTATCTTGGGCCGGTTGTCCAGAGAAAGATTGAGCAAGCCGGCGACAGCGCGGCGAGGTCCAATCTGGGACACAGTAAGCTCCCAAGACGGGGCATCCTGGGCGAGAAGCAGCGATTCCAAGCAGCCGATTGACGTCCTGAGCAGGATAGCTTCGGCATCTTGCATTGATAGCACGGGTGCGAGCAGGGTGAGTATCTGAGTGAACTTGGATCGCAGTAAAGGCTGCGGGGCGTAGGGCGTCACAACGTCCAACAAGTAAACCACGGGCGTGGCCAATTCGATGTTTACATTTCCGTTGCTGATTGCCTGCTGCATCAAGGCTAGGAGAGCCGCAAAATAAGCGGTCGGGATGGCGGCGGCATTTTGTTCTTTGAGGGTTGACTCGACGGCTCGGAGGACGACCACGTTCTGGAGGCGTAGAAGCCAGGCTTGTCAGTCACTGTGATCTGGGATTACGGGCCTGCGATTTCGTTCGATTGCGCCTTACCCTCTGCTGCCCTTGCAGACCAGGTGACTTGATCTTATCGAGCTTCTCGGCCAAAGTCGGTGTCGACATGTTGTCGTTGACACTTGGGCAGGAAAACATGTAGATGGGGTCGTTATTTGAAAGTCGGGACAGGAAAAAAAAAGATGCTTATCGATAACAAGCGGAGGGGCTAGATAACGTTACCAGATTCGTGGAGGTGGGGCTCTGCAACTTCTTGGGCACGACCTGCGTACTCGTCCAATTCCTATGAGAAGAGAAGAGAGTGTGTCGCATCCGACCATTGTTTTCCATGAATCGACAGTGGTTCACAAGCTTGAGGGGGCGAAGCTTGAATTGCATGATAACACCGCCGTACAGTCTGCGGCCGCGAATACATTCGACTCTTTCCACTCAATCACTCACTATCAGGGCCATCTTCTTCATGGCCAACTAGCTTCGCATGTTGTCCCCCATTCATCTGCCCCTGCATATCTATAATCTGCCTAGGCAGGTATGCTTTTTGCTTTGTCTGCCCTCTTTTCGACCGTTGACTCTGTCGAGGCGTCTCCATTCTGGCAGATGACACTAACAAGAATCCCATCCCGGTGAGTCACCAAAACTTGTATAAATTTGTGATCCACGCATATCTGGGCATTGCAGGCTGCTGCCCGAGAACTATACAAATTGCACGACCTCCGAGCTCGAGCCCTCACCACAAGGCGACCTTCTTTAGCCTCGGACAGCGGACAGACTCTAAACGTCGAATTCAGAGTCGAGTACGTATCAGCATCACCACCAGATCGCCGCATTTCGTTGTCCATACTAATTTTGCCGCCGTTGAGTTTGCCGTCAAGTAAGGCGCCAATGTCAGCTGTGAGCGTGAGACTGTCCATGTTGCAGGCGTCTGAGCCGCCCTGGTTGTAGCCTCCAATCTGAAGCCTGTTTGGGCCAACGACACGCTTGACAGCGCTGTCCGCGACTGTGATGATGATGATGACGATGATGACGATGTCAATGATGTCGACGCAGTTGCGGACGCTGAACTCTCTACTGCTCCACGCCGCGAAGAATTCCGCTCGCCCTATTGAGGCGCAAAGTACTGGGTCGCCTCTGTCTGTAGAAAAAGACAGAGTGTTCACATGTAGTGCTGAGCGTCGAATTCGTCGCATAGTTGCAGTGTATGAGCATCATGCTTCTGCTCCGAACACCCCCCTTCACAAAGTAGGCCACGACGACTTTACCAGAACAGCGGCATATCGTATGACTTGCGTGTCGCAGTATCGTTGATCCCCAGTGAGCGACAAGATTTCAATAAATGGACATCTTGATCAATTCACGGCCGTCGGGGTTGCCCGAAACGGCCCCGGACTTATCACGGTACAATTTTAACGCATCGATCGCGAGACGCTCAAGACAGTTGGGTGCCGAATGGGTACGGAGTACTGAGCCTGCATTCCATGGCTGATGGGGTCATGGCCTGATGACGCGGTAGCCCGACGTGATCTGCTCCCTCGGTCCTGACCAAGTCGAACAATGTGCGAGCAGCAAACGTGGACGTGGAAGAATATCCCTCTGAGTGCGCGAAGGTACGGAGTGACTCCCTGGTGGGTCCAAGGTGGCTGACTGGATGACGGATTTGGCATTTGCTCGCAACGTCGGCTTGCTCGCATCAACTCCAAGCGCTTGATGCCCCTCCAGCGCCGACATCGCGACATCTAGCACCTCCCGATTTCAGCAGCGACCTCTCCGCCGCCCGCGACGCCATGGCCTTCCTCATCCTCGTCATTGGAGACCTGCACATTCCAAACCGCGCCCTCGACATCCCAGCCAAGGTACACCTCCCATTCTCTCCTCTCCAGCAAGCTCCCCTCGGCCTCCAGCTGCGCGCCCCAAGCCGCAAATCAGCACGTTGCTAACCTGCGCCAGTTCAAAAAGCTCCTGGCCCCCGGCAAGATCGGCCAGACTCTCTGCCTCGGAAACCTCACCGACAAACACACGTACGAGTACCTCCGCTCCATAACGCCGGACCTCAAAATCGTCAAGGGCCGCAACGACGTCGAGGCCACCTCCCTCCCGCTCACACAGGTCGTCACCCACGGAAGCATCAGGATCGGCTTCCTCGAGGGCTTCACCCTCGTCTCCACCGAGCCCGACCTGCTGCTGGCAGAAGCAAACCGGCTCGACGTCGACGTGCTGTGCTGGGGCGGCACCCACAAGTTCGACGCCTTCGAGTACATGGACAAGTTCTTCGTGAACCCGGGCAGCGCAACCGGCGCGTTTTTAAATTCCTGGGGCGGCGTGGGCGAGGATCCCATCCCGAGCTTCTGCCTGATGGACGTAAGTTGTTTTGACTCTGTCGCCGTGTGCACGCGCGTCGGTCGGATGCCTGCGTCGACGGGGGAGCGCGTATGCCTGTCCGAAATTTGCCGCTGACGTTGGTAAAAAATATTACAGGTCCAAGGTATTTCGCTGACGCTGTACGTCTACCAACTCCGCAAAGACGAAAAGGGCAATGAAAACGTCGCCGTGGAGAAAGTTACATATACGAAACCGGTCGAACCGGCCGGCAATTCATCATCATGAACAAACAAACCCCTTTGCGAAACCGTCTCCCCCTCCCCCTTCAACCCCCCTCGCATAAACTTGATGTTTTCCACCCGCACACTAGCATATTATACTTGGAGCGGTCACTAGGCTCAACAGGTACCCGCGCAATCACAGCAGGCGTGATGATGAATCTGGGTATCCAAGAATTTCTCCATACGGGAGATGCTCTATTCCAATTCGACGGGCCGCAAAAGGGGGCCAAGGGAATAATAGCCACATTGTGGAAATACAAGAAAGAGCCCACAACCTTGATCGCTTGGTATCTTGAGCATCCAAACCAAAATTAATACCATCAATCTTTCGCCCAAAACAATGCATCCAATTGCACGCCATGAGTTGTCTCCCCGTAAACAATGCCTCAACACCAGTCGTCATGAGTCGTAAACGTCGCTTCGATTTTCAAAAGAGAAAAGGAAAAAAGCCCCAACGCCCAAAGATGAGAGTCGTAATTTATACCATCATGCTTCGCCGGCGAGACGCACTTCGCTCCCTGGCAGAACTATTCTCCTCACTATCAACAGCTGCCGATCGTCGTCGCGTATTTGTTCCCCGGTGTCGTGTGGCCCTGGTCGTCTCCACAGGTGCGTTGCTATCGATCTGTGGTGACGAGCTAGTAAACTCATAAACATCAACCTCGCCACTCTCGTTTTCATCTGCTTCAGGGTCGAGGTCCGCGGCAAAATCGGGCGCTCTTGAGGCCGGCCGGCGGCGTTCCGTAATGACCGCCATGGATGCGCCTTGGGCCAAGCTCTTCTTCGCTAGAGGACTCGCTGGAATGCTTCCCGGCTCCGGCGCGGCAACCTCGCCGGCAGCAGGTATGACATCAGATTCCCGCTTGATTTTGGCACCTTCGGCCGTTGATGATTCGCAATGACTCGCTCTTCGGGCATATTTGCCCTCTCCCGCCACTGCATCAAAGAGCTCCTTGGTTGGCCGCCTCATCTTGTCTCGAAGATTTGGTTCAGCGTAGCTGATGGTTGTCCTATTCCTTCTGCTCGCCCGCGAAGTCTCGCCATTCAAAGAGATATCAGCAGGTGGCGGAGTATCACCTCTTGCGGCATCCCCATCTGGTGCCGGTTCCGGCGAATTCGGTGACAACAAGACTGGTTCCGAGACCGTCGTGGCCAGGTCAGCCATCACCGGCTTCGCGGCTGCTAGGACAATTTTCGCAGCTGGGACAGATGCCGGTCTGGCGGCAGCGTCCATCTTGGCCTTGGATTTTGTTGTTTGCTTGACTGGCTTTGGCTTTGCCAACACTGCTTTTGCTGTGGCAACCTCGTCTACTGCAGTCGGTTTGGGGTTCTTTCGAGGTGTGCCAACATCGTCGTTGGTACTCTTCGAAGCAAGGGGTCTACGACCATTGCCGGCGGCCACATTCTTCTCTCGGGCCTCCTTCCTCATGTGCGCTAGTTCCTTCAATGTCCTGCCTCCAGCTTTCTCTCGGATGGATACCTTGTCTGCCATACCTCGCGGTACAGTATTCTCATTGGTCAATTGACGGGGTGCCGTGCTTTCTATCTCATCCTGTGCGAACTTCCTTTTTGATCCAGTCTTGACCGAGGCGGCAATATGTTCGGGTGCCGGTGTGCCGGGCTGTGGTACGGCATTTTGTCGACGATGGCCGGGTTCTGTTCTCTTCTTCTCCGGCGACGATGCCGACACAGGGGTTGATTTTCTGGCTCGGGGAGATGGAAGTAAAATCGGGGGCTCTATTGGCTTCCTCGGACTTGACACGTCCTTTGCTGCCAATGTAGATCGTGGTGGAGAGTCGACTTTGACAGGCTCTTGTTCAATATATTGTTCTTCGGCGGGAGCCTCTAGCTCAGCGGACTCGGCTTCACATCTCAGAGCTCGAATTTGCTCCGGGCTACGAAGCTCCAGATTAGTCTTTATGCCCACCTGCTGATTCGCAACCGTGACTTACTTCAGGGATCGCCGCGAAGATGACCTGTTCTCAGAAATGTGGCCCAGCTCTTCAATATCCCTTGCAACATCGCGCAGCCTCCGTTGAGACGGGCTAGGCCTACCGGCGATGAAGCTCATCCGTTGCTTGATAGATTTGCGAATCCGAGGAGAATGTCTCTTCATAGGGGGCTCCAAGCCCAAGCCCGACAGAAGCGTCGCCCATTCCGTCAGTTGCGATTCCAGCTTGGCCTTGATAGCCAAGGCATGGTCTGCGATTCGCCTCGCCTCATTGTCTTCGACTTGCTTCTCAAGTTCGAGGATGCGACCTCGCAGCTCCAAGTTCTCCGACAGCATGAGAGCGCATTCACTTTCCAACTCTCTGATCCGCAAAGCGCGTACGTTATTTGATTTCGCGAGATCCCTATTCTGCCGTAACATCTTCCTGCGAACTATTGCAGACCTTGTCAGCATCAAAATGAGCAACAGGACAGAGGGCGGTGCGGGCAGTGGCATTGTACGCACGCGTTTCGAGGCTGTCCGAAGACGTTGGTGCTTCGTTGAGCCTCGCCATGGCTCATAATGCGCGATGATCTGTGTATGTGGCGAGAGTTGAGCCGATGGCTTTGGACCGATCCGTAATTGACGATGCCGAAGAGCGATGGAAGCTGACGGTGGTTGCAAGGCGAGCTGCGGTGTTAGTCGGTCTATCGTGACAGCTCAGCTCATAGAATTTCTAGTGTTGTCATCCGTATTTACATTTTGGGCATATATTCCGGCAACAAATCAATGCCGGGCCCACAGCTGGTTGCTGGGTTACCGGCGGTGGCCCACGTGATTGGGCGACGCCCCGCAACCCCTTTTGGGTAAGACAGTTTGACAGCCAAGATTGAAAACGCGACAATCCCACGATGCCTGAATGGCGTGATGGCATTAGGTACAGCCAACATATAGGCACTTCGGAAGCGCGCGCGTCATGTCGTATCCCACGAGGTCTCTTTCGTCGCAAATGCGAGCTCCCAGTAGCTCCGCATCGTCTTCGTCCCAGTCGCCCGCTTTGCTTGCCCGGATCGAAGAAAAGAAGGCCGAACTACAGAGCTTGAGAGAGCTTCGAGACCTCAGCGCCGCAGTGTCCAATCAAATGGAGGCCCTCGAGCAGAAACTGACGACTCTGTCCGATGGGACTGAGGGTATGGCTCGCCGCCGTGATCGAAAGGTCAAATAGAGAGGGCTGGCTGGCTAACCCTGGTGCAGCGATTGCAGCGGTCATGGGCAATTGGCATAATGTGCTACGAGCCATCAACATGGCGTCCAGTATGTTCCGAGACGAAACCGAATCATCTACTACTGCTAACGAAGCCTCCCTCTTCTTTGCAGCAAAACTCGCAAAACCGTCTAGTGATGCGTCCATGGAAGACGCACCTGCATCAAACGAATCGCTTCCCCAGACTCTAGTACGAATACCAACCGAGCATGCGCCAACATTACAGGCTCAGGCCGATGCCATTGAAGCGGCGACGGTGGAAGACTCGACTGCGAGCACGTGAGAGGCGACGGTCCAAACGAAAGACTTGTTGTGCATGCAGACAAGGTGCTCTTGCCATGTTGAGTGAGACTACCTTGGATCCTCAATGCGGACGGGCAGTTGCCTGGATTTTTGGAATTGGGAAAAATAGAGTCATCACAAGAGTCCAGCTTGATGCCGACGAAACCGCCAGTATGCACTCTTCGCAACGATTATCCGGCACGTCGGCAAGCACTGGATAACAAGACTGGAACAGGCCGCGGGAGCGGGGCCGATGCCAAAGACAACGCAATCAAACGCGTCGAGTGGCGTTTGTGCTGGTGTGGCGCGAAGCGTGGTGTGAGAAATGAAGGAGACGAGGATACCAACCTGCCAACCGACCCGTGGGCGCTCCATGCTTGGGGAGTCGTTGCGCTCAATCACCTGCCGTCAGCGAATTGTAAAGACGGAGCGTACGGAGCATCCAAGCACCAGTTGACACATCAAGTTCGTGTAGTGCGCATAAGTCATGACAGAGGGAAAGAAAGAAGGACTGACTGCGTAGCGATGGAGTGTGTCACAGCATCACAATCACAGCACACGGCTGCGAATGCTCCACTGTCTCAACGTAAACAAACCATTACAACTCTCCTCCAGCTCGTTCTACTGCTTCCGATAGCTAGCATTTGCCCTTTCAAACTCACCATTGCTATGCCCTCACAGCCTAGCAGACATAAGCCAACATTAAACACGCATCCTCATCAGTTGATACTGTACCGAGTGCCTGAAGACCCCGGTTGGGCCCCGGCCATCCCCTGATCCCCTGCTTCTTCCGGGCTGTCCGCGAGATTGCTCATTGGGCTGCCCCTGGCGGACTACGTGGAACCTCGGCGAGTAACATTCCAGGGTCATCTCGAGGCTTCTGTGGCCTGCTTTCAGGAATATGGCGCGAATCGTGGCTCACGATTCATCGACGTCTCACCATGATGCCCAAAGCTTCGACATTTTTGACGACAAGTCCTTGACCCCTGTCAAACACGTCCATGTCGATGCCAACATTGACGTGCTTAAGGAGCTGTCACATGGACAAAGTCAGAGCCGGCTAACACCGCCAACCGGTGAATCTGTTGTCGGATCACCGCTGGCAAAGAGTCCTCGAAGAGACGCCACCACTTCGCCAGAGAACAGCACGGCCAAGGCTCAGAGTAACAGGCGAACAATTCGTGCCCGACGCCCACAAATTGATTCAGATACATTTGAGCCTCTTGTTGCCGTGCCAGAAGAAACCAGCAGCCTCATAGAGATTGAGCAAGATATCGTTGCTGCTTCAGCAGCCACAAAAGACGATGAGGTGAAAGGTGAGTTGGAGCTCACATTGCGCTCACTACAGAGTAGACAATTCCAATTCCTCTGTCAACATTCATGCTCTGACCTAGGCGACCAGGTTCTCATAAGAAATTGGATCAAGGCCACTCACCTGGTGTCCTCGGCCCAAAATCTGCTCTTGAAAGACAGGTCGAGAAACATCTCGCAGGTCAGTTCGAGTGGATCATGACGTATCCTGCAGACGCAAAATCTCCAACAGCTGGTGGCTCTCAAGACTCGCAAGACGGGCACAATTCAGGAAGCGAGTCCAAGGGAAGCATCTATGGCTGCAATTTGCTGCCTGTTAGGCGACGTCGCACCTCTCAAACGGGGGCTGACATCACAACTGACATTTATACCCTCTTAGCAACACCACTTAACAAAGATTCATACACTACCGGCCAGATGATGGACGGCACGAGAACCACAGACGGCCCCATCTCGTTGGCAATGTCGTAGGTGCCGCCGCCACCGTGTCCAGGCACGCCGCTCAAAGCCCACGAAGTAGCGGCCATGGTCGAGCAGACGATTTCACCGTCTCTCACGGTTGTGAGCGAAGTCAGCCCGGGCCTGGCGGATGATTTGTCACGAGCCGGCTCCCTTTCGACCACTCGGATAGAGGATTCCCTTGAAGAGTTGGACAGGCTAGAAGAGCAGCTCGAGGCAATTCAAGGTCTGACCCAACCCCACGGGTCTGCAACCGCCAACAAGAAGGTTTCCGAGTCTAATCCTGCAACCCCCTCTGGTGCAACACCATCGGCCCCAGCGGCATCCAGGGGACCCTCAGTTGCCGGGTGCTCCGCGACAGTCCGTGTCAGGCCCTCCCAGAAAGAGAGGCCCTCGTTGAGGAAATCTGCATCGTTGACGCTCCGTGACAAGAGCCAGGCGCAGCATGGATCGTCGGGGAGCCAGAGGACTGAACCTACTGGTTCCCGTGGCCAATCTGGCATCAATCACATCAGAACCCCATGTACAGCGAAGCATCCTATAAAGTCTGCCAAGCCACCTACTGTGCCCAAATTCGAGTTGCCGGGCGAGGCTGTAGCGCGTCGCTTGAAGGAACAGCGTGAAGCTCGTCAGGCTCAGCAGCAAGCAGAGGCCCAGAGAAGCCAGTCGGCCACGGCAAAACCAAGAGTCACAAACAAGCCTTTGCCCAAGCCGACATTTGAGCTGCCAGGGGAAGCCATCTCTCGCCGCAAGCGGGAGGAGCGGGAGGCCAAACTGAGGGCGGAGGAAGAAGAGCAGCGAAAACGACGAGAGTTTAAGGCTCGGCCCGTACGACACAGCATTGGACCACCTGCGCTACCTCGCGAAACACTGACGAGCCGGGCTCGCCAGAGTAGATCATCTCCCGAAGCAAATGGCGAGAATGACAGCCAGGTTGCTCAGCGAAAGCGCATGTCGGTTGGTGTGGTCCGCTCTGTCCCGGTGCCCTCTCAGGCTGGCAATTCCTTGCAGGCACGGGGACGGAAGTCGACCACGGTCTCTGCTGCTGAAGAGAGCCGAGCGACTTCGACGTCAACGGGCACCGCAAGTAGCCAGCGGACTTTGGTATCACTGGAGGAACTCCACGTGCAGAGGCAACGGGGCAAGGACATTTTTACACGAGACAACTGCTACACGCAAGACAGGGAAAGGAGCAAGCGGGAGAGAGAGATTGCGGCCAAGACGGCACGAGAACAGGCTGCTGAACGTTCTAGAATTGCGAGTCGGGAGTGGGCCGAGAAGAAGCGTCTGAAGGAGTTGGCGGCCAAGCGGGCAAAGGCGATGCAGGATGGAGGGGAGAGCGCGAAGGCGTGAAAGCATCGGGCCTTCAGTATTGCCGCATTGTTGTATGATGTTGAGGTCGTGCTTCCTCACATGAGTTGTGGTGGCGTTTTCTGTTCCAAACTAGTCACCCGGACATGGGCGTTGTCATTGTTATTTTGGCATGTATATATAGGATTTGGATTATCAGCCAGGGCATCACAAGCCGGCAAGCCGAAGGCGTAGTTTTAGGCAATTGTGTACCCAGACACTTGTGTGTAACGGGCATGTTCGCCGCCTTCCGAGGCCAGAGTCCACAAATGGCTGCATATCCATCAGAGGCTATTCCCGAGTTGAGACGCCAAGCAGGACGACGACGATGATATTGCCGGTTTCAACGACTCGCGAACGACCCATCTCCAAGCCAGATCAGCGCTGGGGCCCAAGTCTGGCGATGGCCACGCGGCTGGGGGGGGGAAGGGTCATGTTCCCGTCCATCCCATCAGTCAAGGGGACGTGCTCTCCGCCTCCGTCACCACGGAGCCTCTGCTCCTGCTCCCACGAGATGGGGGTTCGTGCGTGCCCCTGGCTGGGCCCTGACCTTGACCTTGACCTTGACCTGCGCCCTGCGCCCGGGAGCGAGCGGCTGTACCCGGGCGAGAAATGCGCCCCGCGGCCCATGCCCATGTCCCGGGGGGGAGATTCCAAGGACGGGGTGAATGGTGGCGAGACGACCAGACGGCCGATACAGACACAGCTTGGCCAACAAGACGGTGCCCGATCCCGTCCGAGAGACGGGGGGGGCGTCAAGCCGGACTTGAGTCTGGCCTTGGACTCTTCGGACAAGCCGGGCGCAACAGGCAACACGCAACACGCAACACGCAAAACACACGGCGGCAGCCTCAAACGGCACCTCCAAACCAAGTCTACTGTATCAATATCAATCGATGCAACTGCCACTAGTCCATATGTACACCGACACGTCGCGCGGCGTCGCTGTCCGTCTGCGACCCCGTCCCGCTCTGGATGACAAAAACAAGACAAGACTCTCTCTATACACGACCAATTCCATCCCCATTACAGGCCAATCGAGTGTGTCCACCGCATTAGGTGTCGCTTTTCATCCTTCATCCTTCTCTTCCCTACCCTTTTCGCTGTTCAAGGTGACGGTACCTGATACGCCTTCCCCGCGGAAGAACAAGGTCAAGATAGAATATGTGAGTCGCTGCTTCGACAAACGTGCGATGTACATGCCCACACGTCCTCACTGTGTACTGAGGCGTGCGTAAGAGAAAAAGTTGAAATGCGCGAAACTGGAGAACTGTCGAATATTCCGCTTTGACGGCCCTCGTGTTTGTGGCGTGCCATGATGCGCCACCACGTGCTTTTGGAGTTGAAGAATGGAACGATGGCGTCACTGACCTTGTCTCGATCAAGTGTGAGCCGGCAGAAAACTGATGAATGCCCATAAACTGTCAGCACCGAATATTCAAAAGCCTAGAATCGCCTCCTTCCGCTCAGCTGCGGCCTTCTATTATATAATCCCGGTCTCGTGGAGGAACAAGAGTGCCGAAGAGAATGCTAGGTTTGGGTATCTTCAAGGAAAGCTGGCCATGTTTGATACACCCACTCATTGTGGGGAAAGGGTCCGATACCACGTGAAACGCCTCAAAAGTTTTGGGCAATGCCGGCGCTCTGCTGAGGGAAGTGGGATGGGTTCTCGATGCGCGTGTTGCGTCGTGCCGGGTTATCCTTGATGACAGCTTGGCCGCCGAGTTCCTGGGCCCTCTGGTCCGCATAAGGGTTCTGGCCATACTGGTCGTAATAACCGTTGCCACTGGCATAGATTCCGACATCTGAGCCCTCGGATCGACCTGTTGTGCTATACGAGGACGAAGCGTTTGATGGGCCACGGCGAACATCACCAAGTCGATTGTTTGCGGCCGAAGGACCCATGGCACCCAGGATTTCGCCCTCTGGAGATGAGGAACCATCCATGGTAGGATCAGTCTTCGTTTCCGAGTGGTTTCCACGGCCGTGTCCGCCGCCGTCAGAGAAGGCGCCCGCCGTCATGCCGCCGGACATTGTGGTCGAAGTCTTGCGGCCCATGGAACCTGCTGCGGTAGTTGAGCCCCAGCCACGGTATCCCGAGCCGCCTTCATCCCTCATCTCGTAGGCATCCGTACCCAGTCCGACAGCTGGAATTGTAGGGTCGGCATTGGGATTGTAGGAGTAGTCCTCGACCTCCTTTCGACGTTCTTCCTCAGATTCCTGGCGAGCCCGTCTCTTTCGCCACCAGAACAGGCCCACGAGAGCCAACAGCGCAATTGCGGCAATAGGAACAACTACTCCAACCGCAACCTTGGCTCCTTGGCTGAGACCAGCGCCGTTTCCATCGCCGGCCGGGTCGATGGGCGTGGCGGTTGAAGTGCTTGATACACTTGCAGAAGTCGTCGTTGATCGTCCAGTCGTCGGGGTTGTTGTGGAAACAACAACCTCAGTGGTTGTCACCGACGGAGTAACGGTAAGAGTTGTCGAGCTGGAGGTCGTAGGCTCGGAAGTAGATGTTGTCGGTGCCGGCGGGGGGGTGCTGGGCGTTGGAGGTGTTGAAGTGGGCGTAGGAGCTGGTGTTGAAGTAGCTGGCGGGGGGGTACTGGAAGGCGATGGCGAGGAAGTTGCAGGCGGCGGCGGTGGCGGCGTGGAGGTTGATGATGTCGTCGCGGGCGGCGGCGGCGGCGGCGGCGGCGTTGAGGGCGACGGCGACGGCGACGATGTCGAAGGGGGTGGAGGTTGAGGCGAACTTGTCGGAGGGGGGGAAGGAGGCGAAGAACTTGGTGATTGCCCTGGCGAAGTCTCTTGGCTACCCGTCTGAGCACCTGAGCCACGGGAAGAGTCAGACATGTTGGAGGCGCGAAGATTCAATTCGTGAATCTGCCTGGTATCGGGAGCGTTAGCACGATGATGACGCATTGATTGCCAGCGTTGCAGCGTTCGAGCCATGTCCGCCCGAGAGAGAAGCAAGCTGAACAATGGCCCGACAGGCAAACGCGAGTGTGCATTGTGCGAATGCAGAGGGCGAAGAAGGCTACAGTTCCCTTCTCTGGAAAACAGAGACGTGCGAACAAGTATCCCGGCCAAAGTTGGCGTGGTAGTGCAGACATACCTGTCAAACTACAGTCCGACTCCGAGGCAAGATACGCCGTGGGTGACGGCACACCAAGGGCTGACGGGGGCAATCGAGGAACGAACCAAACCGACGACGGCGAAAGAAGGCTCGCAACTAGCGAGCGCGGTTGGTCCGAAATGCAGACGGCGGTCGCCAATGCAGTCTCTTGTCGAAAGGCGTCAGCGTGTGATGTGGTGAGGAAGAGTTGAAGAAGTAGCAGAACAAGAGTGGATCAGGAAAATGTGTGGTCGTGGCTGAAGCAGAACAATGGGAGGCGTGGGCGGCCAGGGGGGGGCTCGAGACGCCACTTGAGACACGAATGGAGCGGCGAAGCGCGGGCTTGGGCAAGTTTTGGAGCGTTGGCTGAGTTACCTTTGCCTCGGTGGGCTGGCTGGTCCAGCGTTGGTTGGTTGGATGGATGGATGGATGGATGGAGGACCAGCGGAGAAGAACATGAATGGGCGACGGGTGCCTGTTCGACCGTTCGACCCTGGCGTTGCGTCAGAGTCGTTGTAGATTGTGGTTAATACTATTTGTACTACCGTACGGAGTCCTCCGTGTCCAGGTTGCCCTGTGTGCAGAAGCGTGAGAGCGAACCAGGGTTCCAGAGGTGTGGGTTTCAGTTACTTGCAGTGGACTGTGGTGTCGTGTGGTACTCCGTACAGTACGTGGTGCTCCGTAACAATAATAATAACACTTGGTACTGCTCCGTACTTGCTCCGTACGATGGCCGCAATTTGCCCGCCCACAACCTGTCCCTCGTCGATCTTTTCTTCGTGGATGTCGAGACCCGAGACGTCCCACCCCCGGGCTAGCCAGACACTGACCACCAGTGAGCGAAAATGAAGAAGCTGCAGGTTCATGACTAGGCCTCGTGCCGCCGGGTTGCCGCCGAGTTGCCGCCAAGTAGATGAAGATGAGGATGATGAAGACGAAGACGCCGCAGCGATTAGGGCCATGACCCAAGTCGTGGTGTTTGCATATTACGAGAAAAAAAGGGCCCAAGTGCGCGAGACCGGAAAGAGCTCCTTGCTGGTCCCTGCCACGGCCTCCCTGCTTAGGTCCTGGTACGTTACTCTGTCCTTCTCCAAGGCGTTCCGAGGTCGAGGGCGCACCCCAATCATTTCGTCTTCATTACTACGGAGTATCCGTACGCTCGAACAGTTGAGGGCCTGAAGGTTCAGCCAAGAGCGACATGGCAAGGGGGTTCAAAGCCGAGTAGAGACGATTTTTTCAGAGAGCATACAGGGCGACAAAAGTAGCTAGTTTTCTGATCTTGTCAAGAGAAGTCGCCGCCAACTGGTTCCGGCCCCCTGTTATTGAACCTAGGTTTATCGTCAACAATTGCTGCTAGCAATAGGGAGAGGTTGCCGTCAACATGGAGGTCCCTGGCTCCTTGTCAGGCCACCCATGGCTCACTCACAGGGCTCGACTGTGGTCGGCCTACTGAAGAAGATTGCCGCCCCCCAATGGGCTGATGTTGGGCATGAAACAAGCCAGCACAGTGCAACATTGCGTTGTGCCACATTGCCAACCCGGTATATGCGATCGGACAATGCCACCACACCATGACCAGCAATGGAAGATGGACTTGACTGGCTGTCCCGGGCACTGCCCCAGTGCCGCCGGCCCTTGACGTATGAGCATGACTATGAGTATGACGAGTATAAGTAGGTGCAAGACGGCGCATTCTTCACTGCCATCCCGAATCCTCATCAGAGCGTCAGACGCCACCTTCGATGACCCGTGGCCGCCGCGTGTCTCGTCATCCGCCACTTCTCGCGCCTCAAAGCGCGTGACTGTGCCCGTGGCCTCGACCGACGCACTGAATTGCGTAATCACGGCCTCTCGACCATCAATCATCTCACCAGCTAAGTAGCACCGGCACTTTGCGCGAGTCGGCGACTTACTTAGTAGGGTCCGTTGACTGATTCGGGGACTCGTCCACAGTCGAACAGTCGAGTGACTAGGGAAATTAACCTAGCGGAGCGCCCAAGTGCCAAGGCAGTAATGGTAATACGTACTACGGACTACTAATAATAATATCAATGCGCGAAAGTCGTGCTGATGAAGGCCGCCGCCGGCCCCCGTTGGGTGGGTGGTCACTGGTCCATCTGATGGACGGCTGGTGGACGGCCCCCGCCCCCCTTGGCGTCTCTGTCACCAAAAAAGAAGATGGGGCTTGGGCCTTTCACCGCCGTGACGAAAATATAAAAAATATATAAAAATAAAATTAAATGGAGTCGGCCAAACTCAAAAGTCGCGTCGCGGCTAATCGTGAAGGCGCCCGACACTTACAGGCCGCATTCCAGCTACTAGTAATGGATCCTTCCCGAACCGCATCCGCACAGCCCGTGTTGTTTCTGGCCGCAGCGTCAGGTTTCAATCGGACTTTTAACGTCGGCCGTCATCCTCCCTGACCAGGTATCTGTCGAGTAAACAAATAGAAGCCCCTCGTGACTTGTCACGGCAAAACGAAGCCCGTACAGCACGAACGATTCCACGAGCTATGATTGTTAGTCTCATATAACGTAGAAAGGAGGTGCCTGCAAAGTTTGATCCTTGGTGCAAGCAATTGCGACCCTTTCAGTCACGCTTTATGACGCTCAATTGTATATCGACCTGAGCTCATGCCAACTTCTGCTTTGTCGTATCTGAATATACTCAGTCCTGCCACCTTTGTTCACACGATTGTCTCACGCCAGGACATATTGAGTTGAACAGCAACCTATACCTAGCCGTTCATCACGAGGGTGACCCCAACTACGCGTCATTGCCACATCAACATTCTCGCAGTGGGAAAGAAAATTACATGGTATTAGATGCATTACTGTACAGAACCTCTTGTCTAGTTGGCCCATATATGTACAATTCTCTGCCCAACGTCGACTGATTAACAAACCATTGTTCGTCATAAGACCCTTCATTTGTGCCGCGGTCATGTCCTAGCCCTTCTGCCAGACCCTGAGGCAGTGTGGGAGAAAAGACTACAAGAGAACAGCCGTGAGATCGACGGGTCCCATCATTACCCCAGGTACTCCGAGAGCATAGAAAGGAAAAATTCGCGATACTGATGCCCATGCCGTTGTTCGCCAGTCAGTCCTGATCACCAAAATAGCTCTATGCCAAAATGAAACAGCGATACATCATAGGCTACGCGCGCGTATATCTTAGTGGCCCGCCGACACAACCGAGCCAGTTGTCTGCCCTCGTGGGTCATCTAGCCTTTGCTGCGAGCATTTCCCACGATGCATCAAGACCGCATGACCCACTGAGGTTTGAGTTTGTCCTCCAAGGCGGCAGACGTAAAAACAGTGTCGCCTGGCAGTCGGCTTATACGTCCGGCTCCGCCGCGAATGGCGTGTAGTTGAGCAGCTGAAATGCCACTGTTGTTGCTCCTAATGCTGCCAGCATCACTCATGTTATCCGCCTCCTTGAACTTCTTAGGCGGTGCGAAATCCAGATTCGTGAATGTTGACGATTTTCGAAGCAAGTGCGGGCTTGGCAGGACCGACAGCTCGTCGAAGGAAGTAACCAGAGGAGAAGCAATGGGTACCCTTGGCGAGTATGCACGTCGTTCGCCAAGGGGACTTTGACTACGGCCCGCGACATGTTCTCTGAATGAGTCGGGAGGGGCGAAATCCGTTGCATGAAAGATCGCAAAGCTGTCGTCCTTAAGCTTGGAAGGCGTTGGCAGGGTATGGAGTGCGGTCGGGGGAGGCAGGTTCTTCTTCGGGGGGCGTCCTCGTATTTGGGCAGATGCAGACGAGCCTGGTCGTGGGCCAAAGGCAGAACCAGCACGAGGTCGCCCTGGTCCTCCTGGAAGACTCATACCACCAATAGAGCCATGGGGGCCTCGCGCCGGGCCACGAGAACCACCACGGGGGCCAGGTCCTCCAAGCCCGCCACGGAAACGCCCAGCCGGCGGCGGCGTCATGGCGCGGCGAGTAACCGGCTGTGCATACGGCATGACAAAGGCGTTCGTCTCTGCATCATAATATGCAGCGTCGCCGAGATAACCAGCGTCATAGTCTTCAAAGTATTCAGCGGCTCCTGTTCCAGGCAGAGGGGGTGCAGGTTCCCTGTCGTCAAAGTATTCCTTATAAAACGATCGAATTCGGTTGGCCCTGTACTCCGGGTCCTCGGATTCCATCACATCATCCGGTGGCAGAGGACGGAATCCAACTGAGAGTCGTTTCGTCTGCTGCTGAGGAACCCCTAGGGCATCATTAGGCTGTGGCAGACTATCTGCTGGCCGAGAGGCATCAAGAGGTTCATCATCATAATACTGAGACGTAAGGATCTCGGGATGCCCATAGTCGTCCTGAGACAACGCTTGGCCAGGAATTTTCTGCACAGCGTGCGGGGCATCTTGCGAAGGAATCTTTGGCAACGCCATGTCCCGACCCAGTCCAGACGGGTGAGATTCTCGAGATTCAAAGTCAAAATCATCAACAGCCGAATGAGCAGTTCCGATCAGGCCACGTTCAGAACGCGCTGGCAGCTCTGCCAGTATGGGCTGGTCTTGTTCCCACGAAGAGTCCGGCAGTACATAGTGTGAGTCTCTTGACACTGCTACGGGCGGCTGCTCAAAGTCAGGCATCTCCAGTCCAGCTGTCTTTTCATCGGGATAGGAAAGGGTGCCAATCTCGGGCATCAAAGGTTCCGCGGGGCGAGCAGGATCTTTGGCGTGCCCTGGTCTGGGGGGCTGGTGAGTAGGTTCCAGAGGTTCCAGAGCAGTGGGGGTTGCAAAAGGATCGGACGCGGTGGCAGGAGATGCCGGTGTCATTGGCATAGAGTCAGAACGAGATGGGGGCATTCTCCTAGCAGCGCCAACGGAGGGACTGAGAGCCATGGAGCCATGCCTGCTTCCATTGGGATTGAATGATCTGATAGAACCGGCATCGCTGTTTGCATACTGACCAACAGTGCGATAAGGGTCTTGGTCGCTGGGAAAGATTCGTGCCAATGAATGGACTGAGTCGTGGGATTGGTGAATATTGGGTGGTAGTAGGTAGGGAGATGAAAGATTCATGTCCATGGACAGTTGGTTGCTCTTGTGGTTTGACTTTTCGCCCCCAATTCCAAAAAAACTCTTTCGTTTGGCACCTTTTGCAAGACCCTCGTCAATGCCGAAATCGAGTCCTTGGGTGGGATCTTGAGCATCTTCCTGCCTCAATCGGCGGACATTTCGGCGATGTAAAAATATGAGTACAATAGTGGCAATAATCAAGGGGATTCTATATTTTCTTCTCATTAGCACAGACTACTGGATCCGTAGTGACTTGGTTTTAGTCCACATACAGAATGCCGAGAATAATAGCAAGGTTAGTCACATTAGTGTTTATTCCCTTTTCGCAAGTGTTGGAATCCGAGCCATCATGGCAGGATTTGCTACGCCTGAAAACAGTCCAAACTGGACGTGTAATGGAAGTCTCGGCAGAAATCAAATTTCTTCGCAGGTTGATGGGAGGCTGCATTCGGTACGCCTTGTTGTTCGGATCGCCTTGCCCGAGGACCGTCGTGACCCGCTTAATATCAGCAAGGTTTGCCATGTCGACAGGACTATATCGCGAGTATCTCCTTTCAGGGCCCGGTCCTAGAAAAAGAAGGGAAGGTGTTGTGGGGGCTCTTTGTTAAAAAGAAAGATGAAAGTCGAGAGCCATGAGGAAACAACCCGAAATTTATCTCGCCTTGAGATAATAAAATGTTTATCTTGTGTCGGGATTAGGGGTCTCAGACGACAAGTTGAAATCGATCAATCGAATCGGTCGCCCAGCGGCACAGGCTCAAAAAACCAAATAGACAAGAAAACCAGAAAACCCAGGGCAGCTCGAAAATACAAGCCAACCAGCTTTGCCAACGTTCCCTGAAGACGCGTTCCCAGATGACTAGGGAGTAGTAATGAATGGCTCACGCTGCAAAAGCGACGGTGAAAATGAATGGCGAGTCGCAGTTGGGGGAATAAAAAAAAAATAAAAAAACTCCGAAAAGACCAAACGAGTGGTGCTCCCGTGAATTGCACGAAGTCGTCAGTCGAGAGTCGAAGGCAAAGCTGACGATGGAAAGAAAGAAGGAGGAAGATCTGGCTGTCAGACAGGACGAAGCACAAGCACACCTAGACCCAGCAGGACGAGGAAGGCTGGACGGGGGCGCAAGCGGGCCAGTAGGAGAACTTGGTGAATTGAATAATAAATGACCAGGGGGTGATGAACAAAGGGGGTGTGGAACAGTAGCTATTGGATAAACACAAAGAGACGTTGCACCGTGTCTACGTGCATACAACTTATGTGACTTGGGCTAGTTATAGTAAGGCAACGGCGGGAGCAGCCCTAGCGAGGCCTGGCGCGCACCAGGCTGGGTCATGAAGCAGGTACGAACGGCGTGGATGTGCAGCCGACCAGGATGCTTTCGTACACAGACGACCAATGTCTTAATCTGACCGCCGCCGCCAGCAAGCCATTGGGACAGTGAACAAGACTGTATATCCATACTTACTTAACTTACTTATGTACTATGGTAGTTACTAACAAGTATGCTATGAGTGGTTGCCCCCCCCCCCCCCGGGGGGCCCCTTTGGTGCGAAACAAAACAAAAGCTTTTCCGTCCTCTTCAGCAGCCCATTGCACGAAGTCATGCATGTAATAATTATCAACACTACAGCAACTTGTTTGGTGCGCCGTGAAAGCGAAGCCATGACGACCAAGACCCAGCCAGGCTGCACAACTGCCCCTGACACTAGTCTATATCGATCGAGAGCCACCGGGCGCCACAGGGAGCCACATAGCCCTGCAATGTCCAGCGGTGTCTTGTACTCCTCGTACTAGTACTATTACCAGTATAGTGCGCGCCTGGCGGCAGCGCGGTGGCATAACTACTCACTGTACAAACTCTCCCCTCCCTCATCCCATCCATGCCACACGGCTTGGTGCCGAACCCTCCCTAACCTTCCTCCCCATTTGCGAGAACCTGCTTGTCCACTTTTTGATGGTTCCCGCATCACATTGGACGATACGGAGTAGTGGTTGGTTGGTCCGTTCGGCCCGTTCGGCCAGCAGCCTCGCTTCCCTTCCCCCTTCAATATCATCATCCAGGTACGTGCTTCTTCGCTGAGACGACGCAAAGAGGCTTCAAACGAGCAAGCCGCCGAAATTAGAGGCCCGTGAGCCCGTGAGCCCGTCACGGCCCTTCAGCAAAGATGCAGCCTGGCAGCATCATGAAACGACGCATGCATCCTTCCCAGGACCAAAGAACCAGAGTCGTAGCAACTAGAACGCCTCCGGATAACTACTCCGTATGCTAGGCCCGGGGATTGACGCAGAGACTTGTCCTGAGCCATTGGAGGCGTTCATGCATAGTCGACCAGATGGACGGTCGGTTTGTGGCTTTGATCTGCCTCAAACAGCACGACGCAAGTATTTCGATTCGCCCCGTGGCCTGGTGGCGCTACATGACCCAAGTACGTAGTGTTTTCCCATGGAGGCATCAGCTCCGGCCGCCATGTCCATTTCGCTGATAGTACTCCGTAATTGTTGTAGGAGGCCAGGAGCTGCAGAGTGCATGGACATGGATCACAGTACGCCCCCCCGTTTGTTGTACGATATCGGACGCATGCACAAGTGACAATACGGAGAACGGAACGCCCATGTGCGGAGGGTCACACACGTGCCGCGAATGGCTCCAAGCTTGCTTACCTTGCCAGGACAAACGAGGTCATCGCTGCCTCGCCTCGCGCAATTCCGAGCCTTGTTTCTTGTTGTTATTGGAGAATACACATCTCACTCGGATGGTACTCCGTAGATGCGGCATGCTCAGTGAGCTCCGCTTTCCATTCCTCGCCCCGCACTGGTATGGGGCAAAGATGAGCAACTTGAGTGCTCCTATTCGTACCGGGGACGGCACGGCCCCTACATCGACAAAACAAGACTGTGAATTGTTTTCGCTTTGGCGTACTCCGTACACGGCAATTCACCGCACACGCGGCTGTCTTGCATGCTCCCATCTAGTTACCAGGTTACCGCCTCGCCCAAAAGCAACCTTTACAACCTGCTGCCGCTATACTAACGCCTAGGTATGCTCCAATGCACTTTTGACACGGCATTTCCATTCACGCCATCATGTACGCTCGTTCCCTTACAGGCTCAAGCCCTTCTCTCGCAAAATTCTGCAATATTTTCCATGTCAAATTTTATAAATTCTCCGCCCAGAGAAACAATCACCCAGTTAATACTAGCAGTTGCCGTCGATGCGCAGAGGCTGTAGCCAAGCGGAGATTCACATAGGCTCACCGCGTTTTCGGGTGGAGACTTGTCCGTTTCATATTCAAACGTCTGAAAGATGTTCTAGTCCAGAACACATACCGCTACAGGGTTCCAGCTAATGAGCGTCGGTACTGATTACAATGCCGGCAATGCCAGGTCCATTCGACATGCCGGGCTCTCTTGGCTAGCTGCGGAGTGCCAGCCGGCATGCAGCAACTTCAAATTCTATTACCAGTACGTAAGTTAGTAGTACTCTGATCATGAGCCATCTCCCACATGTTTTGTAATCCGTTTCCATAGAGTCATTGATAGTACTCAAACACAGTGTCCTCATGCCCCCCGGCGTTCTGTCTGGAGCGCTCCGGATCCTCAGGTCTGACTGAAATCTTGCTCCGTGAACCACTTATTCTCCCTGCCTAGAATTCGTCACTGTGTAAAAGCCAGGTGCATACTCCAACAACCACTCCTTCTCAATCTTGGTAATGTCACGAATAAACGTCTTCTCCCCAGTCTCCATAACCTCATGAAAGATGACCCAGTCCGCCTTTCTGTTGAAAAGCAACGAGCTCGGGTGCGCGTACATGACGGTCCCGCCCTCGACGTTGCGAAACGTACCGTTGGGTTGCATTCGCGCCGCGTGCGCAAAGTAACCCGACGTCAAGCAGCGGCGAATCTGCTCCGCCTTGGTCTTCATATCCGCCCCCGAGGGTCGCTTGGAAGACAGCGACTCGTCGACCTGGATGTTGAACCGCTCTACGTATCGTTTCAATTGTGCTCGGATGCTCACAGCGCGCGTCATGGACTTGTAGTTGAGGTGGTTTTCGTGACAGAATCGTGCTTCCTTCTTGCCCTTTGTGACAAATGCCGTGTAGGCGTTGAGAAGAGTGAGATGATCGCCTTCTTCGGCGGCGAATTTGCGCCGTGCATTCTCCATGGCTCTTTGCTCGCCGTCGTGGTAGAACCAGACACTTGCGCCCAGGCTGGTCATTGCTGCGATGGTGAGCATCTCGCTCAGGCAGTTGAACGACTGGGCTACGAGTAACGTCTTGGCCATCATGGGCTCGACTGCGAGTTCGGCCATGCGGAAGCCCAGCGGTCTGGTTAGCTTTGCATATTCGTCCAGCGCCCCCAGGGAGAAGAGCAGCTCCAAGGCCTTGGACATGGGCTGCGACGGCGGAGGTGACAAGTAGTCGAAACGAACGACGTTGTCGATCCCGAGCGCCTTGAGCTGCAGCACAATCGGTGCCAGGTTGGATCTCTGGATCTCGGGAGGGTTGGCCTCTGGTAAGCTATGATAGCTCTGTTCGGTGTAGAGACGGAAGCATTTCCCTGGCTTCGTCCGCCCGGCACGCCCAGCTCGTTGTGAGGCGGACGCCTTGGATGTTGGCGTTGCGGTGAGGCTCTCTATGCCCGTCTTTGGGTTGTATGCCCGCAGTTTGACGAAGCCGCTATCAATCACGTAGACTATACCGTCAATGGTTACGGATGCCTCCGCGATATTTGTCGAGAAAATCACCTTTCGCTTGCCTTCGGGTGCCTTGTCAAAGACGTACATTTGCTCCTCTGACGACAGCCCGGCGTAAAGTGGCATTGGCTGTAAATCGCCATATCGATCTCCCGTTTGGCCAATTCTTTCGGCCACGGCCTGGATAGCGCTGTCAATTTCTTCGCGGCCAGTCAGGAAGACGAGAATGTCGCCATCTCCCTCCTGTGTATGGATGTCAAACACAGTCTGCACCGCCTTGCCAACATAGTTCTCTGTCGGTGATTCCAGGAACAGGATATCGATGGGATACGTCCGGCCCTCCAGACTCACGATTTTCCCAGTCTCAGATGGCTTGTCGTCGTTACTCATGGAGCTCTTTTGGTCCTCGCCAACAGCAGCGAAAAACTCCAGAAAGTCCTCTGCCTGCAACGTCGCGCTGCTGACTATGATCCTGAGGTCAGGCCTCTTCCTGCGAATCTTCTTCAGCAACCCCAGCAAGATGTCTGTGCTTATTGAGCGTTCATGCGCCTCGTCGACCATTATCACGGAGTACCGACTCAGCAGGGGGTCAACCAGGGCTTCTCTAATGAGCAGGCCGTCGGTAAGGAACTTGATCCGCGTCGCTGACGAAGTGACGTCTTCAAACCGAATTGAGTAGCCGACTTCTTTGCCTACCTCACACCCGATCTCGTCGGCGACGCGGAGGGCGACTGTCGTCGCTGCGACCCGTCTAGGCTGTTGATGCGCGTAAGAACATGTCAAATATTTAGTGGATGCCGGTACAGATCTTACCTGAGTAACACCAATTATCTTGCCATCTGCGCACCATCCTGCCTTTTCCAGAAACTGGGGTATCTGTGTTGTTTTCCCAGAGCCAGTTTGACCGATTACGATCGTCACTGGGTGCGTTTCTATGACATACAATAGACTGTCGCGATACTTGGCTATTGGCAGCAGTGCTGGTGGTTTGTGTAGCGCCGGGATGAAAGTGGCATCGAGACTGAAATCTGCCATTACGACCGCAACGAGACGATAAAAAGGTGCCGCTGTCCACCAGACATGTGACGTAGGCTAGTTCATCCCGTATATGCCATGTCCATCATCGCAGAATAGTCTTAAAGAGACGACTGGGGTCGCGTGCGATGGGACGAGAGATTGGGGTTAACTGTGTTGCTACCAAGTACCCTAGAGACAAATTGCATTATCAAAACATTCAAGGTGACGCCACGTTTCTTGGCGCTTACGTGTGGCGAGGCGTCATGCCTGTGGCGCTCAGGCAGGTCAGGGTAGCCTGTAGGGAACGTCATCGGCGGCGTGGCCAGCTGCGACCCCTCGCCTCATTTAATATCACAGGATGGATTAGACAAAGGTTTCAGATGACAGCATTCTGCATCCACCATCGAATTGCACTCTACGCACAAGTAGCTATTTTCGCATCCAGTGGAGTCCAAGCCTGCGATTGCCGTCAGCCAAGGTCGTAACCATGTCGACTCCAACAGAACCGGTTTGTAGTTCACCCACAGGGCTACTTATGCCTGTGCTGGCGTTACTAACAAGCCTGGGTTTAACCAGAACAAAACCTCGACAGAATCCGGCGCCGAATCACCTACGACTGCCAGACCGCTGGAGATGGACGACGACGACGCGCAAGACACCAGCGTGATCGCTGACGATGGCCCAGGCGCCAAAACCGGAACTGGTTCCAACACGATTATTCCAGGTACACCCACGACCGCAACCCCTGGTGGCGAGCCAAAAGCGCAAGGCTCGCCAATCGAAGCCGCGCCACCGAAGCCTCCTCGACCCGTGACTGAAAGTCAGAAGAATGAGATGATTCTGAAAGAAGCATTCCCAACCGTAGATGGCAATGTCATCAAAGCCGTCCTGAGGGCCAGCGGAGGCAAAGTTGAGCCGGCATTTAATGCGCTCTTGGGTGAGTTACTGCCCCTGGATGAGCCCTGTTGACTAATTGAACATGATTTGACATTCATCCATTATAGAAATGACCGACCCCGATGCCGTCAAGAACGAGCCCGAAGAAATCCCCCCACCACAACCCCCTCGTCCTCAAGGCCGAGCCCAGATGTCCCAAGTCGAAGCAGATGAGCTCTACGCCCGTCAGCTAGCCGAGCATTATGACAACGTTGGTGCATATGAAGCTCGTACCTCGAACCGTTCCCGAGATGCTGGGCAACATCAGGGATGGGATGGTGATGAACGAGAGCACAGCTTCATCGATGACGATTTGCCTGTGATTCGCGAGAACTTGCGTAAGGGGTTCCTAGACACGCAAAGCAAAGTCAATGGCTGGATCACAGGCCTGCGAAAGAAGATTGAAGAAAGCTTCGATGAAAGCGAAGAGTCCACGCAACGACAGGGACAGCCTCTTCGCCGTCAGGGCGAGACGAGTCGCCGAAGCGGTGACTATGATCGTTACGATGCGGATCCCCAAGTGCTTAGTGACGATTTCGCAGGAATCCGGTTGTCCGCCGACGGATGTAAGTCCCCTCCCGGGCAAGTACTCCAGGAGGTAGCACCAATCTAATGTTTCAGTAGCCGCTGCTCAAGGTAGACCGATGGTTAACTCTGGCATTCACCGACCTCCTCCGCCGTTGAGCTCCCCGAGAGCTGGTAATGGACGAAGAGTAGGATTCAAAGACGAAGCTGAGGAGATCAACATGTATGATGCTTCGCCCGCAGCCACCCCGAAGGACACACCTCAAAGCTCAAGCACCAAGACCAGCAAGTGGCAACCGCTGTCTACGGTCGAGCCCAGTCCCATCACGGACAATGATCCCTTCAGCCTCGGCGACAGTGAAGATGAGAAGGAGCCAAGCAAGGAGAAGCCCAAGGATTCCAAATTGGACGACAACGAGCGTCTTAAGAAGGCTGCCGCTGAAGCCATGGCCGACAGCTTGGTGGAGGATAAGGACGGGGCGCCGGCAGACAAAAAGGAATAGGCTGTGAAGCTCCGATGGTCCGCTCTCTGCATTGCATTGTTTATCTGGGAGTTCAATGGGGCGTAGACTGCCTTGAACGTTGGGTTGGATGGATACCTTGCAGGTTCTCTTATACTCGAGGAGTGTGTACAGACGAGCTCGTCTTGTCCCGCGAAGCATCAGAATGCACAAAATTTTTTGGTTTGTTCTTGTTCAGCCCGTCACTGGAATTGTTATGTGGTCGCGTGAATTGTATCCAGATTGGTCGGTCCCAGGAACAGAAGTCATGCTCTGTACCAGGTGTGGGGACTGCACTGGGCCGATTTTGTGACATTACGATCTAAGCTGCATGTACGGAGTATATTATTGATTGATGGTTGCATGCTCGGTACGGGGGTAGCTCAAGAGCGACGTTGAATTGAAGCTCAATAAGGAATGCGCTGCCTACAAGTCACAAGTCAAGACGGGCAGCAAATAACGCAAAAAAATGAAGATGAGACCCCACACGAGATTAAAAACAAAAAAGCAAAACAGATTTATCATTGACGGGTTTGCAATCGAGGATCGGGGTTTTGTCCCTGGTCACGGTTAAGCGGTTGAACCCTGCCATGCACCCATGCGTGAACTGGTGGTGTTCCGGATGAAACTCTGGAAGGCAGCGGGCCGAGTGAGGGCAAATTACTCCAATTGCGCCTAATGTACCGAGCACTTGTTGAGCACAAGATCTCATGAGTATTGGTTGAAAAGGGTAGCAACAGGGTAGCAAAGGAGGAAGCATGGCAAGTCGCTCGATCACGAGGTTGATTGTGGGATGACGATTGGCCAAGAGATTGGATTGCTAGTGCGGGACGTCCTATTGCGAGACGGTGCAGACGATGGTAGACCATCTTTACTTCCCGAGATTGGGTCAAGTATTGCTACACGGCTAAAATACGGCTCCCGCCTGTACGGAGACGCACAGGACGACAATGCTGGTCAAGCAAGGGTACTAGTTACTCCATACCAAACATTGACTTGCAGATTGGAGAGGCCCCCATGAGTTCCTCAGCTAACGATGAACAGCCCCTAACAATCGATACCGTATCAACGAGAGAGGCTACCTCGAATGTGCAAAGCCCGTTCAGCAGTCGACATGCGGGCCACGGTGAACTAGTAGGTGCACCGTCGCAGACACCAAGAACTTCACGAGAGGCCACACCACCCCGCTTCCACGCCAAACATACATACACCGCACCCTTCACTGCGGCCTCGTTCGACTAATAGGAAGATCCTCTTCGCTCTCGCAGAATTGATTGGACAAAACTCGGGTCTGGTGCCTTCGAATTCGAGGGAGAGAGAGTGGACGACGGACCAGGCTCATCCACAAGCCCAACCACTGCCGCCAAACCTTGTTCACTTTCGACGGCACCCACGCTTCTGTCTTTGTGTGATAAAAATCACAAGTTCCTGCTGGCCTTCAACAAACGGGGGATTGATGCGGCTGAGGGCTTCACAAAAAAAGAAAAGACAAAAAGACCTGACTGTCTCTGTTCCGGGCGCGGCTACGGGCACAGCATCGTTCAGAACAGAACAGACCTGTCTGTGGTGGCCTTCTCTGCCTAAGCGTTGTTGTACCATCTTGGTCCTCTGCAGCTGCTGTCGCGTTGGTACTGGACGGAAAGGAACCTACTCAACTCGGAACTATCTGCATGAGGATTGGACTACGGCAGGCTTGCCAATTACGACCAACCTTGTTGCTCTTCTTTCCCTTGCGTGGGCTGACCAAGACACAAGGTAAGTAAGTACAAGAGCCAGCCAGTCTACTAGGCAACGATTTTTTTTATTTTCTTACTGTTTCCTGCTTTCAGTCCTCAGATGCTACTTCACGAAGGTGCACCGTCTTCATTTATACTGCCATCTAGTCTGCGATGTCGTCACATGCGCCACAAGAGATGAAGGCTGACCCATCCACTCTCAAGGAACCCCTGGCTGTCAAAGAGTCCTCTCCATATTCACCGACCAGCACACACTTGATTCAAGTTACTGATAAGAAGCAACCAAGAGAAGGCGGTAGTTCTATCTTGTACTTTCCGCCTCGCATTGCTGGCGCCGCTGATCACATACATCCCCTCGTCTTTTCCTTGTTGTCATGTCTTGAAAGGGCGCGTTTGGCCTTGCAACCTCGAGTCTCAGTGTCATTCTTTACATGACGTTTACATGACGGCGTCGGCAGGTTGACTGATCTGCTCAAAACCTTGAACACACGACTCTAACGGTGCAGCATACTCGTTCTCCCTTATTCCTAGCTTATCCCGTCTGAAAGTACTTCGTACACGCAAGCAAGCTACACGCAGTCCTTTAGTTCCCCTTCAACTCGAGGCCCTGCCAGGCTCTGAGCCGCAACATGTAAGAGGCTTCCGTATCCTCACCACTGGCAGTTTGGAAAGAACCCGTATTAGGACACTCTGTAGCATAGGGTTACTGACAACGCATTCGTCTTGCATAGGAAGTTTGGCAAACAAATACAGAAGCGCCAGCTCGAGGTTCCGGAGTATGCGGCAAGCTTCGTCAATTATAAAGCTTTGAAAAAGGTCGGTGCTCCATGGACTTCGACTTCTCATGCCTTTGCAGATGGCTGGCCCGGCGCTCCTTGCTCTTTTCTCAAGCCTCCAAGCTGGCAATATTGATTCGACAAGTCTTCTTTCGCTTGAAACTTGCATTCCGGCTCTCCTCACTCATTCTATACGTACACAAATAGTCGTAGCAACCGAGGGCCTTTGAACTAACGCAAAACCACCCAACAGCTTATCAAGAAGCTCTCTGCGACTCCGACGTTGGCGGCACAAAATGACGTTCTTCGCCAAGATGGTTCCGTTGACTCCCAAGCCGCTCTTCAAGCAAACAAGGCCACTTTTTTCTTTCAACTGGTAAGAAGATCCGCACGCAGTACTGAAGATGCTGCCACACAGACCCCGCAACATGCCTGACAATCCGGCCTTTACATAGGAACGTGAACTTGACAAGGTCAATGTCTTCTACCTGCAAAAAGAGGCCGAGCTGAAGATTCGGTTGAAAACTCTTTTGGACAAGAAAAAGGTTCTACAGACGAGAGACGGCATCTCAAGGCGCTCTTCAAAATTTACGACTCTCGAGGAAGGTTTCCAACAGTTTGCTACCGACTTGAACAAGCTCCAGCAGTTTGTCGAAATCAACGGTACCGCATTCTCCAAGATTCTTAAGAAGTGGGACAAAACGTCCAAGTCCAAGACCAAGGAGCTCTATCTGTCCAGAGCTGTCGAAGTCCAGCCATTTTTCAACGCCACCGTCATAAGTGAACTCTCGGATCAGGCCACGACTAGTCTCCAAGAGTTAGGTGCCTGGTCCGATGGCATCCAGGTCAATTTTCAGACACCAGGGCACGTTGTCACGAGCCAACACTTCATGGGGACTGATGAGGGAGATGCCGACACACTGTTGCTGGACGCAGTCATTACTGGGAACCCAGAGACGCTCAGAGAGCTCCTGGTGAAAATGCAGTCCGCGAGCAGCTCAACAGACGGAGAGAGCTCATTACCTGATCGCGTCACCAGGACCTTCCTGACTGCAATTCATGATGCGCCCGAAGAGTCTCTGCGTGTTCTTTTAGATACTGGACTCGTCGACTTGCAGTCGTATGACGATATTAACGAGAGAAATTGTCTTCACCAGGCCACAATCTACGGCAAGCAGTATGTCTTGGGATGGGCGTTGGAAGCAGGGGTGTCTGTCGATAGGACAGATGTGTATGGACGAGTGCCGTTGCACTACGCCAGTTTGCATGGTCGTCTGGAGATGCTCGAGGCACTATTAAATGGTATGAAGGCCTGCATGCCGGTGGACGTTACGGTTTATACTGATTCGTGTTTGCAAGTGAATTCGGCAACGATTAACCTAATCGACCACGACAACTTCACTCCGCTTATCCACTCCATCATTCATGGTCATATTGATTGCATACAGCGCCTGCTGGCCAGGTCCGCTAGGATCGACCCGGTATCAGACTCCGACCATGTTCCGTTGAATTTGGCCTGTGAGCATGGCTCCGAGGCAGTCGTTGAGCTGCTTCTTAGGCATGGAGCGAAGATACTCCCCGATGCGGAAGGCTTATATCCCCAGCACCTAGTTGCGAGGTCGGGAAAGACATCGGAACTCCTACTTCTACTGAAACAATTTGGAGCTGATCTGGACCAAGCCGATAAGCTGTATGGATGGACTCCGCTTGTCCACGCAGCGAGCGAAGGCAACGTTGACTGCCTGCAGGCGTTGCTCATGATTGGAGTAGACGTCAATATCGTTGACGAGAAAGGTCTGCCGGCCATGTACTACGCCGCGTGGGAAGGCCATTTGGAATGTATGAAGCTACTTACTCAGTTCAACACTCGCAATCGCGCGAGCCCGCTCGTCCTACAGTCATCACTTGGCCCTATGGAGCTTAGCAACGCACCTGGGCCCATGGCTTTGGATCCCGACGCGATCCCCATACTCGAGCTCCCCCCTCCCATCATCCCCCTCCGCCGTTACGGTCACAACTTCCTCGACACCAAGACAGTCGTACAAATCAGCTTCGATGATCTCCAAGAGCAGCCTTTGCTGTTCTTCCAGGACGGGAAATACCCGGCAGCGCGACTGACAATATCTTCCAAGCTATCGGATCTCATTCCTAAGAACATTATCCTGCCCTTTCAAGAAGATACCCGTATGGTTTCATTTCAAGTTGACAACCTCGACACGTTTTCTCTCGACTTTGACGTTTTCCCCACGTACGGGGCCAAGGTTATCGCCAAGACGGTGGTATTACCTAGCGCTTTCAGGAGTCAACAAGGAGGAATCTCAAAGTGCTGTCTGCCTCTGTTTGACCCACGACTGAGGGCCATTGGCCAGATTACGTTTAGCACCCAGGTGATCAAGCCGTTCAAGGGACAGCCGCTGGAAATCACGGACTTTGAGACGTACTGGAAAGCGACGAGCCAGTTTAACCAACCCGCCAGTGCTGTGGTGACTGGATCAAGCTTATCCGGTGACTACGTCCGGCTATTTGTGCAATATACGGCTGACGGAGTCCCGGTGATTTGGCCACAATGGACGATCCGCTGTGGAGGGCTAGACTTGCCACTGTGTCGACTTTCCCTGCAGCAGTTCTTGACCATTACTGCCGAAAACACTAGCCGAGCTGCATTACCTAGCTTGTCGTCGAAGCCCGTTGTTGATATTGCGGAGGTGTATCACATCCTTGCTACAGCAGGCATCACACTCAAGGATACTCTAGCGATTCTCCCCCGTGGTATCAACGTGAACTTGCAGGTCCTATACCCGACACAGGAGGAAGAAAAGGCGCTTGCCCTCGGCCCGGCGTTGGACGTCAACGTCTTTGTGGATGCTATTCTCACTGTGGTATTTGATCATGCCCGCGCACAACGAGCCCAACACCAGTCCCCAGAGGCGGCTCGCTCCATGGTGTTCAGCAGCTATAACGCCCGGCTGTGTACAGCGTTGAACTGGAAGCAGCCAAACTTTCCTGTGTTCTTGTGCAGTGATCTTGGGCGGGAGGAGAATATTCTGGAAGAAAACATGCTTCGACCGAGCGGAAGACGAGGCACATCCATCAAGGAAGTGGTTCGTATTGCACAGAGCAACAACTTTATGGGGTTGATTTGCTATTCCAAATTACTGGTGAGTGTATAGGTGCTAGATGCTGCCTGGCGCGTGGGCCTTTTTGCTGACTTGACCTCAGGACATGGTACCTGCTCTTGTGGACGCCATCAAATCTCATGGGCTAGCACTCGTAATGGACAAGTCGACAGATTCTCCCGGCACAAGTCCGATGACGGAGCCGTTCCCCCGGCCACCCAAAGGTGTAGATGGTGTTTTGAAAAACCACGGCATTTTGCGATTCGATGACTCGATAGACATGTAGATAGGAATCATGAGGGGTATACAAGGTTGTGGCTTCGCGGGAGGCGTTTTGAGTAGAGAAATGAAATTCTGGGAGGACTGATTGAACGGCGTATTGTGCGTCATGAAGACATGACGTGCCACAAAGTCGTTGTGCTGCCTCGAACCATGCACTCATGAGCATGATAGATAGGCTTGGATACTGTGAAATGGGAACCACGGGCGAAGGCAGCAATGGTATCGTGGACTCATTTATTCATTAGTGCATTCTAACATGAAGCCGGCCAGGCATCAAGCGCCCTTCAAGGCATACCGGAGACTGGTCAACTCCCTCTCGGGGTTGACGCCGCCCATGACAACCTTTGCCGCCAGGACGGCGCCGTACACTATGGCCGGGAGATTGCCCATGCCGATCCAGGCGAAGCTCGCGTCACCTTGACCTCTGCCCGCAACCAAGCCCATGACGACCAGCAGGCTCGCCAGCACGCAGTTCAGGTACGGCAAGTACACCTCCAGCGGGGACTTGTCGGCGGCGGCGGCCCTCTTCAGCCGGCGGACCGTCTCGCTGGCGGCGGGCACGTCGGCCCTTTGGATCCATGCGTCCAGCGGCGCGATGCCCGTCTCCGAGGGCGGCAGCTTGTACAGGGTGTAGCACGTGGAGAGGAGCGACGTGAGCGACAGGATGGCGAGGAGGGGGTGCGGCGGGCCGCGGAGGAGCAGGGCGACGTAGGGGACTGCCGAGAGCGCGGGCAGGACGAGGAGGGCGGCGGCGAAGGAGGCGTCTGTCTGCTGGTTCTGGGCGGCGAGGTCTGCGATGAGGGTTTCCTGGGCTGGCGGACGGCGGGCGGTTTGTTAGCTGCGTTTGGGACGGGGACGGGGACGGGGACGGGGACGGGGACGGGGACGGGGCAGCACCTTGCTCGTCGAGGGCGGAGGGGGTGTCGGAGTCGTCGGGGTAGCGGAACGTGCGGCGGAGGCGCGCGCGGGAAGGCCTTGTTTCCATGCCGTCGATGCTTTGTCGCGATGGGATGGGATGGGATGGGATGCGAGGTTGGAAGCTTGTGTGGAGACGAAAGCGTGGCGAGTCTCGTCCGGCGGCTGTGACGTCGTGCCTCGCTAGTAAGGCAACTAGTTACTAACGTTAGTAAGTAATTTAGTTTCATTTTGAATTAAGTGGGGAGTATGTACGGTAACTTAGTAAGCCACGTCTCTTCGTTTGAGCTGCGACGATGATGATTGGGGAGCCCTGGCGCGCGGCTCTCCTCGAGACCTTGTCCACGCCCTTCTTCATTCGTTCTAGCTGCACGTGGGACTGGCACGACGACGATTTCGTTCGCCAAGTGACGGCTCAGGCGACAGCTAGCTTGCTTATATTTGGGTTTCTTGGTAGAGGATAAGCCCCGTGTCTCCTTACATGTCTGTCACTCCACCGCCGCCCATAACAACGACGTCTGCAGATGAGCGAAATACCATGACGGCCTACAGGGGCGGGCAACAAAGGCGCCTGGATGACATCTGGAAGGCTCCTGCAGAATCAGCAACGACCTAGCATGCTCGCCAGAGCGCCCTTCTCGCTGTCCGAAACGGTCAGATTGTAATAGGCCTTGACTCCGACCCAGGACTCGGCGTACGTGCAGTGGAAGCTCGCCAGGGGAGGCTTCCACTTGTCCGGGCCCTTGTCCCCCTTTTGCCGGTTGGCGTGAGCAGAGACGGCCCAGAGCTGCGGGCGGACCAAGTCATTGGCAAAGGCCTCTCTCTCCTCGTCTGTCCACTCGGACGCTCCGGACTGTCACTCACATGTTAGCGCCGGCAAACGTTGTCCAGAGTAAACGGCAGGGGAAGAGGTCGGGCTCTTCTTCACCATCCACGCATTTTTCAGAGGCACAAAGTGATCAATGTCCAGCTTGTGGCCCTGGGTGAAGACCAGGCCGTCGTATGGACTGGTCCATTTGCCCGACTGAGGGACGCAGTTGCGATTCGTCTCGACGTGCTCGCCGTCTCGTATCAGCACCACGTCTCTTTTGGCCATGGTTAGCGACAAGAGCGGTGATTCACGGGACGGATTTTTTGGAAGGGCCTGAAAACATGCCGAGTATTGCATTTTCCGTGAACAATGTCCCAGAGGCGAAAGAGGGATCGGTTGTAGGTGCCGTCGTCCAGGGGGGTTGCTACTTGAAGGCTGTTCAGCGTTGTCCTGGCACTCGATGCACTCGGGATACCAGGCTTACGGGTTTCATTAGCTGATTCAGCCGCATGGCTTTGTTTGCTCCTCCTAGGAAATGCAACCTACCGGCGTTGGTTCCGGGACTGGAGCCGAGAGGACTCCAGCAACCATGGCCAAGATGCTGAGACTGACGGTCTTCATAGTCAACGACGGAGCGAGCTGGCGAGGATGGTCAAGAGCAGAAGAGAGACAAAACTCGGGACACAAAATCGTCCATGCTCTTGATATTTTTCGAGCTTGTCGCGGCCACTACTCATTCATATATGCTCAACTGAGCAAACCGGCCGTCTTTTGAACCGGCAAGACTCAAAGTTCCATTGCCCGAATCTGACTTGATGAGGTGCAACTGCGTCGGTGTCGAAAGGGTGCAGATTGGCCCTCGTGACCTGTGTCAGTCGTCGTGGCGTCTCGGGCAAGCAGATAACATTGGTGAACTTCATATTCCTCCGGCATCTACTATCCGTGAGTTGACAGCAATGCGAACAAGGCATCGGTGTAACCTGCCTGTTCGGGTCTTCGCATGGCTGCGAGGCTGCAGCGTGCACCATCTAGATATCCGACCATTTAAATGTATTGTTCGACCTGGGGAAACGGCAGGGGTCGTTTAACGACCAGCAGATCCCTCATACGACCTTGGTTATACTCCTTCTACATTGAATACTAAAGCAGCACCGCACCCGCTGCCTATCCAGACCGAGATTTGTACCGAAATTCATCCTTTGCTGTCTGGATATGAACCACGGGTAATCAGTGCCCCATGAACCGGTTTCGCGAGGCATGATGGGAGGGTAGGACTTGGAGTTTGCTGCAATACGACACATATATCTATCTGTCTGTAAATGGACCAACACAAGTCACACAGTGAGTGCCGTAGACCGTATGGATTGTCGGTTTACAAACCGCCCCGTCCTGGCAATCATGCTGAACAAGTTCTTCAAACTGATGGCTGATGTAACGGCTAACCTTCCTCCTGTCTTCCGCCGTCGAATCGGAATTCTGCACCCCTTCTGACTCTGCTTGCCAGAGATACGGGGGCGGGATAGCTCACACCCTCGGCGAGGACGTTCAGTATGGCTGCCATGGAAGCACATTGATCGAGTAACGGCTTTTTTTTTTTGGTCTCAAATCTAGCAGCGCCTCGCAGTCCATCGCATTGCTAGCGGCCCTTGTAAATGTCGACGACTCGGGCTCCTCATGAGAGATTTGATGCTTGCGAGACGTATCCCCCTGGCCGCAATGCTGGTTGCCTGCCCAATTGAGCAATGGATCCCGCAGAGGAGCTCATCGTTTCCAGTGTAGGAAGGCCTATACTTGCTCCCAGGAAACACATGACACATCGCCGTTGTTGGAGCTGCTCAAGTATCTGTTTCCCAACGGCAGCACTTCAGACGAAGTCAAGATATTCGACCATGGCATCTCCAGCCAGAGGGTGACAAGATGCGTCTGCGACGTTGGTACAGAGTTTTATGGCGTATGTGTGTGTATGTGGAGGTTGCTGGCCATGACGCCAGACTGCAGTGCCAGGAATAGACGGGCCAAATTGACACTTGTCGATGCTGCGACTCGAACATTTCGTGGCGGATGACGGGGACGAGGTTGCACAAGACTATCTGGAAATAAATGTTGATAATTGGTCCGGGTGTCCCATCCACATCTGTCCCAACAGAGAAGGAACACTCCATGAGCCACCTGCCTTGGTGGCCTGGCAACTAGAACTGCCTACGGAGTACGGAGTACCGAGTGACTGCGGAGGCTACGGAGTGAGACAACATCAGCCCATCATGGAACGACATCCCAAACCAACCAGCCACGCGCTCATGTGCATGTGCATGTGCGTCTGCGTCTGCGTCTGCGTCTGCGTCTGCATCTGCATCTGAACCCAACCTCAACCCCAACCCCGTCATCGCCCTTTTTAATGCCACATTTTTCCACGCCCTTCTGTCCTCGGCTTCACACGACGCCGTGCCACCCAGCGGCTTTGTGCTGACTTCTGTCCGGCACCATGTTCAACCCCGGCATCGCGTACATGCTTGTAAGTCACGACTCATCACGCGTCTGCATCACCACGGCCCCCGAGCAGCCAGCCAGCTAAACCACCACAAGGTCTGTGTCGTTCTTTTCGCCGTCGCGGTGTGAGTGTAAAGCCCCGGGCCCTCTCTTCCCTCCCACCAAGGAAGGCACCGGCTAATCGTTATAATCATCATCCAGCGTCATCCACTACCACACCATACACCTTTCCCTCCCCATCTCATCCGCCATCACCATCCTCAGCATCCTCCTTCCCATCACCGCCTTCCTCAACGCCTATATATATCCCAACCTCCTGCGCTCCTCCCACACCTTCACGTCCGGCGACATCTTTACACGTCTCGCCCCCATCGGCCTCCAGGGCCTCCAGGCCATCACAACCGCCGTCCTCGCGACTTTGCTCCTCGGAGGCGTCGTGCCGTCCCCCGCGCTCGAGTTCCTCATCGACTACGGGTGGGATAAGCTTTACCAAGCGAAAAATGCGGATTGCATTGTGCTCATACAGGATACCTACAACTGCTGCGGTTTGAATTCCGTCGATGACAGGGCGTACCCATTCCACAATGTACCGGGCGGTACGTGCGCCGAGATCCACGGCCGAACGAAAGCTTGCAGGCAGCCCTGGACGGGGGCGTTGCGGGCCGCGTCGGGCATTGACTTTGGGGTTGTGGCTGTAGTTGGATTGATGCAGGTGAGTTCCTCTCCCCCAGCATGATCCTGAGCGAGTGCCAACGAGCCTTCATCGCTAATGCGCGTTCAGATGATTGGCCTCTTAATCATGAGAGAACGAACAGCTTGGTGGACTGCCCTCCGGACGGAGGACTGGAAACCTTTTAGCGAGACCGACGATGAAAGCTCAAGGCGTCTGCCCACCGTCGCTGAAGAATCTGAAGAATCTTCCGAACAAGGCGAGCCTGCCCAGGCAGGATACGGCGCTATCCAGATGCCCGTTGCTGAACCCTCTTCTTCGCCCGGGGAGGCCAACCACCGCAATAACGACTGATCACAAACCTCCTTCGCCCAAACAAACAAATATACCGCAGTAACCCGGTTCCCCCCAACGTTCTTCTCTTTTACAAAGCACGGGACAAGCATATGCACGGAGTTTGTCATCCATCTCTACTCGTGTACTTTCAAGATTGTCGTAAAGGACTGCTCATTTGCTTCTTTTCAATTGTAAAGCTTCCTTACCAAGTGTAGCCAACGCAGCCTCGTACTCGTGCACCCTCTTCTCAGTCATTTCTTCTAATCTCGTCCGCTCCACCTTCTGTGTCCGTCTTACGGCTGAGCTCTTTGCGATTTTGCCCCAGAACCAACCACTTTCGCCATCGTCAATCAAAGTCCATGCACACCCGGGCCGCCCCGCGCGAGCTGTTCGACCCACGCGGTGGACGTAGCCAGCTACACTGGCGGGTAAGTCGTAATTGATGACGTGGCCGAGCTTAGGGATGTCGATACCCCGCGCGACAAGGTCAGATGCAATAATGAGCCGCACAGGGGATGAAGGCGTTGTGAATGCGCGGAGGACCTTGCGACGAATGTGAGTGGGCGTGGTGGATGTCAGGGTGCTGATTTGGCTGGTGAGTGAGGCGTCGAGGAGTGCGAGGAGGCGCGAGAGTCGCAGGGCAGATTCGTTAGACTTGGTAAATATGAGCGAGATGGGAACTTGTGTCTTGGGCGGTGTGGGTGTGCTTTTGCCGTCTGAAGTGTCCGAGTCCGAGGTCGTATCGGAATCTGAAGAGGTGTCGGAGCCATCAGACATATCCTCATCCGCCTTCAACGTCGACGAGGAATCCCCATTTCCGACATCGCTCGTCATGTGGGACTGCCTCAAGAGATCCAAAAGATACAACGGCTTGAGATTCGCCTCGTGAACCCGCACTGCAAACTCACGCAAGCCCACGGGCAGAGTATGCTCCGTGACTTGCACGGAATCGTCATTCTCCAGCACGATTAACCGCGGTCTCCGCAGCGCCAGCTGATTCAAGAGGCTTAGGTCTCTCGTCAGTGTCGCACTGAGAATCACCTTGCGGACACCAGAGTACGCCACGTCGGGAAACCCGCGAGCACTAAACTCATCGACCCGAAACTTTTCCAGCACCAGGTCCAGCCAGCCCTGGAAACTTTGCGCGAGCAGCTTGTCCGCTTCGTCGACGACGAGCCAGCGAACGTAGTCGAGGCTGAAGCCGGGCGTCTGTTCAACGTGTTCTACTAGGCGGCCAGGGGTGCAAATTAGTACGTCTACCTTGGAACAAAAGTCCACAACTTCGCCTGCCCAAGGCCCGAGGCGGGCATTGATGTGGATGGAATCCAAATCATGTACATCGTCGACATCGGCGGAACACGTCTTTGCACGCTGCTGCCTTTGCTCCTCCTGGATTTTACTGTAGGCTTCCGGGTCATAACGCGACTCTCGTTCGATCAAGGCCTCTTTCTCTGATTTGATAGACTGACTTCCAATGGCAACGCCGACCCGGACTCGCTTGCGGCTTTCCCCCTCGTAGGCCTTGGCGCAGGTCTCAAAAACTTCCTGCGCTTGCTTAACAAGTTCTCGCGTGGGGAGGACCACGAGGGCTCGTAGCCTTGTGACCAAGCCGTTGCTAATATCGCGAACAATGGGTAGTGCATACGCAAGCGTTTTGCCGGAACCCGTGGCTGCTGACACAAGTAAGTCCCCCGGTTGGTGTTTACTGGTTGGTAGAAGTAGAGGGATAGCGGCAGTCTGAACTGCAAAGGCCTCCCTGTAGCCTTTCTCTACCAACACCCGCGATGGTCGTTCTAGGATGCCCAGGTCTGTGAATGGCGCCTTTGTGTCTTGCGAAACTCGTATGGGGTTGGACAGCCACGGGGGAAGCGTGTCGTACGTCGGCTTGGACTCGTCCTCTGGCACGGGAGCCGGTTGAGGCAGTGGCTCCAGACCATGGGATTCCACAGCTTCGTCATCAGACTCATCGCCTTTTTTTTGTGCGACTTCGGTGGCCAATTTGATGGACTTGGTTTTGCGCTCCAGAACTGCCCTGTGCCGTGCCATTTCCTTTTCGTCATCATCATCCGCTTCTGCTGCTCCCTTGGCGTGTTTCTTCTTTTTCTCCCGTTTCGGCCTGTTTCCCTTTATTTGTTCCTTCGCCTCGGGGGCAGGCGCCTCGGCCATCTCGACATCACTGTCTCTGGAGCCGCTTGCATTTTCCGAATTTTCAATGGCGAAATCTTCTTCGATGGCGGCATTGTCATATTGTAGAGATTTGGGCTCCTCAGCCTTGTCTTGTGTTCTAGAGCTCAACTTTGCCGTCGTGCGCTCCGGCTCGTCGTCGGAATCGTTAGCCTGCGTCCGTTGCTTTCGTTTTCTCCTGTTCTTCTTCTTTGCACCCGTCCGCAAATCCACCGCTGCACTGTCGTCCCGAGAAGCAGCAGCATCTTTGCATCTTTTGATCTTTTTGGCCTCCGACTCGTGCTGTTGATCGGCCGTTGGCTCTCGCTTCCTTTTCGGCGTGAAACTGGCCTCGTCGTCGTCGAAATATTGTACTGAATTCGGTGGGGAAACAGGGGGAGCAGAAGATTTCGCGGTCGACTTGGCTCCTGGGACGTAGCGCGTGTAGCTGAATGCCTGAACAAGTTTTGAAGCGATCGGTGATGATGGCTTCGGGGCTGAGGACTCAGCGGGGACTGTAGGCTTTGCGCCTTTTGAAGTAGGCACATACCTCGCGTACATGGCCCCAGGTGCTCAATGCCCCAAAATAGCAAGCAAGTAGCAGGATTGGATTTCTGCGAAAAGAAGTCGATGCTGCTCATGTCCAAAAAATTGGGCGGGTCGGATCCTTATCTCAATTCTGCCATTCCTCACCGCCGTCTCTCGAGTCTCAAATCTTATCAGAATCCTGCGCCTTGAAAGCTCTCGGCAGCTCCAGATGTCACGTCGATCTTCAAGTAAAGAACGTCTAAGGCGTCTACGCTCTACGTTGCCGTGTCGCGAGCGCCACGGTAGCAATTACTCTCGGGACGTCATACAACAAGCTGGGCCATGTCTCTCATCACGTGGTCAAAATGACACGCCGGCGGTACAACATCGCCATGGTCAGCGACTTCTTCTTCCCACAACCAGGAGGCATCGAGTCTCACATCTACCAGCTATCGAGCAAGCTCATTGACCGGGGGCACAAGGTCATCATTATTACACATTCTCACGACGATAGAAAGGGCGTCCGGTATCTCACCAACGGGCTCAAGGTGTACCACGTGCCGTTTCTTGTCATTTACCGCCAGGCGACTTTTCCCACGGTGTTTTCCTTCTTCCCTATTCTCAGATACATCTTCATCCGGGAGCGCATTGAGATTGTGCATGGGCATGGAAGCTTGAGTTGCTTGTGCCACGAGGGTATTCTTCACGCGAGGACAATGGGCCTGAGGACCGTCTTTACGGATCACTCGCTGTTTGGGTTCGCGGATGCCGCGAGCATTCTCACCAACAAGCTGTTGAAGTTTATTCTCAGCGACGTTGATCACAGCATATGTGTGAGCCACACATGGTAAGAAGAAGCAGACGAAGAATCACTGCGCACGCACATCACGCCGGTCAGTGTACTGACGTGAACCCTCAATAGCAAGGAAAACACCGTCCTCCGTGCATCGCTGGACCCCTTAATGGTCTCCGTCATTCCCAACGCCGTCGTGGCAGAAAACTTTCGCCCGAGAGACCCCCCATCCTCTCCCGGCGCGCCCTTCGCCCCGGATCCCTCGCCCCAGCGCGTCGGGCCAAACGACATGATCACTATTGTCGTCATCTCCCGCCTCTTCTACAACAAGGGCACAGATCTACTGACAGCCGCCATCCCCCGCATCCTGGAAACCCATCCCAACACGCGCTTCATCATTGCCGGCTCCGGCCCCAAGGCCATTGACCTGGAGCAAATGATTGAGCAAAACGTGCTCCAGGACCGCGTCGAGATGCTTGGTCCTGTGCGGCACGAAGACGTCCGCGACGTCATGGTTCGCGGCCACATCTACCTCCACCCTTCGCTGACCGAGGCCTTTGGCACCGTCATCGTTGAAGCCGCCAGCTGCGGACTGTACGTGGTCTGCACCCAAGTCGGCGGCATTCCCGAGGTGCTGCCTTCCCACATGACGACGTTTGCCAAGCCGGAGGAAGACGATCTCGTCGTGGCGACGTGTAAAGCAATAACCGCCGTGCGGGCCGGCAAGGTCCGCACGGAAAAGTTCCACGAGCAGGTGAAGAAGATGTACAGCTGGTCCAACGTGGCTATGCGCACCGAGAGGGTCTACGACGGCATCACGGGTACCATTAGCGAAGAGGAGTTCTATGGCTTCGACACGGGCGGCTACAATGGCAGCAGAGTCCGCAACTTTGCGCTTATTGATAGGTTGAAGCGCTACTATGGATGCGGCATCTGGGCCGGCAAGCTCTTTTGCTTGTGTGTTGTGATTGATTATTTGTTCTTTCTGTTCCTGGAGTGGTGGTTTCCGAGAGAAAATATAGACATTTGTCCCGATTGGCCAAGGAAAGTGTTGGAGGACAAAGGGAAAAAGGAAGGCCGAAGTAATCGGTCGAGTACGTCGCAGGGGAGGATTGGCCATGACTAGGGGCTATTTTTTTTTTTTTTTTTTTTCTCTTTGGTATGGCGTCTTGTGAGGTGTACATTATCGTCAGGATGGTGGAACAGGTGTTGATTTCCGTCGTGGAACATTGTGCTAGCGATTCGGCGTTCAGGACAGAGCACATCGGGTGGGCAGATGTATGTGTAGAAGAACATGATGGTCGCATGTTTCGTCACGTCGTAACGGACATCATACTGGCAGAATGCCCTCTTGAACGCGTGTCAGCAGTCGACCCGTCGGTCCATTTGTTCCAATGGATTCCTCATCCGGAGCGAGCCAGGCTAGGCCTTTGACGCATCAGCCTCGCTCGTCAACGCACGTCACCATCCACGGCCCAGAGCGGCCTGTACCCTACCAACGTCCACAATGCCCTCCACCACCCCAGATCCTCCGTCTCGTCGACCATGACGACATCCTCGGCGAACCTGGGCCAGACCGGCCTCGGTCCCGACCTCCACGGCATCGGCGCTCCCACGCCCGACGGCGGCCATCCCGCCTCGCCACCGCCAGCAGCAGCTCCGCCGCCCTGCGCCGCCCGCGCGCTCTCCCCGGACACGGAGCCCGTGTCGGACGAGGTTGACGAGCCGTTCCCGTTCCCGTTCTCTCTCCTCCTCCTCCCCCCGCCAAGCATCCACGCCAGACGCGAGGGCCGCCTCCGGGCCGCCCTCACCTTGCGGACCTTTTTCGTCCGCAGCGTGTCCGCGTACACCAGCACCGTGGCCAAGACGACCCCCGGCACCACGAGCACCCAGTAGGCAAAGAAGAGCGCCCCCCCGGCCGCGAACCGGCCCGCCATGGAAAACACGCCGGCGGCGATGGAAAAGGGCAGCAGCACGCCGCCCATGTACGACAGCCGGTCCAGCGCGCGCCTGTCCTCGCGCACCTCGAGCGCCAGCGCGTCCGTCTTGCAGCCCGACGACGACGACGGCGGCGGCAGCCTCCTCTCCAGCCGCTGGTACTTGTCGTGGAACCCCGCCACCATCTGCAGCAAGGCCGAGTCCCTCCTCCGCGGCAGCGGCCCGGCCGGGTCCTCCCACGGGTTCGCGCCGGCGCCCGCGCCCGCGCCGCGCACGTAGCGCCGCCAGTCGAGCACGTTGTTCTCGACGCGCTGCGAGATGAGCTCCAGCAGGTAGTTGGCCTGGCTGGGGCCCCTGTCGACCTGGACCGTCGCGACGAGCAGGTGCCACTGCTGCAGCGCCACGTCGGTGGCGACCTCGTAGACGCTCGAGGCGCTCCCGCGCGCGAGGAACCCGTCGAGGAAGGACTCGCGGCGGCGGCGGGCCCTCCACCGCGCGTACAGGCCGTCGAGGGCCTCGACGGCGCCGCCGTCCTGCCGCTTCACGCTGCTCCTGAAGGGCTGCGTCGCCGGCAGCGCCGGCGCCACGTGCGGCGGGAGGATCGCCTCCAGCGGCCCGTCCACGACCATGACGGCTGCCAGTTTGTCAGATCAGATCAGACCAGGCCAGACGGGTCGTTGCGTCCCCCCGAGGAGCGGGATGGACGGAAGAAGCACGGGGGGGGGAGGAAGGGGGAAGGGGGGACACGACGCAAGACGTACACGTCTTCTCCCGCTCGCTGCACCACCACGACATCCTCCTCCAGTACCCAAAGGCGCCGACTAGCACGCCGTCCCAGCGGTACAGCGTCCCGTCCAGGAGGTACGCCTTCCTCGCGTCCGGCGCCAGGCTGAGCACGTTCTCGTCCAGCATCCACCGGCTCTCGAGCAGCGGCATCTCGGAGCTCCTCGACGTCTGGATCCCCGCCGGGATCGAGAGCTCCTCCACCTGCGGGAAGTCAAGCTGGAAGAAGTGCACGCCGCGGCGGCCCTGGCCCTGCTGCTCCGTCTCGCGCCCCTTTCCCTTTCCCTCTCCCTCTCCCTGGCCTTGCCTGGCCTCCCCCCGCCAGGGAGCCACGTACCTTGTTCTGTAGACGTGGCTGTCGAAGAAGCCCGGGTCGATGTCTAGCCGCACCGCCAGTTCAAACGCCAGCTTTGTGTGCAGGCCGTTGAGGACAAACATCTTCCACTGGCCGGGGTGCTCGTCATGATCGCGCGTCAGGAAGTCGTCTATCTGGTCCCAATTGCACAGTTCGATGTGGACGGGCTGCTCACCGTCGGGCAGGATGAGGACGCTGGCAATGGTTGTTGTAGGACAGGCCGTCTTGGTGCTGGATGCGTCTTCCTCGGGTGTCATTGCTTTGTTCTTCTTTTTGTTTATTACTGATTCCTTTTTTTTTAAAAAAAAAATCCCTTTTCCCTCCAGGGAATGGTCTGGGACGGGGGGGGGAGCGCGGGCATGCGAATTCAACAATGTCGTGGAACCTAACGAGGTTGGGTTTTGACGGTGGTCCTTTGTGTGAGTGAGTGAGTGAGTGAGCGAGCGAGCCAGTGTTCCAATTCATCACGTGTGACATGCATCAGCCGCATGCATGTGGTTAGACGTGCATTGGACTGAGCACAGTTGCGTGAGAATCGAGTCAAGATCGAGGGAGGGATTCGGGTGAGAGAAAATTATGTTTGCTTGTCTCGCAAGTATTGTCATCCTACACGCTATCCACATCCCAAGTTCCGAAAACCCAAAACACACAAATGTAACCAGCCCGCCCATGCAAACGCTCTACAATAATCAAACAAGCCACCTCGGTCGTCAGACTAGCCCGAGTTTCTGGTGTGGGATTCTAGGCAAGGCCTCTTGCAAACCCTCCAAGGCGCCTAGTTCCTCGTCGTGGTCCGTCTTCTTTTCACGGCGCTGGCCGCCGTGATCCCATCCCCCGCCAGTTCGTCCTCGTCTTCGGCAGTGTCGTCTGCGGGCGTCGCGACACTGGCTGGACGTGTGGCAGAGGGCGGTGGTGCACCGCGGTCCTTCTCTGCGCTGCGAAGATCGCCAAGCAGTTTCTCGACTTCCACAAACATGCTGCGCGTATTCTTGACCACGCCGTTCTCGTCAAGGTGGTAGCCTACAACTTCCTCCTCCTCGTCCCGGGAACGTTTCAGGAATGCAGGGCCGGGCCCTCGGTCAGGATCGGGGTTGTACATGATGGCGTTGCAGAACATGTGGACCAGCTCCCGTTCGAGTTGGGCAGAGTTGACAATGCCCTTGGGAGGGACGAGGTCTTCGGATATGGGAAGGAGAACACTTGCCGTTCCAGGGTCGCCGCCCGGGAGACTGCCTGCTGCTTGTATGGCGGCCTTGTTCCCTTGCTTGATGGCAGCCCGTACTGACGTGATGTCTTGGGGCTGCAGTACAATTTGCCGGTAGTTTGGGGCGTCTCTCTCGCGGACACCCGTGGCAAACATGTTGGCATCGCGGTGGCTTGAGATCTGGTCGAGAGCCGACGAGGACACCTTGGTGAAACCGCGAGTCCACAAGACTTGTGTGGGAGGTGCAGTAGGTACATGTGGTGGTGACTCTTGTCTTTTCCGTTTAGCGAGTCTTGACGAGGCACTGCCGGGAGTTGCCATATTTGTTCGACCATATACACTCTCATCTGCCGTGGTATCGCCTGTTTCCTCAATGTGCCGCGGAGTGAGAATTTCGCGCTTGATCCGTGTGGAACTGATGGGATGATCCATGGCAAGCTCATCGGCTTGGGAAGCAACAGACTGGCTTCTCCTAGTCCCACTGATTGATGGGGTAGTGCTCATTCCACGCCCTCCGTGCGAGCTTCTGGGCGGTCGGCCTCTGGGTCTGGCCACACCCGTCTTCAAGCCGCCCTTGGGTAAGTCTCTCTTTGAACTAGACCTTGGCGTATCAGACAGTATTGACGTATCACGAGGTGGCGGGCTAACTGGCTCATATGCCGGGCTCTCCGGTTCAGCTGTGATAGGTCGTGGCGTAGAAGGAGTAGAATGAGACGCCCATTTGGTTCCGAATCCGCGGGTGAGCGCGGCCATCGGAGTTGTGGCACCGGGCGTACTTGGAGCAGCCGTGACGGGGCTGATCTTCTTGGCGTTTGGCGTCGCAGCCGCAGCCGCCGCTTGTGCTGCAGCCGCTTGTCGGATAATATGTTCTGGAATGGCTGGCCGTGGTGGTGGCGGTTGCGTATTATAAGGAGTAGTATTCCCCTTGTCCTTCTGCGCCAAGGGGCCCGGAGAGGCGGAGGGTGATGGCCGTCGTGTTCGTTGCTGCTGTGCAGCTTGGGCCGGCGTCCATTTTTGAGGGGCTATGGTGGGCACAGTGACACCCTTTTGTGGTGTTGGTGATGCTGCTGCAATTGGTCTCGGTGTCTGTTGTGCCGGTTGAGGGGGGAAAGGTCGGCTAGGTGGAATAACAGGCGTTGTCGAGATCGGTCGAGGATTATGCTGCTGCTGCTGCTGCTGTTGTTGTTGCGGTTGACTTTGCACAGCCGGAACCCCGCCAGGTCGAGGCCGAGCTGGTTGCACTGGCGTAGAGAGTTGCCCGATAGTCTGGGGCGCTACGAGAACTTGTTTCCCTGGGATAGGTCGGCCCTGGGCAGCCACAGCCGGAGTTGGCAATGGACCAGCAAACTGTCCTTGCTGTTGTGGAGTCCGCTGCTGCTGCGGTTCCCTCGAGGCTCCAGATGTAGCATTGATGGGAGCCGTAGGCTGGGCCTGTGCCGCTGTTCCAGACGTTTGTAGTGTTTGCGGAGTTTGCGGTGCTGGAGGTTGATACGGCTTCTCCCACTTCAAAGTTCCCGTGGCTGCTGCTTGCCCCGCGGCCGACGGTGTGGCCTCCTTCGGCTTGAGAGCAGCAGCAGCAGCAGCAGCGTCTGGACGAGGCGATAGTGCCGGCTTCGGAGGCTGGCCAGGCGGCTGCGGAACTCTGGACCCAGGCTGGGGCATTCCGGCCGGCGCCTGTAGTCCAGATGCCGTGGTACTTGGAGGTTTTGGCGAAGGCTGCGGCGGCCGGACTGGGGTTGTGCCCGTCTGCAAGTGACTGGGCGCTGCGACTGACGGCTGCACAGTCGAAGTTGAAGGCGGTCTTGGCGGATAAACTGGTGTCGTAGACATGGGTCTTTTGATAACGCCGGCTTGCCCAGGGGCAGGAGTTGGAGATTGACCAGGATTCGGACGTCCATCTCGAGGAGCTAGCGTCGATGCGGCATTCTGACTCGCTGCCGCCTTTGCCAATCTCTCGTTCTCGTTCTTCTCGAGACATTGGATATGCTTCTGGACCGTTGCAAACTTCTCCTCGTCTTCCCTGATTTCCTTCACGATGGTATCCCGGTATCTGGCATATAGTCGATCCACCAACGCTGGAACCCTTTCAATGTGCTCATAAGCTTCCCTGAGAGCCGGCAATGGTGGACTGCCCAGTTTCCTCTTCCGCGGCGCGGGCGATGCCGACGCATCTGCTGCCGTTGTGCTCGAGCCCGCAGTTGTTGCTGTGGCATTCGTTGTGGTCGTCGAGCCGGTCCCGTTCTTCGCCTCCTCGCGTAGCAGCAAGAGGAACAGCTGCTGCAGCGCATCGGGAGCTAAACGCGCCGCATCGAACGATTTGTCGCTTTTGACGAGCGCATTGTTCTTGAGTATCTCTGAAATCCGAACAAACGCTCCCGTGTCGGCCCCGTGTGTCAGCAGCGACTGGAAAAGGAAGAGCGACTCGAGGGGCGTATATGCGGTCGGATGATTCATGCCCCGCGGTCCACCTCGACAGTGACCGAGAGGACCTTTGCGCTTCGCAACAAGATGAATCGGCGCCAGTGTCTATGAGATTTTGCATCCAAAGGTTAGCTCTCGCCCCCGCGTCGACTACTGGCCATCTGGTCAGGGGAGGCACATACGTCATGCAGTCAGTCGTCGGATTCGAAGAAAAAGGCTTGGCGGCGGCCGAATTGAGCGACAAAAGAACTTGAGCAACGTCAAATCGGCAACTGCACGGTGCTGTCACGCGCCTTGAGGCTTTTTCCCTGAAGGTTTTTTCTCTGCCTTGACTGGTAACCTTTTCTTATCTGCTCGCCATCGGCTGTCCAAAAATCACGTGATACAGCTGAGTTGGTCCTGGTTTGGCGTTTTGTCGGGACTCGGGAGCGTTTTTAGAGAGAAGATGAGAACGGGTCCTAGCGAAAAAACAAAAACGAAACGGCAAAGTACTACACCGATCACGTGACACCCCCTGAGCATTGGCATGAACATCGACATCAACCATTTGGTGCTTGACATTATTTTGTGCCTAGTCAACTGGTCGCTACGCTGGAAGAGAAGAGCGCAATCACAGCTTTTCACCAATTTTTGTTTCGAACCAGTAATACCAGGAATGTGCCGTGATGCCGCCGCCGAAGACTAAACATTCCTTTGTCTCTGGGTTAAACCCGAGAGTTTCTGCTGAATTCATGTAACGCCTATTCCAGTGGTATCATATCACTATTGAAAAAGTGATGTCAAGCGCATCGACTCTGATTCACTCCAGGCAGCTTTTCCAATCGCCGCGCTCCTTCCTGTGAAAAATGAGCAACCTAAAACGCCGTCGTCCCACGTCCACAAAAATGGACCAGTAGTGTGGTACTTCCCTCGAACGCTCAATATAGGAAAAGCAACTGTTTTTTGGATAAAACATGAGACGAAATGAATGCTATGGAGACGAGGAGCTCGACGAGCCATCCGCGCTGCGAGGTCGATCGTCACTGCTGGCGGTGTCCATTTCCTGATTTTTAGGCAGCTGGTTGGTGAGCCGCAATTTCTCATCCAGTAAAGTAACCAGCCTTTCTGAGTACTGGTCTAAAAGGCCACTGAGGACCGTTTCGTTGATAGCATTGCTTCTGATGGCGCGATCGCCAAGTGCGACGGCCGTGAGACGCAGTTCTTGATCTAACTCTGTCAAGCCCTCAGCAGTAATGGGCTCAGCAGACGACAGCTTCTTTCTGTACGAACGCAGAGTGCGGCAAGCCTGCTCTGTTGCCGTATTCAAAGAGCCCGGCCCGCGAAGATTTGATAAAGACTTCCTCTTAGCGACTGCAGACAAAGCTGGCATCGAAGGCGTTCTACTAACCCTTGACTTTGGGCTGGCAGGAGGGCTGTCGCCTCTGTTAATCTCCCAAGGCCCTCTTCTTGATGGAGTGTCTTCGCTGATGGCGCTGTCACTTGGGCTGGCCGCCAAGTTCCCAACTGGAGTTCGGTTTGCTGAGGGGGCGGCTCCGAGATTGACTCGTGATGTTCGACGGCGCACGGATCGGGGGGGTGACCGACGTCCCGCTGGTGATGGTGAATGACGTTGAAATTCGGCCAGGTCCGCCTTGGATAAAACCTTTCGCAACGTCGGTCGACTGCCAACGTTAATTGCCTCCTTCACTGGTGATGGATCCCTACTCATCGACCTCGGTGAAGGATCGTTCAGATCCAGCGTCCAAACCATAATCGTTCCATCCGAGCCCACACTGACAACTTTTCTCGTGCCGTCGTCATCTTCGACAAGAGAGACGCCGTTGATTGCCTCTGTGTGGCCCCATTCCCTGTCCAAGAATGCGCCCGAATTGGCGTCATATAGTCGTATAGATTTATCGGTATTTGATGACCCTAGCAAGAAGCCAACGTCCTTGGAGGGCCACTGGCCGACGAACAAGGAATCCAGAACGACGGCTTCTACACCACCCTCATCCATGCATTTAAAACAGCAAAGCTGTCTGCCACTTGCCAAGTCGTATTGGTATATGGACCGATCCAGGGAAGAAACAAAAATAGTCCTGTTATCCGGGCTCATGGTCATTGAAGTGGGTGATGATTTCAGACTAATGACTTTGGAGGGAATGGCTGCAATAACGTCAGGTTCTCCCTCTCGGGAGACGATGTCGTGTACCTGCAACGTACGGTCAAGTGAACATGTAATGACTTTGTCATCTGCCGGGATGAGCACCTGAATGACCTTTGCAGCAAATTCAAGGGTCTGAAAATGCTCGATCCGGCCGGTGGAGTCGCGGTGGAATAACTGGGCGGTCCGGTCTCTGCCGCAGCAAGCCATAAGAAACTTGGACTCTTCGTCATATATGCTGATGCAAAGACAGTCAGATGAGTGCGCCTTGATATCCAGCAGGCAGTCCTTGGAATCTACGTCGACGACTTTGACGATTCCCTGACGATCTGCTGTCACTAGTAGCTTCCCGCTCTTTGTAGTGCGGGCGCTCGTGAGTTGGTTTGGCAAAGTGGCCTCGTTGTCTGGGTCTGAGTCCTCAACAGGGACATCGAGAGTCAGCTTGACCTGCCCATCTACGTCCCAAAAAGTTACATTGCCCGATGCAGACCAGGTTACAAAGGCGGCGTTTGCCTTGTTCGGTCGGTGCAACGAATGAACGCCGATGATGGGTTCTCCATGCCCAGGAATCGGGATATGAGCGGCTGTTTCGGTATCCTGTCCGGGTAAACAGTCGGGATTCCAAACATCAATGGACTGCTTTGAGTCAATGGTCACCAACTTGTCCGGAAGAAAGCCGAGCGCGACGACACCAGCCGATGTTTGGCTGGTTGTCAAAACACTCGCTGCGCAGCCACCCATGACTCTTTCGACGTCAAGCGTGGCGAAATGGCCATCTTTGCCGCCAACATATACAACCTTGCCACGAATGGTGATTGTCGTGATGGCGAACTCCAGGTTCAAGACCTTTGTCAATTTCATCTGCCTATCGTCGTCGTCGAGAATGCAGACGTCACCAGTCTCTGTGCCAAAAATAAGACTTTTGCCGTCAACAGCAGCACAGCTAAAAGTGGCTTCCAACAAGCTGCCCAAAAGCATATTTCGGCCAGGCAGGGTCTTCTGTGGTGTCGAGGTGGATGGCGTCGTGTCACCCAGAACCTTGGCCTTGGGCGGCGAGATCATGGTTCCATCCTCAATTTTCCATGCTTTGACATGCCGCACGCCCAGTGTTATGAGACTGTTGCCCATCCAAACCATGTCTCTGATGTATGAGGTACATCTATTTTGCTGAAAGAGCTTGGCAGCTCCAGTCCGTGGGTCAATTTTCCAGACAAATAGGAAACCATCATTGGCGGCACCGAGCGACGCAAGATATTTTGAATCTTCAGACCATGCAACCGCAGTGACCCCAAATGCGTGCTCACTTATGGAGACCAGCGGCGTGTCCGAGGAAGCGTCCAAGAGGCTGAAAATCAACACCCGAGGAGCATATCCAGTCTCGCCGACCGCCAGATACCTGCCGTCTGGACTCAGGGCTATGCACGTAGCAGCCTTGATCCTCTCGCGGCTCGTCCACGTCTTGGGGCCACTGGAGGAATCAGCTGCCCAGTCCACGGGGCTGTACCCAGAATCCTTGCAGTTGGGAGCCACGCGATTGCGGCTGTCGTTGGCTTTGGGCGTCGTCGAAATGGGAGTCGAAGGGGCATTCTGCGAGCTTGATACTGAATACATGGGCACGGCTGTCGGTCGGGCTCTGTAGAAACGTTGCGAGTAAAGCTGGCCGTCGACGTCTACGACCACAACAGCACCTCCAGCAATGTAAGCAAAGGAGGAATTGACGGTGTCAAAGCCCGTGGGCGAGCGACAGGTGGTGCCGACGACTCTCCTAAGTGAGAGCCGCGACTCGTGCATGGAACGTCCACGGATTAAGAATCTGGACGGCCTCGATAGAAGTGGTGAGTTAGACGGCGTCAGCTTCAGCCGGTTGTTGGAGGGAGTAGCAATCGCAGCCATCTCTTCGCCATTGACTCTTTCAAGAGTCTCTCACGCAGATGCCGTCTAGGAATACTGGAGGACCGGGGGCCTCAAATCAACAAAAGGGTCCTGAAGGGATAGCCGAGCAGAAGCAGGCACTCGAGCAGAGCGAGCGGGGGAGGCGAGACAGGGCCCGGGGGTGCTGTCTGGCGGAAAAGCCGGCACAAAATACTATATTAGGCGATTCTCGGTGTCACTGGTACAGGCTTCTTTTGTTCGATAGAAAATTGACAAGCGGTAGAAATGGCCCTGTTGCGCATGTATGTGTACACTCGTTGTAGTAGTAGACGGAGGCAAGCGAGGAGCGCGGCGGTGTAAGTCAATGTCTGCGGCGGTCCAGGTCGAAGAGCAGCACTCAAACGGAGCGGCAGGAGCATCAGGCATGAAGCCGCCGCTCGGGCACTTGAATCGTCAGGAGGACTTGCCGAGGGAGAGACAAACGATGGCAGAGTGTAAGGAACTTTATGCTAAGCAGGCCCTTCCTGTCAGCAAATGGGCATATGGTGGTAGCTGGGGAGCGAAATCGAGCCTGCTAGTGTCGACGTCGACAGGACAACGGCCAAGGCTCAAAAGTATCGACGTGAAACTTAAAACTTACAGAACGACTGTGGGCGCCTTGCGGCGTAAGGATTAAAAGATTAAAAATAAATTGAAAGAGAATGACGATGAAGACGTGACACGAATTGCTGCCTGTCAAGCTCACCAAGCACCAGACCAACCAGACCAGACTATGAGAGTTAAAAAAAAGGAAGAGGAGAGAAGAAGGAGAGCCGAGCCGAGTTCTCGTTGACGCGGACTGAGCAATTGCCTGACCTGCAGCTCCAGCTGCAACGCTCGCCCGATTTGTTTTGGTCACGGCACTGGCCAAGCACTGAGCAGTAGAGATTCAGAGTTCATGGGATCGCTGGAGCTGTGGGACGTATGTACCCAGTACCTTGTGCTTTGTGCTCCGTGCTTCCAGGAAGGGACTCGAGAAAAGACCCCAGCAAGCAAGGTCAGCAAAAACAACTTGCTCCCTGGCTTTTTACAAGCTGCAAGAGCTTCTGGTGTGTACTGCGTACTTCGTGTCAATCATGCAGACCAATCCAAGGCCTAATGGGGACTAGAGCTTCTCCACTTCTGCGAGCCAGAGGCCAATCAAACGTCATAATCACCGACCTCACTGCGATGCACATTGCCCCTGTTGCCGGGCCACCGCGCCGAGATTGATGTCGACAACATCATCGTTATTGGAGAGAATTGCAGGTTTGCCCGCGTTGGCCTCGCTCTTTGCTTTGTCCAGAAAGGGCACCAAAGAGAACCACTCCCCGGTTCGAGTACGGAGAACCCTTGCCGGGGACTTTTCGGCATCATGTGCTCCACCACCAAATGCCGACTTTGGCCTACAGAGAGTACTAATAACTAGGACTCTGCCGTACGGGCGACCATTATCATTCGAGCTGCCTCCTCGATTCTTGCTTGTCGGCAACACGCACACAACCGACAGATTTGCCATGTCCAACCTCATTACATGCCTTCTGTTGTCCCGCCAGAGTCAAACACAAAATCACCCGCCAAACCTCCTCGAGCCTCGAGGCAACAGCCCACACACCACCAACACCAGGATGATACACATACTTGCCACTACGTGGTTCATGCATACATGATCCAAAATCGCCAACACAAACGGACACGCGCAGCCAGTAGAACTCATCAACATTCCGGCTTCTCAGCGCGTCGGACTCCGTACCGAGGCCACCCCAATGAACCCCCCTACGCAAGCCCTGTCACACCCCCTTTTCGGTGAACGTCCACCAGGAGACCAGGGTCGAGAGGCATTGTCGGTAATTTAACAGCCAGCACTAGTACGCAGTACATGCTGCTGCTTGGTGAGCAGACGGTGTGCGAGATTTGATGATGCTATTGATAGCTGAGAGGCGACCAGCTATTGGTGTTGCCGAACAACAGTCTATCGCAGACGTGATGGCTTGTCAAGGATGCAGTGGTGAGCTGAGATTTGGGCCAACAAGTAGTACTCCCTTCCAGTAGCCACGGCGTACGGAGTACATGCATAGAAGACAACCGCTTCTGTGTATTCAACGTCCCCCAGGACACGTCAGATGGGCACATGTCACATCTACCGTCCAGATGATGCAGGGATGCCGATGGCACGGTCGTGGTACTCCGTAGCTTGGCCCGTCCGTATAAGCCCACGGATTCCTGCAAAAAGCCCTTGGCATATCTTGCCGTACTCCACGCGTGCCCTGTCGTGGCTCGTGTTCCGTATTACGTACTGTGCTGCAAAAAAAAAATCAAAAAAAAATCAAATAAATAAAGATTCATGCATAGGTTATTTTCCCGTGTCCGAACTCCGTCTGTCGACGGCACACATCCTCGGGGTCGTAAAACAGCATGACCTTTTGCAGCATGTACGCATGATGGAATCCCGTCTAATTACTAAAGCATCCTAGACAAAAAAAGTCAACACCACGCACCGATACTCCGTATGTATATACTTCTTTAGGCATATACTCGCTATCCAGAATTTGCAATACCTCGCACCATTTACACCGCCAATCCCTCCTCAGAAGCCTCATCTCTCTCCAGCCTCTCCAGCCCACTCCCCACAGCCCCATATACTCTCAATGGCACCGAAATATCAAAGCTCTCGCACGTCAGATTCTCCATGGCCACAAGCACGAGCCCGCCCTTTTCATCCTGCGAAATCTGCTCCAACAGCGGATGAGGCACCTGCAGTTCCGCGGGTTGTGCTGTATCCGAACCCTGGTAGGGAACCACGAATTCCACCCGGATCTTCCACTCGAGGTTGACACCTGTGGTGACGAACTCTGGAGTGGCGGATATGGGGATTGTGGGCGTGAAGACAACACGGCGCGAGTACATGGCTGCTTCGGAAGACGCGACGTACACTTTCCGCGTGACGCGTTGCAGGCTTGACTCTGAGCGGGTGGCCAGCGAAGGGTCTACCTTTTCTGTCGTTTCAAGCGTCGCGTGGACTGCGTAGCACGCTATGTCGGCATCCGTGAAGTCGATTGCCATGGTGACAACCTCGCCTAGACGGTAGGCCGGCCGGGTGAGCATTACTACGCCCACTCGTTGGCCGTTGCGTGCGATTTCGAAGCGATTGGCGCTTTGTTGTCCGTCTCCAGCCATGTTGCTTCTCATGATTGCTAGATGGATGGCCTCTTTGGCCGTACCAGCTTCCTCGCATGTCGAGGGACGTCTTCGGGCAGTCGACTCTGTTGGAGACAGCAATGCGTCTCCCGCCGAGTCCTGTCGTTTGGCAGCCAATCCACTGACGTAGTTGAGGAATTCGTTCATGGTTGCCGGCGTACCAAATGAGGCCCTTGGTTTGTGCACTTTCGCATGCTTACCGAGGCTCTTGACCTCCGCCACGTCTCGAAGCAGTATATAGGGGCTCATGAGATCGTGACCAAGAATTTCACCATGGTTGTTAACGCTGCCCAGCACTCGAAATGGAACTTCGACAGATTTGACTTGCTGCTCCTTGGCGCCTCCGGCCCTCTGCGTCCCAATGACCAGGCTGTATGATATCTTGATGGTTTTACCTTTGTGACTGGGAGGCAAGCCCTTTGGCAGACGGAAAGTATATTCGTAGGACCGACTCTCCCCAGGAGCCAGTTGCAAGTCAACAAACAGGATAGACTGAGGCATGCTTAGCAAGGGTATAGATTTAGAGTTGACAGCTCCGCGAGTCTCCTTGATTGTGCTCAGTTCTTCTCCGCCTAGGAAACCTCCCAGGGAAGTGGTGATATTCCCCCAGCCAAAACCTTTGAGGAGGCCGGCGTCTCGTTTTGCTTGTTCAAGGCCAACAACCCCGCCACCTCGTCCGCCTACTGCGCCCTTCTTCTTCACTGACTCGAAAGGCCCAAGACTAACGAGTGAGCCATCCAAAGTGAAGGATCCTTGGATTTGAGCATAGCCCATCATTAATGATTCTGGCGCCTCCTCCTGTTGTGATGTCATTCCAGAGCTCCGCCGGACGTGGGGTGGGCGGCCATTACCGCGTACCAGCGGCTGGGTCACATATTCGGACACCAATGTTTCCGAAGAATTGTTGCTCATAGGATAAAACTCTCCGCTGCTGCGAGGTGTGCCCCCGGGGATCGTATTGCTAGCCAGAATCCTCGCTGCCGGGCGATCGACGGCGCTTGGCGGGTGCCCCTTCGGCCGCACGGTCAAGTTGTTGTAATCACGAGGATCAACCTGCTTTGGACTGTGAAATCGATCAGAGATTTTGAGTTTCGGACTAGCAGCTTCTTCGTTTGCGGTTGCAGGGGATGCAGGAAATCGAAAGTTTGGCATCTCTCGCCTGGCTGGTGATCTCGCTTGGCCACCCAGCCCAGGCGTATCCGGCGCAGTGGAAGCCCCATAAATCCTCCCAAATCGATCCGGAGGGTACGACGAGTTGAAATGGGGAGAGCTCATATGCCGAGGGAAGAAGGGCGCTGGCCACACCGTCAGTCCATCTTGTGTTTGTGCAAACACACTTGACGGCGGCCGCTTACCTGATTGTGGTCCCGCTGGACCAGGCGAGGTCGCGCCATGTGCTGAAATCTGTAGACTCGTCGCACGATTATGACCCCGATGTGAGCGTTGGGTCCTTGGTAGCGATTGGGATTCGTTCCGCTGAACATGCTCGTCTGCGTTGTTCGCTGACCCAATCGAGATAATAGACAGCGATCTCTGGGCGTGGCCCGGTCGCCAGTCCCCGCCGCCACTGGCATCTTGTGACCATTTTACTGACGCCGACCGACTGTGAGAACTGGTTGACGAAACGCCAAGGGACAAGGCAGACCTCCGATGCCCCCGCGTCGAGGTTGTCGGAGGCGGCGCTGCCATGCCGACAGAAGCCTTCGCGCGAGATTGCAGCGGCACCGCCAACCGTTGTCTTTCCCCCTGTGGCTTCTGCTGCTGCTGTGATTTCTGCTGTTGCCTTTGCTGGCTTGATGTCGAGGCGGCATTTTTAAATGTCACGGTGCATTTGACGTCCTCGCCGGCGAAGACGGTCTGATCGCGCCAGCGGACGAAGACGCGGATGTTGCTCGGTATGTCGGGAGGCATGGTGTCCAACAAGGCAAAAAGGGAAGGACGAGACTGCGCGTCCCTCGGTGAGGAAAGGAATTGTGCAATTAACCAGGCAATGGCAGATGCGGCATCTCGGCTGTCGATGTGTCAACGGACGGATGTTCAGCCTCCGGAGATGATGTCCAGGGGCGCTGAGATCAAATCAGATCGACAGCTCACAGCTCCCACCAACCGTCACATGCATGCGGGCCAGCAACTTGCAGTTGCCAGTCTCGCAGGCCAGATGGGAGCCGGTGGCTGAGCTGTTGGCCCGTGCACGAGTGGCAGGTGTCACACCAAAAAACGGGTGTGGCCACGCCACGGGCCGACATGGACAAACATTCACCGTTCCATGAACGTCCTGGGGCCTTCAAAGATAGATACCTACTTGAACGAGAAAGAAAACATGTGACCGCGGCATTCAAGAACTTGCTGGTATTTCGATCTATCTTCAGCAGATACGGCAAGTAATTTTCGAGTTGGGCTTCTTTCCGCGTCGAGATCACCACTGAACAATTATTTACGACATTGTTTTAAATTGGACTAATCGAAGGAGGTATTATCAGACGCAAAGTACCACAGTAACTTTTCAGACCCAGGGTCATCCGCCGCAACCCATCCCTACGTCAGTCTGACAGCTCAATTACATCAGTATCGGCCTCTCGTTTTGGCACCTAGTACGGGTGGTGTCTTGCTACCTCCATCACATCGTACCGTAAGATCAACAGTGCGCTTGGATGGTAACAATGGTGTTTTCTTCAACCGGAATTAGCTGCCTGGCCGACTCTTGTAGATGCCATATCATGACAGATGGTCAACCAACATACGCCGTACCTGCTTTACTTCCGCCTCTCGCTTAATACGGAGCATCTCCTTCGCGAGGAGCCGAATATCTTCCTCCGACATAGAGCCTAGTTCTGAGTCGGCGGATTTCTCGTCGGGTGGAGGCGGCGTACGGGGGATTATCAGTTCATTCTGCAGTGCAGCTAGCCGGTCTTAGCAGTCCAAAATGTACAAAGACATAGGGAAAAGCGTTATGTAGACAAACCCCGAGACCGGTATCGAAAAATGTACCGAGAGGTTTAATATCATGGGCGTCCCTAAATTTAGGGGCCAGAGTGAGGACTTCTCCAGTATAACTGGACTAGTTAGCCAAAATTTGAGTTACATTAGGCCCCCTGGTAACTGACCTTGTCCCGCGGGATAGTGCCCTGCCCTTCAGTGCCTTTTCAGCCAAGGTAAAGTCAAAACTTTCCCTTGGTGCTAGACGCCGCCTGCGTTCCTTTACTCCACATCTACAAGTCGCAACTTTAACTACTAGGAACCCAAAGATTCAGCTCTTTCCGAGTCGCGTTGCACAGTAGCCTCTGCTGTCTCTTCCACTGACCACTTGTGTGAGCGGATGATAATAGAATTTAAAGGCACAAAAAAACAAGATCATGGAAACACAGCAAGCCCATACCTAGAGACAAGGGTGAGAAGGAGAATGATCTTCGAAAAGAGTGCCCAGCGAAATCAGATTGAACGTACTGGTGTTTGATATCAAGCGTCAGGGGGGAGCTGGGCAGCTCAGCTTTGCGAGCATGTATAAACCCTCCTGTAGCGTATGTGCCATCAATATATACACGACGAGTATTGCATTCGCGTCGGAAATTTCTCTCTGTGCGTCGATAGTGAGCCTAAGAAAAAGTCTGATTTAATTTAGACTCGATGTAGCAAATATGCGATGGAGTGGTCGACGTGCATTCGTCGTCCTGATCAAGTGAAGGATGTGAAGGATGTTCTTGCGCGACTTCTTCATTGACATGGGCAGCAACGCTACTACCAGGAACACTGGTTATGACGGCCATGGTGCTGACCAGACCCGATGATGACGCTGGCTATTGGCGATGATACTGCGAGGGCGGGTTGATGCCCAAACGTCGAGTTTGGAACGTGCGGATAGGGGGAAGTGTTGAGAGCAAGCAGCAATTGATCAGTGGCTGAAGTGGCTTCTCAAGTGTCCTTCTCAAGCTCGAAGAGCCTCGCCACACTGCCAGCTGCAAGCGACTGCCCGAGCAACTGTCCAGACAACTGCCAGACACCTGGAGCGACCAAAACAGCTTTTCATTGTGCATGGTGCAAAAGTCGAGCTCTGCCAGGGAGTTGGGACCCGAGGGAGTCGGATGGCGGTTTGTTTTTGGGCAGACGCTCGTGTCGTAGGATACTCACGTACTTCAAACAAACAGAAGAAGTAGAGTCTCACGCCGTCGCTACTTGGTACTAAGAAGTAGCTGATAATTGCCAAGCGGGTGGCCTGTACGGGCCACCAAAGTACAGTTTTATGCCAAAGCTGTTGGTGTACAGTTCCCCATAGGTCCTTTTCACTCATCGTCACGTCCCTCCGCCGCTCGTTGCAGGCTCTAAGCGTCTCCCGCAGCGGGCACTCCCGAGCCATTACGCTATTCAGGCTCCCCCAGTGATCAAAGTCCCATATCTGCTTACCGCTAACAAAGAACATGATCCCCATAAATGGCAAGCATCCCTTTTGCCGTTCCGACCCAGTTTCCTGGTTCCGACCCGTGCGCCACGAGCCATTGCCCAACACAAGCACTTGATCATCTAACAAGCGCCGGAAGAAAGGAAGGCAGGCAGACAGAGAAGATCCAGCACCGCCGATCGTGTCCAAGAGATCGGGTTGGCAGAACTGACCACCTATCCTAGCCCGCAAACTTCCGGGACAGATCTGGGACGGAAGCTTGGGAGCCACGCGGTCGGGACCTCTCCGGGACCTCTCGCGGAATTAGCTCGGACAGAGCAAAAAGCACAGGTATCGAAATCACGGCGGGAATCAGCAGTGGCGGGGTGCTTGGCGTCTGTGACCAATCCTTTCGGGATAGCCACGTAAAATTACCCATCCCACCACATTCCGAGCTTTTCTGAACCCTCGCTGGCCGCTATTCCGAGAAGACGAGACGAGGGGGTGGCTTGGATGGTTGTGTCTATAGAGCTCCACAACGCGTCCAGAATTGGTATCCCCTGTGCCTAGCTAGCTAGTGCGTAGTTAGTATTTTGATAGTTGCCGGAACGTGTGAGACGCCTTGCTTACAGATCATGGTTTCCGTGGGCCAGGTGCCAAGGCAACTAGCAGGGCATTTGCGTGGCATCGTGACTTGTCTCTTTGTTTCAATCTACTCCATAGAGACAGGCGTGCTTCACTAGCAACTGCTTCGTAGGTGCCAGCTTCTTGTAGACCTGGCTCCCCTGTTCCTCTACTCGTAAAACCTGTCTGTACCGTCATGTGGGAGACTGCTCTGCACGCCATGACATACGGGCTTCACGTGAGGGGAATATGAACTGGCCGGTAACAAAACAGGCGTGGCCGAGGCTGCAACCACGGAAGCTGCAACTTGACGAGGACTGCTGGTGCTTAATTTTAGTTCTTACGAAGGCCTGGGAGACTGACGCTGTGGGTACGGGCTTGGCGCCACGGCGTCGCAAGGCCTAGTAGTCGTGTTTGGGCTCGAGAGGCGTATGCCGATGAAATAGGGGAACAAGAAGCGGCGTAAACGACGGCAATGCTCAAGGAAAAAGATGTCACTTAGGGGGACTGGATTTGTCGAACTGATGTTTAAAAGGCCCAAGGCCAAGCAGCCAGCTTAATGATTGGCCGACGGGCTGCGGGGAAGAGTGGGAAAGACGGCAGAAGGGCCTGCTTCATCAATGTTCCGTGTCAGCTGACATCGTGGTACGAGGTATGGAGTGCAGGCCCAGACCTAACACCGCAGCCCTGATGCACAACTTTTTGTCTCGAGAAGAACCGGCCGATGCCGTGCTTCTGCAGAATGTGCGACCCCTTGGCGCACGGGTCCTCGCGTTTTGCCTTCTTCACTGTTGCCTCTGCAGTCGCCTCAGTGATCACTTGGCTGGGCCTGCCCGCATTGAGCTGTACGTAACTTACGTACAGGTAGCACTCAAAAGTGATTTTTGGGCTTCCAAGGCCTGCAGGGGTCAACGTTAGGTTGCTGGTTGGCGGGGCTGGCGGGGCTGGCGGGGCGTCGCAACAGCGAAAAGCAGCTCTTGAGAACTGAGCTCTGGCACCTCTGCGGTGTACTAAGTAACAAGTAAGTAGACAAGACACTTTACTTTGTAACTTCATCCTTGACGGTAAAACGCCACCATCGCCATCATCCCCCATGCTCGGAAACGCACTAGTAGCTTGGTTGCCCGCGTTGTACATCCTGGGTATCTGCGCCTGCCGTTTCCCCGCCCTTTGAGCACTCCTACTTGAAGAACTTGTGACCCCGCCGGTTCCTAATTCTTGAATATAATCCAACTTTTCTCCTCTCAACCCTTCTCACCTTCTTCCTCTCTCCCGTCAGAAACAGCCTGGCCGTGTCTTCCAAGTTCGCGCTCCGTTCTAGCACACCACTTTGTACAACCAACACGAGCATCAGAACCCGGCACCATGTCTTTGACTGTCGAGCTCAAGACACCCGTTACGGGTTCTTACCATCAGCCCATCGGTCTGTAAGTGAACAGCGCTCCCAGTCTGCATGGTTTCAGTCACAAAGCTTTTGAGACGCTAACCGCTATTTCTCTCCCAGCTTCATTAACAACGAGTGGGTTGAGGGTGTTGACAAGAGAAAGTTCGACGTCATCAACCCCGCTACCGAGGAGGTTATTACCTCTGTTTGCGAAGCCACCGAGAAGGACGTCGACCTTGCCGTTGCCGCGGCCCGAAAGGCTTTCGAGACCACATGGAAGGAGACTACCCCGCAACAACGATCTCGCCTGATAATCAAGCTTGCTGACCTTGTTGAGAAAAACCTCGACCTCCTTGCTGCTGTGGAGTCTCTTGACAACGGCAAGTCCATTAACATGGCCAAGGGTGATGTTGGCGCTGTTGCTGGCTGCATCCGATACTACGGCGGGTGGGCCGACAAGATTGAGGGCAGGACTATTGATATTGCCCCTGATATGTTCCACTACACCCGACCAGAGCCCGTAAGTCGCACCCTCGACTTTGTTGTGTCTCTCCCAGGGCTCTGTTGAATGCCATATGAGAACAAGGAGACAGTGTGGAAGAGAAATCTGACTTCCCTTCATAGCTCGGAGTATGCGGCCAAATCATTCCCTGGAACTTCCCTCTTCTCATGCTCTCCTGGAAAATTGGTCCCGCTCTGGCCACTGGAAACACCATTGTCATGAAGTCCGCCGAACAGACACCACTGTCGGCGCTCGTTTTCGCCAACCTGGTCAAGGAGGCTGGTTTTCCGCCTGGTGTCTTCAACCTTGTCTCCGGTTTCGGAAAGGTTGCTGGTGCCGCCATCTCCTCCCACATGGACATCGACAAGGTTGCCTTCACTGGTTCCACTGTCGTCGGCCGCACCATTATGAAGGCTGCTGCTTCTTCAAATCTGAAAAAAGTTACCCTGGAGCTTGGTGGCAAGTCTCCCAACATTATTTTCAACGATGCCGATATCGAACAGGCCATCTCATGGGTCAACTTTGGTATTTACTTTAACCACGGACAGTGCTGCTGCGCCGGTTCGCGTATCTTGGTCCAGGAAGGCATCTACGACAAGTTTCTCGAGGCCTTCAAGAAGCGAACTCAGAAGAACAAGGTTGGCGACCCTTTTGCAGAAGACACTTTCCAGGGTCCCCAAGTCAGTCAGCTTCAGTACGACCGTATCATGGGCTACATCAAGTCTGGTAAGGATGAGGGCGCAAAGGTTGAGATTGGCGGTGAGCGACACGGTGACAAGGGATACTTCATCCAGCCTACCATCTTCAGCAACGTCACCTCTGAAATGAAGATTATGCAGGAAGAAATTTTCGGCCCTGTCTGCGCCATCTCCAAGTTCAAGGACGAGGAGGAAGCCATCAAGTTGGGCAACCAGACGACCTATGGCCTTGCTGCCGCCATTCACACCAAGGACCTCAACACTAGCATCCGTGTCAGCAAGGCGCTGAAGGCTGGAACCGTCTGGGTCAACTGTAAGTTCATGCAACCCAAATACTCGACGGACGACATAGTTACTCACGCATCAACCCTTGTAAAGGCTACAACATGCTCTCACATCAACTGTAAGTACTGCCTTGCCATCATCGGGCTGGCTCGCAGTTGTCAAGGCTAACGTTCTGCGCGCAGGCCATTCGGTGGTTTCAAGGAGTCTGGTATTGGTCGCGAGCTTGGTGAGGCTGCCTTGGCCAACTACACCCAGAACAAGAGTGTTGCTGTGAGACTTGGTGGTGCCATGTTCTAAATGCAACCGTCTGGGGACGCATGATTGATGTGAATTATGAAGGTCAGGATGGGTAATGACAACACGCAGGGGAGAGATGTCCTGGCATGAAAATGGAACGAATCAATTAATGCCACTTGCTTGAGACGTATACAGAGCAACTACATGTGCTGCGATTTTGTCTAGACCGGAGTGGGGTCCGACAGCCGGAGTTTAAGACTTCCACATTGGGCAGTTGGCATGTCTCTCGTGCGTATGATTGGGGCGTGGCGCGGTGAGATTTTGCCAAGGCGCCGACCAGCTGTCATCATGACGGAATATGTACAAGTGGTGTGCAGAATACCAAGTACGTAGCTTGGCTCAACGGCCACGACCCGAAACGGTAGGCGGCCAGCACGAGGGCAGCGTGGCATATTCCTCCGGGCATCTATGGACTACGGAGTTAAACACTTGGGTCTAGGTTGGCTGGCCGTGTACGGAGTACATGGTTCCGATTTGTGGCTACGACGGGTGTGCTGCGGGCAAAGCGGCACGGGCGTGCATGTACGTGTACATGCAACGCGAGATGACGGTCATTAGTGGCGAGAGGGGGAAAGGGAAGACGAGTCAAATTATGTATGGTAAAAAGTTGAAATCTGCTGGCGATGACTGGATGGTTTGAAAAAAAGAGACAAGATACAGCAAGAAATGCATGCTCGCTTGTATGAATGCCATGCTATGCTTCCAAAACTAAACAAGCGCCATTCTTCACTTGAAAAACATCGGGTCGCTTCTTGTGCACGCGGTCCTCTAACATCTCCTGGTCCAGTGCCCATTCCAACGCCCGTGAGGTATCGGCGGCGCGGGACAAGCGCATAAAGATGCCCGTGTAAGTCAGCGGTAGGTCATGCGAGAGAACCCAGTATTTGGGGTCCCCGAGCTTTCGGTAGAGTGCCAGGCCGCTTTTGGCGCCCAAGCTGGTTTGCTTGCCGCCAATGTGGCTCTCCTTGCTGCCGTGGAGCATGGCCAGCTTGCGAGTATTTGGCTTCGCGTCGAGGAAGGCCTGGAGGGGGCCTTGATCCAGCAGGGTGCCGTGCGGCGAGGTAAAGATGGACTCGTGTACCTCGATGCCGTCGTCGTCGTCCATGTGTGTCCAGATGATGGCTGTGCAAAAGTTCATCTCGCGGTGTCCTGGGAGGCGCAGCACCGTTATCCACGGGGGAAGACCGCGCCCGGGGTGCAACTCTGACGCGCGCCACGAGGTATCAACTGCAGGCTGGACATCACGGATGATGGCCACGGTACTAAAGTGGTTCCAGGGCTTGATGATGCGAGCCGCCTGAGGAGTTGCAATCACTGGCACATTTCCGTGGAACTCTCTGAGAGTAGCCTCATGTACATGGTCATAATAGTGGAAACTCAGCAGGATGGCGTCAATGTGCCTGGCGGGATTGAAGACTTCATTGGACGTGCGCCTGTTTAGGACGTGCTCAAAGGCCAAGTCTTCAATCTGGCGAGCAACTGCCTCTACGGCATCCGCTGTGGGAAACGCGGGCGCCGACGGCAATTCGATATGGATGAACCAAGACCCGACAAGGTCAGCTGGTCCTACGAGCCATGGCTCCAGGACGATATGGAAGTAGGCCCTCCCCGACTGCTTTTGCTCAACCCATGGCCGTGGCAAGGACAATAGCCACGAGTTGTGCCCGTTCAGGGAGACCAGGAGCGGCCGCAGGCAATCAGGGTAGGAGGTAAAGTGCTGTTCAAGACATTTGGTGTGAGCATCTTCCATTGAGATGGGGAGCGATGGAGGTCGAGGTCTGAGAGGGTGAATCTTGAGCGGGCCGTTGGTTGGTTCGATGAGTCAAATTTGACAAAAGTTCACATCGAGTCAAGCCTTGTCCAACGGGGTGGGCGCTCCGTATTGTTATATCCCGACTTTTACTGACTTGTCGGCCGGGGTCTGTGTCTCCCCAATGCAATGTCTCGATTTGTTTCGATACAATTTGACCCGGCGTCGCAACATCGGCTGATAAGATCAAATCCGTCATCGACACTACTAGTAGAATTTCCTCGGAAGACATTGGATGACCTGCTGTCTCTTGGGCCGAAAGCGGCGCCATCCTGCCAGAGAGGCTCGATGCTGGTTCGTCATTGTATTCAGCGCCGCCAATACATCACGAGAAGAGTGTGATGAGCATAAAGGGCTCGCACATGCCATTGGGCGAGCTGAGAGGACTCGGGCCTTGGCGCCTTCATTTGCAACCATGCATGAGGCATGATTAGTCCCCCACCCGACGGGGCAGGAAATAACCTTGAACTGAAGTCATGTTTGCGCCGCGAGTTGAGATGTCACATTGCTCAACGTTTAAAATGGCCTTCGGGTCCGCTCAGTCTTCGTATCCGTCTGCATTTAATCTCTGTCCATCCTGAGGAAAGCTCCGAGTCGACCTGTGGTCTGTTTGGCAGCCTTTGCGCTCGATTCTGTCTCTGCCGTATTCTTTGTACTTGTAGTTTTGACGACTAACGGTGACTCCCCCACCCTCTCGAATCGTTCCTCGCGCCAAGCTGATGAAAACCTGGTCGTGATGCCGTCCAGCGGGAGCAGAGATGGGTTTCACAACCCGATGCTTTAATTCCGACGTGGGCGGGGTAACTCGAGGGAAGAATTGCTTCGTTGTCGACCGATGACCAGCGTCTCATGGTCACGGATAGCGATAGCGGCCATGCCCGAAGATTCTGAGGCCTAGTGTTTCGCTGATTGACTCGAGGGAATCTGACACCCCTCGGTCGAGTCGCCTCGCATTGCTTGCTGCCTGCGATATCGACTGATCCACCTCCCCGCAGACCGCTGACACCCCGGCTGCTTTTGAAGGGTGAAGGGTCCCGGCGGAGCTTGTCCACGCTGATCCGCTCCTTTCGCTTCGGAGATCGAACCCCCGAGCCGGTCGCTGCCGTCTTCAAGAGTCAAGATGAGTATCGATGCAAATGGTAAATGGTCCAACGGTCGGACCAGCCAGGGAAAGAGGATGACTAACCCGCTGGCCCTGTATCACGTGGCTCCATGTTTCCCCGTCGTTGCATCACCGCCACGGCGCCGTCGACCCAATTACCAGCACAACATCTTGTCGAGCCATGTAGCTGACAGCCAGTGCTGCAGCCATGCATCCGTGTTCTCTTCGTCCATAGCCGCTCACAGGCATCGGCAGACCCTTGCCTGCAGGCAGCAAGCTGGCTCCCCCTTGACATGCCCGGTGGCCCGCCGGGAAGAGGCTGTCAAGGCTGCCGCAAACGCAAGAAGAAGGTAGGACAGAATTCACGTTCCCATGTTCCATGTCCGGCGCTCGACGGCCTTCCTTGATGGACCAGGTCTAACTCGGAGGGCTGACAAACTCTGTCAACAGTGTGATCTTGCGCGGCCATCCTGCTCCAGATGCCTTCGCTATGGCATCCGTTGCATTGGATCTGGGGAGCGAGTGTATAGATTTAGGAACGCGACGGTCACGGAAAGCGTCCCTGTGGCCGGGTCAGCACATCACAGGGGTGGAATGGCAATAGACGGTCAGATGGGATCGTCACCGCCACGGCCACTTGGAAATGAATTAACAACAACGACCGGGGCCTTCATCTCAACCTTGCAGATTTCCGACCCCAAGTTTTCGGTGCTTGGCTTCGGTCCCTTTCTCGAAGATGTGCCACGCCGCCTAGGAAGAAGCAGAATTCTCCGCACTGCAGCCATGGCCTTTTCGAGTGCCGTCACAGCAGTCCATTCTCGACAAGCAACCGTGCAAGCGCTCAATGACTATGGCACAGCACTCAAATGCATGAGAAACAGCTTCATTGACGATCCGTCCCAAGTCAGCAAGACGGAGACGCTCTGTGGCGTATATCTTCTCCTATTGTCTCAGGTATGCTAGGCCAATCATTCGTGTCAAGTCTCGTGCTTGTGTAAAGATACGACTCATTCATTTCCTGCAGAACTTCCTCAGTGGACTCAATGATGAGTGCTTGGTCCATCTTCAGGGGCTATTGTATATTTTGGACAGTCAAGAAGCCCGAAATGACCAAGACCCCTTCAGCTCACAAATCTTTGACTTGGCATCGATCATAGCGGTACGAGCACTCTTCCCGTAAGCATTTTACATGCTTGCGCCTTCTTTTTGCTGACCTCTCCGCAGATCACGGAGTGCGTCATTGACCCCAGAGTGCACTTCAAACCATGGCGCACTGATTTGAGGAAAACATCATACTACGGACCGCTAAATAACTATTCTGTGGTCGACATCAGGTCAACAAATTTGACCGTGGCAAACCTCATAGACCTGCCCGTGTTTCTCCAAGAACCTGAATACCACCTAATTGAATTGCGTACTTCTTACGACCTAATGAGAGTCGAGGCGGGAAAAATTGTTCCAATCACCATGCGGCTGCATGAAGCATGTGCAACAAGCCTCGACATGGATTACTACAAGGGCTATACCATTTGCGAGTCCTCTGTCTGCGTTCTACACGCGCTTATGGCCATTATTCGGAAGACTCTTCAGGTCTTCCACCCTTGCGACAGTACTCTTGAAGAACACGAAGAGGCTGCAGCCAATGTGGTTCTCGCGTCAGCGACAAGAGCCTGGAATTTCCGTCCGCTAGGCACTACATTCATGCCTAAGACCTTGTGTCTGATATGGGCAACTACAGATGATCCCAACGTCAAGACTAAAGTGGAAGATATGATTGAAAGCTATCGGGATGAATTTAGGGGAGACAGTTGGACCAAGCTCGCCCTTTTTTTCGTGCAAAGATTCGAAAGACTACGCAAGCGAGTGCAGAAACCTATGCCTCATCATCCTGGACAAGATGCGACCAGTCCCGGATCGACAAATGCTGAATCTGAAAGCGTTGAAGTTTAGAAATGTCCCCAGGTACTTCCCTTCAATCAAGAAAGGCTCGGAAAAAATTCCAAGAGAACCGTGCCAGCGGTCCACCTCAAGTAGCTGATCTTGTCCTCTGGAGCTTCGAACAGGTAGAAGATGTGTGGAATACCTGGTGAAAAGTTTGGGACAAGACCGATGCCTCTTTTATGCACAATAGAAAACATACTACTTTAAAATACAAAACTTGAAAACTTTCATACTGCTACTGCCAAGTGCTGAGTGAAATGGGAAGCCAAGCCCGGCTTGGACCTCATATCGTGGTTTCGAGAGCATGCTTATCGATAGCAAACTGTGGGTCGTCGCAACTGCTCACGATGTAACCACGATGTACCACGATGTCTTCAGCTCCAACTCCATCCAGTCCACAACACACCTTGAAGTTGGTGGCAGCGCCGCGCTCGGCAGCTTGCCTTCAGTCCTCTGCACAGATTTGAGCAACTGCCGTTCCGTCAAATGATGAAGGAGTATGTCGACAATCTATAATCTTGAGCCGCAGCCGACGGCCTCGGCAATCATCCACACGACCTTGGGAGAGATCCTCGTTGAGCTTTTCGCCAAACAGACACCGTTGACGTGTCGCAATTTTCTGCAACACAGTCTCGACGGGTACTACGATGGCACAATCTTCCACAGACTGGTCCCCGGCTTCATTTTGCAAGCGGGGGATCCTACGGGCACCGGAAATGGCGGCGAATCCATCTACGACGGCGGTGCCTTCGGCGGCGACTTGGACCCGTGGCCCATGGATGAGCGCAGAGGCAAAAACGCAGGTCCTACAGGCGTGAACTTCAAAGACGAGTTTCATTCGCGTCTCAAGTTCAACCGGAGGGGTCTGTTGGGCATGGCCAACGAAAGTCGTGCGGATACAAACGGTAGCCAGTTCTTCTTCACACTCGATAAAGCCGAGGAGTTGAATGGGAAGAATACGCTGTTTGGACGGGTCGCGGGTGATACGATATATAATTTGGCCAAGATTGGCGAGTCCGAGGTGGACGCAGCGACTGAAAGACCGCTGTACCCGGTAAGGATTGAGAGGGTGGAGATATTGGTGAATCCGTTTGAGGACATGAAGAAGAGATGGAGGGTTGCGACACAGGCTGTGCAGAAACCAGCGGAGGCGGATAGACCAAAGAAGAAGAAGAGAAAAGCAGGGAACCAACTGCTCAGCTTTGGAGATGAGGAGGGGGGAGAGGAGGAGCAAGGTCTGGCGTTTAAGAGGGCCAGGTTTGATACAAGGCTGATTGCACGGGAAGAGGAGCCGGACGAGCGGCCAAAGGATGAAAGGGCCGCCAAGAGGAAATCGCCCAAGGAGGACAAGAAGAAGCAGCATACGGTACGGGCGGAGCATTACGATGAGGAACGACGTGCTTCAAACCAGGAGAGTGTCAAACTACGTAGCGAAGCGGAAGCGGGAGGCAGAGATGAGGCCGAGGAGCTGTCAGACGAGCCAGAACCGCCAACGAAGACAGCTCTCCAGAAAGCCAACGAAGAGCTGGCAGCTTTAAAGGCCTCGATGCGGCGAACCATTCACTCAGAGAAGCCGGCAGAAGACACAAAGAAGAAGTCTGCCCTCGAGTCCATGATACCGGAGTCATCGATGCGAGCGAGAAAACGACGACCAGGAGGCAACAACAGCAGCGCCAACGACGACGAAGCGGCCATGCGTTTATTACGTGCGTTTCAGTCGAGGCTGGACAAGGCTCCGCCGGAGAAGCAAATTCAGGGATCGGCAGAAAAGGGAGACGAGGACTCTGGCAGCGGGGAAACGGCTGGCGCAGGCGACGAAGCAGAGCTCTGCGATCTACACTTTATTGCCAGCTGCCAGAGCTGCACGGCTTGGGACAAGCAGGACAAGGAGGAGAGCGACGATGAGGGCTGGATGTCACACTCGCTGTCGTTTGCGGCAGACAAGCTTGGTAAAGACTTGAGCAACAGGAAGAAGGCGGAGGAGGAACTGGTGGTTATTGATCCTCGGGAAAAAGCCCGTACGCTCAAAGAGGGCAAACGAGCTGAACGGGAAACCAAGGTGAGCGGATCGAGGGCCTGGGACCAGGCCCAGGCGAGGGACCAGGCTCGCAATGCCAAGTTGACAAAGGCCAGTTCACTTGCGGGGAGGGCAAGTAGGTAGGCATGAGGTGCGTGGTGTGTTGCGATGGTGAAAATACGTATCCGGCACCCAAGGAAACGAGGCACCTGGTATGATGTTGGCGGTGATGAAGCCAGCCCACAACCCGAGTTGTGCATGCGCCGTTGTATTATAATTATAGCACGAGTCAGGCCGCGAGAAGGCGGGACCAAGGGTGGCAAAATAGCAGTCATAAATCCGAAGTAAGCTGGCCTGACAAGTAATGGCTAGTTTGGTTCTGACGTGTCACAAAGCAGGCACTGGCGGCGTAGTCGGTTGGCAAGTTGATAAGCTTGGATAACAAGTCGAATGTACGGAGTATGGAGTACGCGGTGCTCAGAGACTCGGGTCGCTTGTAGAATCGCGGCGCCAGGGATGGCTTGGGATTGGATCAGACGGATCGGACGGGAGGTGCAAAACAACTCGGGACCCAAGGCAGGGTGTCCGAGGTGATGTGGCTGGAAATGATCTAATGGTTACGTCTGTCATGTAGCGGATGCTCCGCAGCCCGTCGATGTTATTGTTATCCCTCATCATCACCACAACTCGACAGGACGTCAACGACAAAGACGACGACGCACGACGAAACTATCCAGCAAACGACTACAGTATCCACCGACGCCACCGTCTCGCTCAGCCGATTTTTATTGCTCCGTACGGAGTGCCGGGGGAAGACAATTGGCAGCTGGTTTTTTTTTTTTTTTTTTTTCTCCCTGTCTCCTTTGCTCGCCTCCCTCTTCTGCATCGACAGACCCGACCGCCTCATCGACGGAACGGCATTCGCGAAGGGCTGCGGTGCGGTGCCGATTGCAGTGCGCCATCCTCGCTGCCCACCCTGCAAGCATTTGCGGCGCGCCCAGGATTCTGCAGATCGTGTCGGCCTCACCCGTCTGCTCTTTGATCGACGAGCGCGCCGAGCGGACCGTCATCCCACGAGGCAGGAAGAGCGACACCACCAACGCGGCCAATACGTTCTGTAATGTACGAAACAGAATAGTACTTTGCTTGGCCTCAGCGAAAGAAATCACGCGTTCCCGCTCGGGCCCTGCCCGCCTCCGCCTGCCTGCCTGCCGGCCAATTTTCTCAAGCAGCCGACCCGACTCCATCACAGCCTCGTGGCCAGGCGCTACTTCACGGCCCCCATGTCGGCGTCGAATTCGAGGAAGCGAGCGGCGCCAGGCGCGTCGCCGGTGATGAACTATCCGCAGCGTATGCAGCAGCCGTTTGCGGCAGACAATGCCGTCCAGGACAGCATGCTCAGATGGAAAGACGACGGTGCCGAACTTGTCGACGCCGCGAATGCCTATGGCCTGATGCCCTCGCAGCCTCAGTATGCCGAAGCTCCAGCGTCATCCAACAGCCTTGCGCGACGCGATGTGAACCAAGCTCTGATTCCCACGCACAGCCGAAACTTTGACGCTTCGGTTGAGCCGTGGGCAGGCTTTGGCGACGCCAACAGCCTGTTGCCGCAGAACGGCGAGGGGGGCTTGATTGAGCAGGACAACATCGAGGCCTTGGAGGAGATGGCGCAGAAGGCCAAGCGGGAGGCTCAGGCTAAGCGGAAGGGGATCCCGCCGTTTGTGCAAAAACTCAGCAGGTATGTGCTCTGGTCCGGAACCTGTCTGTCCGGGTGCTTCATCATTATCCCACTGCCGCCGTCGACTTGATGCTGACGAGGCTGTTTTTTCTCTCGTCCCCTCGCTTTCGCGTAGCTTCTTGGAGGAACGCAAAAACGAACACTTCATTCGCTGGTCAGAAAAGGGAGACTCGTTCATTGTTCTTGACGAGGACGAATTCGCCAAGACTTTGATTCCCGAGCTGTTCAAGCACAACAACTACGCCTCATTCGTTCGACAACTCAACATGTATGGCTTCCACAAGCGCGTCGGCCTGTCGGACAACTCCATGAGAGCGAGCGAGCGCAAAAACAAGAGCCCCAGCGAGTACCACAATCCGTTCTTCCGCCGGGGCCACCCCAACCTGCTGTGGCTCATCAACAAGCCCAAGAGCAGGGCCACCGCCAAGAAGTCTTCCACCAAGAACGAGGGCGGCGAGATGGACAGCGACGAAGACCAGATTCAGGATGAGGTCGTCGCGCAAAACACGCCGGCCGGATCCAACGTGGCTGCTGGGCGGTCGCTGCCGTCAGCCCCCACGACATCATCAGCCGAGCCGCAGGGCTTGCCCAAGAAAGAAATGACCTTGATCCGAGAGGAGCTCAACAAGGTCCGGGAACAGCAGAAAATGATTCACAAGGCCATCAACCAGCTGCAACACAACAACAACGAACTGTACAACCAGGCCCTCATGTTCCAGTCGCAACACGACCGGCACCAAAACTCCATCAATGCCATTCTCAACTTCCTCGCCAACGTCTTCAGGAAGACTCTGGAGGACCAAGGCAACACACAGAGCGTTGGCGACATTCTCTCGAGCATGATAACCAACCAGGGCCAGCCATCCCACCAAGGCAGCGTGGTCGACCTGGGCGACTTTTTCCAGACACAAATGGATCCCCTCTCCAACATGGGCGGTCCTCACAAGCGAACCCGCGGCCTCTTGCCGCCCATCCCCAACCAGCAGCCCGACGCTTCCGCGGCTGCCCGGCCGCCATCATCAACAAGCCCAGCGCCGTACTACCCTGCCGGCAACGCCAGTCCCGAAATGGGCCACGTCACCGAGCTGGTCGACGGCTCCGATGGGCTTCCGAGCCTCAGACAGCAACTCGAGTCCAACCCGCACGAACGCATGATGAAGATCATCAACGACCACAACGCCACCAACACGTCTGGCATGGATCTCCCCGAGGCCACGGAGCTCGTCGCCAACGCGCCCAACACTCTGAACAAGGACCAGAGGAGCAAGTTTGTCGACTTCATGGCCGGACAGACCACGTCGCCCCCGTCATCACAGCCGCCGTCGGCATCCACGACCGCGAAGCCCACGCCCACGCCCGTCCCTGCGCGTCCCGCCAAGGCCAGCGTCTCCCCGTCACCGTCACCAGTGCCCCCCCCCTCTCCCGTCATGCGCTCACCACAGATGGCACCCCCATCCTTGAACGAAATCAGCACCAACCAAATCGACCTCGACCAGCTGCAACGCCTGCAATCCGATCAGGACGCCAAGATTCACGAGCTCACGGAAATGCTGGGCCCGCTGAGCCCGTCGGGTCGTATACCGGGCTTGGACGACGGCACCGAAGCGTACTTTGATCCGCCAAACGTCGACCTGGACCAATATCTGGACAGCAACGCGTTTCTGGACGATGCTCACTTCGGCGACGGCAATGACTTCAATTTCAACCTCGACGGGGCCGCGGATGTCGTCAAGAACGGGCAACACAGTCCCACGGGCACCGAGGAAATTCAGAGAGACGATTGCGACACTGCGCAAGGGGAGGCGAATAAAAAGCAAAGAGTAGCCTAGGCGTTTTTGCCGCCGTCATTTTTTGCAACGTGGGAATGGGAATGGGAATGGGAAACGGAGGGAGGGAGGGGCGCCCGTGTCTCGGTGCAATCTATCATCGCTGTTATTTATCACGACTATCATTATCCGTTTTACAAATGTCTGGTGTCGGGCGCGTCATGTGGCCATATACACACGTTGCGTGTGTCGCATGTAGTCTACGAGCTCGTGACGCTTTTTCCCGCGTCGCGTCTCCCCTCCCCTCCCCTTGGCACCTCCGTCTCCGTTCTCGCCCGGGTATCATCCACGCCGGGGGCATCAGGTATCGTGTAGGCAGGCCGTCGTGCCCGCCGGTGCCCGCCAGTCTCGCCAGTCTCGCCAGCCTCGCCCGCCTACCCAGCAAGCGGGTTCGCGTGGACCGTGACGCGGTCGATACTGACGGCCCGGCCAGCGAGCGGCCTCGCCTTGGCGTCCACGTCGCGGGCCTCGAGGCGCGCGAGCGTCGCGAGGCCCTCGTCGCCGACGACCCTCCCGAAGACGGTGTTGAGGCCGTCGAGGTGCGGGGCGGCGCCGAGCGTCACGAAGAACTGCGACCCGTTGGTGCCGGGGCCCCGGTTGGCCATGCTCACCGTGCCGCGGTGCGCGTGCCGCAGCGACGGCCGGATCTCGTCCTCGAACGCCGCGCCCCAGATGGACCGCCCGCCCTTGGGGTTGTCGGGCGGCGAGGGCCGCGCCGGCGCCCCCGTCTGCAGGATGAACTTGGGGATGAGGCGGTGGAAGGGCGACCCGTCGTAGTAGCCGGATGCGCAGAGCGCGAGGAAGTTCTGCGCCCGGCCGCCGGTTAGCGCGGACCGCGGAAGGGGGAGGGGGGGAGACGCTGCGCGCACCTCTGCGGTCTTGGGGACGCTCTCGCAAAACACTTCAATCTTGATGTCGCCGTCGCTGGTGTGCAGCGTGACGGACATGGTTGCCGGGAGGGAGGCCAGACAGACGAGTGACGTTTGGTGGTGCCGCGAGGTGAAGGTGAAGGTGAAGGTGGGAGGGAGTCTTTTTGATGTACACAGTGCGTAACGGTCGCTCGTCCACCTAGTCGCTGACGGGTACGTATATATATGTATATATATTTCCTTTTTTTTTCCCGCCCGGCATCTTATGGCTTTCACATAGACAGTCAAAAATACTCTCTGTACCCTACGGATTTGCTGCAACTGCAACGATTTACATTGCGCTCTCCTGCTATCAATACATGTCAAGGTCAGGCCGAAACGCACTGTGCTTTATTTCCCCTCGAGAGACGGGCAGCTGCTAGCACGATAGCTTAAACAGTGGCCAATTAGCGCTGGACATGCCACAATCTGACCCACCAAACCGGTGACATTGGGCTCAGCTTCGCCCCGCCACCCCGCCTCTCAGCACATGCCTCAACCCGTCATCCGCGTTTTTAGGAACTAAACACTTCTTTCTTAGTCCTCGAGGCGCCATGCAGCACTAACCGGCAATCATGGCTTTATACTTGTCGAGAAACCTTGTCGTGCGACTATCGCTCAAAATGAACTTGTCCACGTGGCCAGGCATGCCAAATGCTCTTGAGGAAATAGCAGAATAGCATCCTCGTGACTGCCTCATGCGACAGACATGTCCCAAACGCCATTCCCATGCCTTGTCGTCAAAGGAGGCCTGAAAATCAATCCTATTCGCCGTACCAGTCATTCATCTGCAAAACAAACGCCTAACTTATGCGTATACCATTGCCCTTGCAATGCCAAAGGACCTTGCCTGGCAACCCACTCGGCGTGCCTCTCGAATCTCTCGCACCATGGAGGCGCATACTGCATCGTTTCAGATGTGCGTGCCAGACACTGTTGACAGTTACGACACATGGCCTTGTGCAAAAGTTAACAACACTCGACTTGTCAGTCCCGGTCAACGACACAGGCATCGAAGTAACGAGGCGTCAATGTTTAGATAGCGGCCAATCCTGGCGGGAACAGGCAGTCCATCCGCCTGTCTGTCTTGCAAAGAGACTTGCGTCGCCGGTCGGTCCCGAGTCCTGACCCAAGACGCCTAATCAATAAACGGCTTCTTCTGTCCACCAACAAGACACAGTCCCAGAGCCCGCAATGAGTCCCGGTCATTGGCCAAAATGATAGTTCGGGCGGGTAGCATCGGATTGTTGGGATCGACATGGGCCGCGTCTTTGGCTGCTTGTTCTATTGCGTCCATCTCCTCCCTGCACGCTTGCTGGTCAAGCGGGCATACAACGATGGCTTGTCTCAGGTTCACGTCGCGAGCACCGCTCAACTGCACCTATTCGATAGTCAGCCGAAGCCGTTCTACACATTCCCAATGTAGACCACACAAACCTTGATGTTCAAGTAAAATTCAATTTTGTAGAGTGACGCCGTCGTAGTAAATGACGCAACCTCGTACAAGGGGAATGCCGGCTTGCCTCTCCTCACAATGCCATCGGCATCTCTCAAGTCTTTGCATGGGAGCACAAGCCCGATATTGGTAGCGTACCCGGCTTCGGGAACCTTCATCTTGACTGGTTGCTGCCGCCTGCACACTCTGTTGACCTTTTTCACCGGCTCATCTCCTTCGTGATTATACGTGACTTCCTCCTCGATTGCAAGAGTGATTTTTTCTATGCTGACCCTTTTTGCTTTGCTCAGCCAGTCCGGGTTGGGTGACAACTTGATGTAAACAGTGATGGGGTCTCCGGGGCCGTAACTCCATCGCGGTAGGTTAATGCCCAGGTGAACCACGTTATCCGACGTGACGAGCTTTGTTTCTGGTTTGTTGTACATGCCAAACGTGGAGAGCGTGTCGTATCGTTGTAATGGTACAGGAAAGCTGTATTTGTATTGATTGCTGTGGCCCTGTTGTACGGTGACAACAAGCTCGTAGTAGGTCTCGGCCGTCCTGCTTGGGAGCTGGAGAGACGCGGGGGGTATTCTTCGGTTTGTTTCTTCTCCGCCGCGTCCAAAAGGAATGAACAGCACAAACGGTAGGTCCATGGCAATGACGCTTTCGGCCTCCTTCCCGGTTGCGCAGCGAAATAGCAGGACTTCCTTGCCGACGACGTCCGTCGTATCCTTCCGCGGGGTGCCGAGATGACGTTTCGTCAAACTATCAGCATCGGGGTGGATCGTTTCCCGTCGTTGCAAACATATTCGAACCAACGATACGGGGACGGGCATAGAGTAGCCTTGTCCGGGTCGAATCTCGACTTTGCCTTCTATCCGAGGCTATGGCATAGGTTGGTTAACAGACAAGGGGAGATTTCAGCAAAGACAAAGCAGCTAGAGGCAGTGAAGTGTTTTGATGTACCGCGCACGGGACGGACGCAGACCTAGCTTTTGGACACAAGACAATAAACGGTCCCAAGACGGCGACTTACCAACGTTGCCGAGATGCCAGGGTAGCCGATGAGAAAACTGCTATTCGGGGGCCCAGAGACCCTCACGCTGGCTGGCGCCGAGGCCATGATGTCGCCGATGCTCCCGCCACCAGCAACAAGCTATTGGTGGCGGCAAACCAGGATTGGGCGATGTTGGTGACCGGGAAGGGGGATGAAAGGGCTGACAACGAATAGAGCTGTCATGAGGAGGGCAACATCGAATTTTGTGGTGGGTTGAACGCGGTGTGCGGCGGCGTGGGCGAAGACGAGCACGAGCACGAGCACGAGCACACGCCCGTGGTGTTATGAAGCGTGCAACAAGGTGCCAGGATGCCAGGATGTTGGCGTTCTGACGTGGACGTTGCGGGAGGCTCTGCGTCGCGGTCAGGTCAGGTCAGCTCGAGAGTGGAGTGGGGTAGCAGCCCTTCAGCGGCACCCCAGCACCACACAAAGCACCACAGTGCTGGTGCAGCACCAACCAGACGCTCCGGTCAGTCTGTCAGTCTGTTGTCAAGGGGATGACTAATAACCCTCAAGGGGAAGTTAAGTTGCCAGGTTACAGGTGCCAATCGGCTGTGACGGTACAGTGACGGAACATTGAAGACACAGTCCACTCTCCATGCCAGTCAAGCTTAAACAGTGGCCAGGTGCAGGCGCGATGCGCAAGTGGGCAGGATCATACATAGTACGGAGTACGCTTGATGATTCGTTTGCTCAACCGAGATTCTGACCTGCTTATCTGATCTGCTTAGATGGCTAAGAGCATTCGGCAACCGCCTGTAAAGAATTCCAGCGTGCGCACAAGCGAATGACAAATGCCCCTGGCTGCCAGACCTGTTACGCCTGCGTCGTCTTGCATTTAATTTCCATGCATTGTTATTATAGCTGCCTACTGTACGGTATGTATCCTGTTCAAAGACCTAATTTAATTTACCTTTACATTTAGGCGTGATATTATTGTCCCAAACAAATGAAGCATCTTAGCTGCTCTATTACGACTCCGTAAAAGGACCCCAAAAAGGGTGCTAGAGGTGCCAGAGGGGATGATGAATAAAATGTCACAAAAAAATGCGAGCCGTAGGGATCGAACCTACGCGGGCGATGCCCATTGCGGTTCAAGTATATACCTCTCCAGATCTGACCTAAACACAACGCCTTAACCACTCGGCCAGACTCGCAGATGACAAATGATTGGCCCTTCACGGCGGTCATTATACAACTTCATAAAGCAGCCTGCCTACTGTCACCTCCGGCCCTGACCCACCAAATTTTCTGCAGGATCAGTCTGGTTCGACTTTACATCCATGGCATTTACGGAGTACTGGCTTGGGCCTATTATCTTGATCCGGCTACTCTCTTGATTGATCTTTTGTGATTTCCCATTAATTCCTCTACCCTGATCAAGACAACACCAACCAGCCTCTGTTTTTTTCTCTTGTCTTCCATCTTCATCGCTTCACCATAATTCCACAAACCCAACTGGACGCCGTCCAAAGGTCACTCACTATTCCTGCCCGCCAAACTTGAGCATCATGTCCTTCGACGACGATGACGAAGACGACAATCCTGCCGCCGAACCGCCCTCTCAAACTCCAAATGGCGCGTCAACCGCCGAAGAGGCCATGGAAGACGGCGTCCCAGATTACAGGCTCTTCTCATCCATGTTCAGCAAAAACAACGTCTCCAGCAAAGGCATCCGCAAGGGCGAAAAAGACTTTGAATCCCACGGCACCCAAGCGCAGGAGAACACCCTCGAGGCAAGCAGACAGGCACTCGATGATGTCCTCCGCTACAGCCGCGTCCACCGCCACGAATCCTGGATCCGAGCTTGGTATTTCCCAGACTGGTGGACTCAGCAGCGGCCAGACGGCAGTCCAGACGATCCACTGCTTCACGAGCGCGTCGTGGTGGTAGAACACGAACGCGGCAACTGGATGAGAGACATTGGACGAGCTGTTTCCGGCCACAAAGACCAACTCGGGGTGGGCCGGCTCTGGCTGCTCCCCGAAGAAGCACTATATTTAATCGAACGAGGAACCGTGGACATCTGGTGGCCCGATAAGGAACTCGGAGTGCTCCTTCCACGGCGCGTTGACAGCGGACCTGCCAGAAACCAGTTTGGCCCCGATGATTACGACGCCGGCGTGCCGTTGACCGTGGAAGCAGCGTACTCCTTGTTGGTGGGATACGAAGGCGAGTGCGGCAAGACGACGTTGCCGAAATTCCAAGTATACACTCATCTCAAACGAGCTGGATTCCACGTCATGCGCGCGCCGACAAATCCTGAATTCGGACACATGGGGCCATCGCCGCCCCCGCCGTGCTCGCAATCACTATGGCAGTGGCTCTTCTCTTTGGTCAGTCGACAAGATACACCGCGTCATGGATCCTACGGCCCCCTCGTGCAGCAAGGTCTCTACAGAGCATATCGTCCCATCTACCAACAACTCGCCGTCATCCCACGACATATACCATCGGTGCATCCTGAAGAACACCACCTTGTCCAAGAACCCTTCCGAGTTCACTTCCACGTCTGGAAACCCGGTGGCAATGCCTTTTCCAAGAAAAACCCTCCTGCCCCGGATTTTCGCGTCAGCGTTGCAGATACAGCTGATTCCGGACTACCTACCCTAGAGCAAATTGAGGCACTGCTGGAATCGACGCCGCTTAATTTGCCCAATCCGGCATGGCAAGGGCCAGGGAAGCTATACCAACGACTGAAGCACGGTCATCGAAATGTTCTCGTGGCGGTGGTGGACCGGGGGCTAGTCAACTTTATGAGATTTGGAGAGGCAGCCTTTGGAGAAGAACGCCTCTTTGAGAGGTTCGATTCACGAGGCGGCGGTACAAGAGGTGGCAAGAAGGGCGGACGCGGTCCTGGACGCGGGCGCGGACGCGGCCGTGGCAGAGGTAGGGGAATTCGGACTAATGGTGGCAGAGGTTGAGAGGCTACACAGTCGTGGGATATACTTGAACAGTCCAACAAGGCAGATGCATCGGGCACAGTGACATGGCCAGTTCCTCCAACATTCGACATTATGCCAGTGATGACGGCAGCGCCGAGCTCGGCCAACCGGCCGTCATATTGGAAGATGAATCCCCAAACCAGTCATATTTTGCGCCTTGGCAGGACGTTTGACATGAAAGAAGTGGGAAGTCAGGTGCACGTTGGATTCGGAATAGTTGCTGCGTCGACCCTCCCTGCTTCATGGAGGAAGCAGACACCCTGTATGTTGCTCGTTTAAAGGAAGCTGTCGGTGCCTAGAACTGCCGTTGGTCTAGCTGCCAGTCACCATCGTCTGCAACGGGGGGATCGGGGGTGCTCTCCTCCCATGCCCGCGTCGTTGTTGGTTGGGCCTTGGGTGACGAGTTTTTATTTGCGTGCAGCCATGACGCACCATGGAATTGGCTTTGTGCGAGAGACGTTTGAAGTGTGCATGGCAGCCGGAAAGTGTGAGTCGTTTTGTGCCGATGCTCATCTTGATTTGATACGTGATTCAACGATGGCCTGGCAGCGTTGACCAACCCTCGCACAATGTTGATACCAGAGGGTGCCTGGACGCACATGAGCGCGTAACACGAAGAATTCAAGTTGTTGAATGAAAATATTCCTCCGAGGTAGTCACACACAAGTAGCCACGAAGATCGACTACACGTGTGGCTGGTCACTCGGATCCAAAGCCCGTTCTCTTTCAGCAAAATCGCTCCAGGGACTCGTGGGCAGTCAACGATCCGAGATACTCATGATTCTTTCAAGAAGTTGAGGCGCGCACGGCCAGCGATCAACAAAAAAGGATGAGAATCGACACCTGCAGGATTCGAACCTACGCACACGAATGTAATGCCTTACTACTGAGGTCATTAGAAATAGGTTCGATTCGGAGCGGTGCGAGAGACAACTTACGCAGGGCACCGCCTTAACCACTCGGCCAAAGTGTCTTGGCTAGAACTCGGCCCGCTGTAAACTTGTATTTGGTTGTCACCGATGAGTTATGAGATGTTGAGAAAAGCGCTTGGTTCGACTGGGGCACAATGATTCGGTAATGCCAGTGCTCGGAGTGATGAGAAGTGCAACATGTCACCTAGAGACGGGTCGGTAGACGAGCAAGCGGTGGACCAGCACCCATGGCGATGGGCAAAGTGGCACCACACGATGAGGTCAAAGACGGCTTCTCATGGGTATCCTCATTGCGCCGTGCGTGTATCGGGCATCCGTGCACCAGCGCCTGGGCTATGGAAATGCCAATTCGTCACGTCTGGTTGTGAGTTTTTCGGCCGCGGAGCAATTGGGAAGTAACGCTGGCCAATGAGGACACGGAGGGAACGTTGGGCAAAGGGCTCTTTCTTGGGCAACACATTTCGCGCAATGCTCAAACCCTCGTCAACTCTACAGGTTCAGCATGATGATGCTCGTAGAGACCACACCGGTCCGCGCTGTCCGCACTGCATACGGCCAGCCCTTCGTGGACAGTCCAGGTTGCCAGATATGTACATATCTTACTCCGTACTCGGTGGCAAGATCAACCACCCCTTGTCCAACAACGCCCCCAACCAGGGCCACCCATCTGCTTGCACCGTCACATTATGCTCATGTCACGCCGCATGACGGAGACACAATTGCAGAACACCACACGCAGCGGTCCGAGGGAAGCTGGAAGGGAAACCCTGGAGGGCAAGATGGAAAAGACAACAGTTCGCGACGAGTTATTGGCTGATCGATCCCACGCAGCCAAAGCCAGCAGCGAACGAGGGGAATCGTGGGAACTCGGGACTGCTGCCAAGTTGCCCGTGTGCAACGCTCGTCAACGTACCCTCTGCTCCCTCGTCAGCTCGTTGCCTGTTCGCATAATGGCTCTCCGTCGCTGTGATTCCGGCATCACGACAGGGAACGCGTGGTCCTGGTGTGTAGTCCGTGTATGAGGTATCCAACACACACACACACACACACACACACACACACACACACACTAGTAAAGTAGAAACGACGCAGTGCCACCAGTCGTATGGGCGCTCTTTCGCCTCGCCTGCCTGCCAGTGATGCCTGCTGGTCCTCGGGAGCATCAGCGCAATAAATCTCCCGAGGCACACGCACACGGGCCCCATCTCCCTTGGCCGTGAAACAATCATTGATGACTGTTGCGTATTCACCTAGCCAAGCCAAGCACCCCGCACTGTAAAACAGTTGCGAGATGAAGGTTATTTTGCCTCTTGACAAGGTGGGGAAAGCACTGGGCACTGGCTGTCAATCACCTCTACCACAAGGTCAAGGGTGTGAGTCGAACACGGTGGCCCCGAACAGAAGAGCAGCCCGTTCCCCCTCCCTACGGCCATCGCCTTGGGCATTGACGAGGTGTTACGGTATTCGTATAGGTCGTCGTGTTGTTGCGGACCATGTCACAAAGGGTTCTCGCATGTCACAGGACTGTTGGAACGTCGCGGTAGGGAGTATGTATGTTGCATGACAGCAACTGCTGCGGCTTGGATGGCTGTGTATCTGGGCACGTTGCGTGTTGATTAATACGTTCGACGTCAAAGTGCTCCTTCCCCTCGTTTCTGCAATCGAACACCAGTATTGACGGCAGCATTTGCGTAAGAAGCCTTGCGTTATGCCGCGCCAGCCTCGGATTCTCCAGGTGTCGTTATGAAGATGGCATGATCAAAGTCGCTAGAAGCACCCACAATGGGCAGTTCCACATAGACTTGGCCGCATTGCGAATGCAACATCAGGGCACCTATCTGCATGGGGGAGAAGAAAGACAGACATGAGAGATATGAGCGCACTTAAGAAGCAGGGAACTTGCACCCTGGCCAGAGGCTGATAAGGCTCGGGTCGATGGCCTCCAATCACCCTATATGAGAGTGCCCAGCGGTGATGTTTCGGTGAAGCACCCGGGATGTTTCACGCAGGGCCCTTCTTCTTCACGGTTGTCTTCTGGGCCGCTCGCAGTGCGGCGCTGGCCTGGCCAGGCATTCATTGTTGCCCATTGTTCTGGAACTAGAGACGCATGCTCAAGGAGCTCGAGCCACGAAGAAGAGGACTGTTAGGACGGGGAAACAGGGTACGGAGTGCTGCGAACTGAGCGCGGTGGAGGCCATGCAGCCACGCAGAATTCTGCTCCATCCACACACGCTTTCTAGGCCGGGTGAATGAACGTGATGCCGGCAAGCGTTTGGTTCGGAACGGCAGGCCTGTATCGCCTACATCGCAGCGGCGACGTGCTCTGATTCTGACCTCGCAACTCCTTTGGGAACCACGGGCCACGACGCCGTTTCCCGCTCGAAGCTGCCTGGGGACGGGCTGCCACACGTCACGATTGCGAAGCCATTGGGCCACTGTAACTGCCGCCTACTTGTCGGATCGTGCTGTGCCACGTTCTCAGGCAGAGTGTGAGAATGACCAGAGACTGATGAGGGACCCCGACGTGCCGCTGAGTCGTTGCATGAGCGCAAACCTGCCCAACATGAGGAAGTAAAGCACACGTTCCCACTGGCGAGGCGCGAACATGGGCGCCGTGCTGGAGTGTTTTGGATACGTGCCGGCGCAGTCTTGTCGTTGTTCATCCACGATATGAGGGCTGGTGGCTGGTTGGTGGCTGCAGTGCGAGGTTTTGCGAGGGCGGTGTGGTTTACATGGCCTGGAAAGGAGTTGAATGAGGAGCACTCAACACTGCAGTTGCTATTATTCTCTGTGCTTGTCGCATATTCGTTGCAACGGCAGCAGTTGTGTGGCGGTTGGCCGTTCAAAAGGTCTTGCTTGATTAAAGTTGCACTGAGGATGTCATGACATCTGAGGCGTGTTTGTGACGTTGATGAGTCGCGTGTAGATCGCTCCTGCAGTTTCTGGACCAGACGAGCCTGAGGTTTCTTCCCAGGTGTTATCGCCTGCATGAAGACGCAGCCCACTCGAGCAGTGCGGCTTTTGGCGGCCTGCTTCGAACGACGACAGCCAACTTAGAAGACTGTAGGGGTACTACCGAAGCAGGTACCTGTCTACTTGATAAGTACCCCGACTATCCCTTAGTACTTTCTTGTACGTTCGTACTTGAATACTTGTGCGGGCGTGAAATCCTCGGGCCTGATGACATGATCTCGGTGCACTCCATGCTGCATCACGGCACGTGGTAACTACCAGGAAGGCTATTTATTAGTCTGGTTTTTTTTTCCTCCGGCATAAATGCAATGAGCCCGGATTATTCTCATGATTCGTGAATGGCAATGTCTTCACATCCCTTGCAAAGTAAAACTTGTCTCTCTTTATCAGTCTGCACCCCTTGCCTTGGTCAGAACTCAAGACAGTCGAGGACAGTTAAGGATACTAGCTACGTACTTTTATTACACCGCACGTACGGAGAACCAAGCACGGAGAGACGTGTGTCGTGGTGTTTCGTCCACTCGAACTAGAGACCAGAAAGGATTTAAAAAGGACAAAGAAGAAAGGAAAAAAAATATAGTGGGCAAAATAAAACAGAAAAAAAAAATTTGCCGCCAAGACTTGGTGTTGGTACTTGCCGTCAACTAGAGCAACCTGTGCCGGTTCGACCGACGCGGCACTTCAATTCCTCGTAGAGCCGATGAGCATGTCTAATAACGCTAGCTCGCAAAGCAAGTAGACACTTCCCTGCACAGAACAAGTATGTTAATGACTTAATGACTCCATACATAGTCGGTACTCGGTACTCGGTGCGGAGTAGACCAGGTATAACCTGGTATCACGAGTTTGTTCAACTTGACCAAAAAAGTCCCCGGACACCATTCACTCGCCAATCAGCCACTTCACTCACCGTGGTTGACTAACGTGACACGCGGCCCGACTTGGTGGATTCAGCTCGAAGAAAGTGCCTTTTTTTTTTCTTTTGGTTTCCTACAGGACAAAAAGAAAAGAAGGAAGGAATAAAGATTGCTTATAGCCGGGTAATAACCCCTAGGCGGTTTTTCAAGCCAGTCTTGCGCATATGCGTGCGCCTTTGGTTGGTTTTCTTTTTAGCCTCCCATCCTTCTCCCAGCTCCGGCGCTTACTCGTTCTTGGCCAAGTTGCACCTTGGCATTCGATCTGTATCTTATGCGACTCGAGCGCCAGGACAAGAGCACCCAGTGCAGTTACGTCGACGCTGGTTAGATGATGAAGTCATGAAAACCCACGTCCACCACACAAAGCAATACACAATTCAGACACGTACGAAACAGTCCATGTAGGAACAGTGTTGTGCGCGCATGCTTCAGCCGCCGCGTCTTGCTGGTTGGTTCCTTCCCATGTTGGCCCCCCTTTCCCTTCTTTTGACACACGCCCCTCCTTTATTATTAGTAATTAAGTATTAAGTTACTACAAACATTGAACATTGAACCCGCCCACGCCACCCCTCGTCCATTCATTTGTTCCCGACTCTGTTTGGCGCGCGCCCGGCCCTTTTTTTGGCTTTCTCTTGTCTGCTCTGAGTATCAAATCAGACGTTGCCTTTGATTAAGTTATAGCCCGCCTGCAACAGAGCACTTGCGCACTTCTAAGCCCCAGGGTATGTGACTTGGCTATCAAGTATCAAGTTTGTTGCCTCTTGCCTCTGATTTCTGTCCAAATGTCCTTCATCATGCCGATTCGTCGGTGGTACGTGAGCCGTATTCCAAGTATAGCTCAAGCTCAGCCCGTCCGTCCATCCATTCTCGTGCCTTGGGGCGAGGCCATGAAAACCCGAATCGCAAGCCCGCGAGTCCCATGAGTCCCATGAGGCAGCAGAACAGGGTTTTGGTTCGGTCCGCTTTTGCATTTCCCAAAGTTCGTCTCTCTGCGTCTATTGTCACAGGCCCTGGCTCGCTTCAGTTCGTTACACTCTGGCCAGAACGGTTGGCTGCCGAACGCGCCTCTCGTCACTCGCAGTTGACGCTTTCTCTTTCTCTCTCTCCCTATCTCTCTCTCTCTCTCTCTGTCTCTCTCTCTCGCGCGCGCGCGCTCTCCCCCTCGCCCCCTCGCCCTCTCCCGCCCGATCTCTGTCGCCTTGGCGTCGTATTGCGCAGTCTGCGATTGCCTGCCGTCATTGACCCGACAGCCAAGACACTTTGCCGTCTCTTTGGTCGTCGCCTTTGTTCATCATCGTCTGTTGTCCTCATCTTCTATTAGCTGGGGCAACCCAGACATTTCGCACCCTTCCGGCCTCAAGCGTCCGGCACCTCCTACCAACTTGCAAAAAGCGAGCCAATTGCCGTCCGGCCCTTTTCCCCTTTCTTCCCTCTCTAACCGTTGGGCCAGGTGGCCGGCTTTGCCAGTTTGACGTGGCCCTCGAGTTTCTCATCATTCCCAAACCCTCGTGTCCTGTTCCGAAACTAGATTCTATCCTGTACTTTTCTCTCCTTGTCTCGCTCTCTCTTCTTCCATTCCCACCTCTGGGCTCCTCGCCTCCTTTCTCCTCGTTGTCTTCGTCCAAGTACTGCCATTGCCCGTATTCCTGGTTATTCTGTTTCGACGCAGGACGGGACCACGACAAAGGGGGAAAACGAAACCACACTCCATCTGCCCGTCTTCAACCCACAAGTAGTACAACCTCTATCTTCCCTCTCTTTTACTCCTAACTTATCGCGAACAAGACAGGCCATTGGAACTCGGGGCCAAACAAGTCCTGGGGCTTGTCGAGGAGTTATCGGCCATTTGCAAGACAACAACAACTTCGCCAGCTTAGCTATATTGACACCTACGGAGACCTATTCCACCAGTGTTGATTTGGTCAAGTTCCTCGCCTGTCATTGACGCGCTTTAGACATCTCGTCGTCTGATTATCCCTGCTCGATTCATTCGAATCTGGGTTTCCCCCCTATCTGAATCCTCTTGCTTCTCTTTTTTGTTCTTCCTGCTGCCTCGTCGCATACTCGACAACAGGCGCCTCCCTCGCCAAGTCCAATTTCCTCGCCGCGCCTTCGCATACGCATACCGGTTTCGCAACTTTTCCCTTGGCGGCCGCGTGCGTCATGAAGGATCCTGGTGTTAATGACACAACGCCGAGTGGGCGCAGGTCGCGGTCTCCGGCGTCAGCATCGCCAAAGGCGCACACGTCATCTGAAGGGGGAGGGGCCGACGCCGAACCTGCACCGTCGGCGCATGGAAAGACTACTTCTGGAGCGTCCTCGGAGGAACCGCCTGCGTCTGAATCTGACGCTCAACTCAAGCAAGAGAATGGTGTTTCGCACGAAACCGAGTGTGCATCCAGTGGAAGCGGCGGAGCCGAGCAGGCGGACAAAGACGAACAAACGCCACCTAGGTGAGTTGTCAATTTGTTTCCTTTCTCTATCCCAGCTCCATTGGTCTTGGGTCTCAGGTCTTGCTTGGGTCTTGGGCCCATCCACGATGGTCATGGTCCACCGGATCTACGACTCTGTGCCGCATCAATTCATTTGGTGGCTTTGTGCACCCTTCAGCTCATTCGCAAACCAAGTACTACTAGTTTGCTCGTGGACCGTGGCAGCCAATGTCCCGCCGGTTTTGCAAGACTGGTCGTGCATCTGGCTGGCGTGCAGCTTGACCACGGCCGGGGGACAAGTTTCGAAAGTAAAAAGAGCCTCGGGAGACGACGTTTTGCTGCCTCTGTCCCCATGATGACTGACGCCCAGGTCCGGCGGTTTGGGCAGTCCCATCCCTGTCGATCTATCCTTGGACTCGAGCGTTCCGCAGTGCGGCCGCGACGGATGGGATGAGCCTTTGTGATGCGTGCGGGCTATCAGAGGTCTGCTGCGGAAACCCAATGTCATGTTGAGAGAATTGTCGACATGCATTGACTGAGCTGGCTGCTGCTCCCTGGACAGTGGACGCCAAGTGTTGCGTCCACCCAGCAAGCACCACGCTGGATCTCGTCCCTGCACTTCTCATTTGCCTTGATTTGCACATCGCTCTTTCCATCTTCCCAATCGCAACGGTTATTTCATGCCGACTGCCAAAACGAGGTCCACTTGCATGACTGATCCGAAATGATACGCGACTTTCTTCACCTTTGACCTTTTTCTTCCCGTATCTCTATGGCCTCTTGTCTTGCGCCTTCGCTCCGCAGCAACCTGGTCCACCCTCAGCACTCATTTGCGCGTTCCGCCACCCGTCTTTCTGTCAGTTCTCAATGAACTGGCCCGTTGCTCTCGTCTGCCTGCAACGAGTCGGAAACCAGACAGTCGAGTGCGAAAAGAGACCCGAAAAGCAGAGCCTCGGAGAAGCAGCTCGCCTCTTGCCATATACCTACCCTAACACTGGGCATCCTCGCTCAATTTCTGGAGCTGCAAATGACCCAGGACCCGGGCACATGTGCATTCTCCACGTCGGCGGTTTTCCAAAAGCAACGTCACTCCCTCGCTGCTCCAACGGCCAGCCAGCGCTGGGCTCGAAGCTGTTTCTTCAACCAAAGTCTCGTTTCACGGACACACCCCGGCGCAGTTGGCACGACATAGCTCAACCGACACATGGGCCACTGGTGTCTGTTGATTCATGCCGTGTTACGCCAAAGGTTTATGCGCGCCAGACATAATTCGGCCCCTTTGACGGATTTTTTTTTTGCCTGTGAAGCCCGGCCTGACTCGCCTCTGTTCCAGTCGATGTAGAGTTACATGGCCATCAGAACACGCGCAGTTCAGAGACAAGTGTTAAAGAGTGCCTTGGCTTCGCTGTGTTTCCTGCCCTCCCTGGTCTCGTCCGAGTTGTAAGGGGAGTCAGGTCACACAGCCTGCAACTGCGCTTTGCCAGGACTTTTGCCTCGTCTGTCTCTTGTGCTTCGCAAAATCCATTCTCGTACATCACGTGTTCGCCGTGCAATGGTTCCTTGTGCGAGACAAGCGTCACCACTGATTGACTCCCCCCCACACTTGCAAAGAAAAATAAGATATATATATATATATGTGTGTGTGTGTGTGTGTGTGTGTATACATATATTCTCTCCTCCAGGCAGCGGCGGACAGGCTATGCATGCCGCAGATGAACCTCGGGGCCTATGACAAGAACAAAGATTTTACAAGAAATGTCGACTAACATGATGCTTAGACGGTTGAATGGCAACAAGAATCGCCAGGAGGACAACGAGGGTGACAGCGAGCTGAGCGATCCGGACAGCAATGTAGCATTCAACGACCTCGAGGACGAAATTGTCGTCCGTGGCCAGACCAGCAGGGGAGCGCCAAGAATGCCAAGCAGGAGCCAGACCTCAGAGGTCAACGAGGACGAGGCTATGGAAGGCGCACCAGAAGAGTCTGCCGCTTCGCATTATCCCAAACGAAAACGAAGTTCCGTCTTTAACGATTTGAGCGAGAGCAAGCTGGAAAGTGCCCACACTACAGCCCCAGAAAGGTCGCCCACTTCGCCCACTAGCACCAACAAATTGAAGCCCAACCGTCAAAGTCTCAGTGGTACAGGGTCGAAGGGCGTTTTGCTCGGAACTTGGAGGGATTCCCGCGTCCCCGATGAGGACAAGAAGCACTCTGTTTTCGGCTTCATCGATATTCGAGATCGCCTACGCACTCGGATTCAGCCCATCACGAAACACGGGGAGCCAGTGGGCGACGACTATCCCCTGCCTCCTGGTCCCGGTGCAAGTTGGGTCACCTTTGAGCGTGTCGTCTTTTCTGACCATCTTGTGGGCCTGGACCACTTCCAGATAAAGGAGTATTGTCGACTTCGATCTGAGGCTGCACCCGAGGAAACCGAGGACGGCCGGGTGGCTGCTGAGCATGCTGCCGTTCAAGAAGCAATCCGCCGCGTCAGGGAGAACCCGGCGTTGACGAGCGCGCTGCAGCCTCCTCCCATCGCATACGGGGTCGATATGCCGGAACACCTTCAACCTCCCGTTCGCCCGGAGTACAAGCGTAGGCGTGTCGGTAGTGGATACGCCGCTATTAGTCCAGCACCTCCGGAGATGGCCTCCGAGCCGGCGGCCATTCCGACTCCGCAACAGTCCATTGCGGCTCATCAATCTCGATTTTCAATCGATCCGCTCCCCGGGACTCGACCGACGCGCATTCTGATAGGATATTGGAAGCCATCAAGTGAAGACGACCCCAAGGATCGTCACGCTGTGTATGGTATTTTGGGTCAGAATGACATGTTCCGTGTCAAGGTGGTGCGAGAGACAAGAGATGGTCGGTTTGTGGACGGCAACTTTCCAGCTGGAGCAGGTGCTCTATGGATTCCTTACGAAGAGGTCGAATTTGAGCCGCATTTGAAGACTCTGAACAGGCAAGAAATCAAGGAATACTGCCGCGTTCGACAGTATCAGCTAGACCGTGGCGAAACTTCTGCTGAGCGCATTGACAATGAGACCAAGGCTGTTTACGAGGCACAGACCAGGGCTGGCACGATGCCGTACAAGCAACTCCATAACATCACGGTTCCCACATTCACAGCTTCTCCACAGACCGATAGTGATGAGCGAATGAATGGGCGACATGAATACGGTGGTCACGAGCTCCGTCCGTCGCGCCGAACTGAACCACGACCGCTCCGGGCATCACTCAGCGAGGCTGAACTACGTGCAAGCCGACTTCAGGGCGGAGAGGCTGTGGAGAGAACCAACACCTTGGCACGTCGTGAAATTGCAAGAGCTGAAGCGGCCCAAGGCCGGGCAGATCGTCATGCCATGCATAGAGAGCGCGCCGCGGCTGCTGCGGCTGCGGATGCTGCCAATGCTGCCGCCGCGGCAGCAGCAGCAGCCTCCAACATGCCTCTTGAGCACCATCCCAACCCCAACGGCCGAATGCTCTTTCACGAAACTGAGGATATGCAACGATTGAACAAGGTATGGGCTCGACAGGAAACACTCCGCATGAAAAGCAGTTTAGACGATGCCAAGATTTACGACGGCGTCAAGTATGAGCGCAGGGCAACTGGGCCTTTCATGGGGAAGCTTGTGTCACAGGGTACGATCATCAATATCGAGGGTGAGGACTATGTCGAATACCGTGTCCTCACGAAGCCTTCTTTTTTCTAAGCGTCGTATGTGCGTTGTTCATCGGTGGGCAGTTGGAGAACGACTGGTAATATTGCGGCCTACATCACGATGGCCATCGTAATACTGTCGCAACCAAGAAATGCCGAACGATTTGCGCTATGCTCCGCTGGCCGTCGGATGCATGGGTTGACTGGAGAGCAGAATGGTTGATTACTTTTTTGTGTCGAGAGAAAGACGGTTGTGACGGAATCTTTTCGTCAAGTTTGCATCTAATACTTGGTTTGCGATCGCAAAATGTGGGCGAGACTAGAATGGTACCACGGCTCGAGCCAAAAGGGCCTGCCACAAGCGAAACTTGTCTTGGTTTTCTTCTTTCCTTTTCTCACGCGGTTTGCCAACACCATTTTTTGATCTTGCTTGCTGCGAGGCTGCGGAAAACAAGGCATTTAAGGGTTTAAAAAATGACCGGGGGACGATTCTCCTAAATTTGGGTTTCTTCTTTTCTTTCAATATTTTCCTATCGTTTTGCTCGGATTTGAGGACTCGCACAGATGCACCGTTGGGGGAAAAAGTTTCAGATTGATGACACCGTCAAAGGTGTCCATGATAGTGAGCGAAGTCGGTTTGCGACGGATTCAGGATGGCAGCATTCCGTGGACACGGAGCACGGAGTTTGGTCTGTTTTATATTTGTGTGCTGTGCAGAGTGGCTTTGCTTTTCGTGTCGGTATACCCAATGTGGAAGACTTGCGTTGGTATCGTATGAGCAGTCTCTTGAAATTCAGAAGCTCTCGAATCGAGACTTGGTCAGGCTTTGCTGTGATTTAAATATGTACCCCTGGTTCTACCTCCGGTCCATGATGCTTCTCTATAACTCTCTTGATCAAGTCCCATTTTGGTTTTCATATTCCCAGCCAAGTGATTCCATTTATTCATCTTTTGAGCCAGTATCTTCAGGCTCCTCATATCCCTCCACCTTCATATCCTTGAGCCCCAGCTCCTCCTCCTCCTCGTCGGTTCGCTGATAATTCTCTCGTTTGATCTTGGGATCAGAGGCTGGCGGATCGACGAGTGGTTGCACGAAACTGCTTGCAAACGGATCCGTCAGAACGACGGTGAATTCCTTGTCGCCCCTGATGGCGGCATCCAGGCCCGCGAAGAAAGCATCCCACTGCGTCTTCTCGGAGGAACTCAGCGAGTCGCCACCTCGTCCCGCGCCATTGGCTTCGAAGATATGGCCGTGCAGGTCGTCGCGAACTTGTGTGAGGAGGCCCTCTACGGTGGTGAAGCGGCCGCCTAGCGTGCCCGGGTTGACTTGGAGTTGGAGTTCGGGGCACTCGAGACCGCACGTTTCGGATTTGAGGATATCACGGGCGAGATCGGTGGCGTCCTGTACGGTGAGCGTGATCTTCTCGCCGAGCTCTGGGATTTCGCCACCGGTTTTGACGTCGTTGGAGCGGTAGCCGCAGTGGTCGCAGACGGTGGACATGAGGACGACTTGTTTGAAATGCGGGATGTCTACCATTTTCATGTGCGTCGTGCAGGGGTGCATGCAGCCGGGACAGCTTGCTGGAAAGCTGTATACTTCGTTGGGGATGATTTCGCCGTCCGCGGCGAGGCCTGGGTTGGTAAAGTCGGCGGGTGTCTCGGAGGTGTCGCCGAGGCCCAGAAGGGCGTTTTGTTCGGGGGTCCGGGTGAATTCGCGCTTCTCCCATTTTCCGACGCCGTCTTTGAGGTCCGGTGCGATGAAGGAATTGCCGGCCGGGTCGTCGACGTAGAAGCGGAAGGGGAACGAGTCGCCAGCAAGCATGGAGCGGCCCTTGGCGATGATGGCGGAAATCTTTTCGGCAACCTCGGGGGATCCTTGTTTTCGGGCCTCTTGGTCCATCTCAAGGTCGTCAATGACGGTGCTGAGCAGACCCTCGACGTTGGTGAGTTGGCCGCGGCCGGGGGGGATCTCCAGATCCATCTCGATGAACTTGACGGTGGCGGTGTCGGACTTGACGACTTGCCGCGAGAGGTCTTGGAGACTGGTGAGACGGAGCTCGTAGTGTGTTCCTTTCGGCTGGACAGTGCCGGCAGCTTGGATCTCGTTGTTTTGCACGTTGCAGTGCTCGCAGGAGAAGGACATGACGACTACTTCACGGAAGTAGGGGATTGCCGTGAGAAGGAGACGGGTGACGCCCTGGGTGATTTATGTCAGTACTTCAGGTTGAATAGATCAGTGGTAATCTTGGTGGTGGATGGACGCACATTCTCGCCGCAGTTCATACAAAGCGATTCAATCTCCTCGACGGGCCGATACTCTTCGTCTTCCTGGGTGTCGCGATCGGCGGGGGCAGAGAAGCCGTCAACCTTGCTGCCGATAGACTCGAAGAACTCGCTCCGGTTCTGCGTCGTCTCTTCCTTCTTTTTGTCTGCAGACATGGTGCTGCTACGCTCTCTGTCACAGAGCCAAGGCGTCCAGCAAGCGTGTTTGGTGATGGTTGCAAAATTTGATGCACGTAAGTCTGCGGCTGCGATTCGGATGGAGGGGCATTGGAAATTTTGGAGGGGCAAATCCACGAAAGTTCCTCGTATCGTACGTAAGTACGGAGCAGTCGGTACAAGAGTAGGAGGATAGCAAGTACCCAGGTACATGTGGGGGTAGCCTTATGTCATTCCAGGTGGCAGTGGTGCCCTCAATGTTGCGCTGGAGGGAGCTGAAGCTTTCAGTGGTTGGTGGACACTCAGGGCCAGGGAGTTCGGAGGTGAAAAAGAGTCGGCCAATAGCGATGCAGCATTCTGACACTATGGGGTTTATAAGTTCCCATTGCCGGGTAGCCACCACGTCGAGGGCAGAGTAGGCGCTTGCCTGGGACTGTGGTTTTTTTATCGTAGTCGTAGTCGTGATGTTTCCCTTGAGCTTTGAGAAGAGGCTGTGTTGGGTGTAGAGCCGGCAACTTGACATGACCTGTCGCCTTATCCCATGAAATCCGCAAGGGAGAGCGAACTAGTTGATTTTTGCTGCTGTCCGCAAAGCAGCGCTTGCAGTCCGCCTTTGCGATTCTTGGCTCTCTGCTTGCTGCTTGCATTTGCCGACATTTTTCGAAGTTGTGGCTCGGCCGGTACCGTCTTGTTGGCGGCGGGCGCTCTTGGTGTCTTTCGACGGGTTGCTGCCTCGGGTGCTGGGAGGCTAATCTTGGTGACTCGACTGCAATGCCCGCAGGTGATCGATTTCGTTGGTCCTGCAGAGGCAGCTTCCAGTTGTCCCTGATTCTTCCGCGAAGCAGCCTGTTTTTGCAGTCTGTGTGTCTGGCGGGGCTCGAGCTTCAACACCGTCTTGTCTCCCGGGATCATGATATGTCCACAGGCGCCGCAGACGTGTTGACGCTGCACCTCGTGTTGAGCCAGGTTGTTGTGGAACATGACGTCAGCCCGTTGCTTCGTCAGATGCGCCGATGTTTCTGGTGCCGTCTGACGGAGGAGATGCGCCGCATCAGTGAGGTAGTTGAGGCCAGACAGAAGCTGATCCGAAGCCATTTTGATGTGATAGTTGCATTGCTGTTGACCCTGGTGTCCACGTTGGCCCGAAGAAAAGGACTTCCTGGCAGGCTGAGCATAGGCTTACGGGGGTGGGGTATCGATAGCGTCACGGCTTCACTGTGCAGCTACCCTGTACCCGGTATCTACACCACGAATCAACATTGTTTCTTCCCTTGTTCAATCGTCCTAGGCATCTAAGCTCTGCGGATCTCCCAAGTGATATCCTTGATGCTGACTTCCTCTCCAGCCTTTTCGTCGTAGTCAAACCATTCTCCATCTGACAGGTCAATGGCTGTAAACTTGGTTCCCGAGTCAGTACCCTCCGCCAGCCACTCTCCCTGTTGCTGACTATTAGAACCTCTCAACAATCAAAACCTGCCGTCCAGGTATGTTCCTACCTCTGGCTTGAACTCGGTGAACTCGAGCCCGCGGCAATCAAATTCAATAATTTTGTGCGTCTTGGGTGGCTCGGATTGTTCATATGCCAATGGGGCCGCTTTGATGGAGGCTGATGATTCACGCTGCCAGATGCTTCAGAAATATATTTCCCGGACAGCCTGATCTCAAGTGTGAAATACCTTGCAGTTTTTGCATCTCCACACAAAGTTGGCTCCGCCGCGGCTGCCGCTCATCTCGTTGGTTTCCTGTGGGAGATGAGAACAAACTGACCATCTGTGTTCATGCTAGGACATGCTGGGTACGCTTACGAAACGGTTCACACCCACGTAGTTATCGTGTGTCTCCCTGCACGACGTACATTGAACCTTGAACATATACCAGAACGGGTTGTCTTGGGTGTCGTCTGGCCGCAGGTTCGTCAGCCTGGTGCAGGGTTAGCTGACGTAGTATCCACGATATTGCCATTCAAGACACATACCCTGTCTGCTCAGCTTTGACGGTTAATGTAAACATCTTGGACGACAGACCAATCCACGCGCCTCGGGTGTTGCAACCGGAGCCTGAAGTAATGGACGACTCGCGTTGTTCTCTAGTCTCTGCGTTTAAAGTCGTTGTCTGTGAGCCACAGGGAAGGCCGGGCTCCCTCCTCAGCCGCCGTCCAGCAGAAGGCGCAGGACAAGTTACCACGTGACCTGAAAACCATCTCCCATTCCCTCAGCGGAGCAGCTCCCGAAGCTGGATTTCATCGGCAAATTGACATCGTCTTCTCCCCAATCAAGCCCGCTCGCCGCAAAACCTGGCCAGAAGCCCTTGTCTTTCCTCAGATGACGAACTGATGCAATCGCTCTGGACTAGAGCCGGCCAGGCTCGGCGCTGCGGGTGCAGGACCTGCAGCACTGCAATTCGTGCTGCTGGTGCACGAGCTGCCGGAGCTGCTGGACGACGCAAAGCGACATTCGCGGAAATATTCACAGCCTGTTACAGTTCGGTCTTTGCGACGGCTGCAATTGTGGATGCTGTGCGAAAAGACGATCGCAGAAGGGAGCTGGACCGGCAGTTGGAGGAAGCTAGAAGGGAACTGAGCGAATTGCAGGACAGGTCACCACCAGCGTCACCAAACGTGGGAGCCAATGCATCAAACCTGTCAATCCAGCAGATGGATACCCTTTGGAAAAGTCTCAAAGATATTTACCGAAACCGACCATTCATGAAGGAAATCGACAAACCGGCTATGATCGATGCATCCGAGCTGATCACTAACTTGAAGGAATCATACTATTATGCCCCAGGAGAACCTTTGAGGTCTCCTCCGAGGCAGATTGACTACGACCAACTGGAAAAAGCAATCATGGCTGAGGAGCAGGACAGTCGAATTAGCTCACGGGAGTCCCTCAATCAAGAACAATTGATTCGCGAATCCGAGAGTGCTGAAAACCTCGTTCAGCAATTGCTCCGCAGAGCCGAGGCACTCGATGACGGCTCAGCAGTATGCCCAACATTCGACGAAGTTATAGGGCTGGCGGCGAAAGGATACCCGAACTTTTCATTTCGATCCATAGACCCAGAAATGGCGTCAAAGAACACGGTAGTCCTGAATAGGCAAATCCGATCTCTGGTCAACGCAAAAGACCTCAGCTGGAAGGAGAAAATCGGCAGAGTTTGCTTCAACCTTCTTGTCTCGCCACATCCGCCTGATATGCATACATACAACACCCTCATCGTTGCCTTTGACAGATTGGGTTGTCATCTCTTCTCCGACGCCTTGGTCTATTCGTTTTTCCACCGGCGGTTGTTGAAACCTACTCCGTCTACCTTTATGGCAATTCTGAACCACTACATACTGACACGTAACCACGGATTGTTTCTTCGTACCCTTGCATGTCTCACTGGGCTAGAAGGCAAGTATGGTGCAAAGATGGGTAGACGACATGTCGAAGACATTGAAGATTGGGGCATGGAGAGATGGGCGGCAAACACGAAGCTCCGAACAAGCACAGGACGTTGGGTTTGGGAACATGTTCCTCTCAATTTACCGTTGGTGGAAACCATTCTAAACGGCCTGCTCCACTTCAAGCTCTTTGACGACGCTGCTTCATTATTCGTCTCCTGTATGCGTTGCGGAGTTGCTCTGAGTACCAGGGCTGTCAAACAGCTCTTTGACGAGTGTATTGCTGCTCTTGATTGGAAAGCAGCGGTGAGGTTGATTCGAGGTTTGTCGGAGAGCCGCAAGTGGCGGGAGATCTTCCTTTTACAAGAAGATATTGGCGCTGCAGCCCATCTTCTTGGCAGGGTCTTTGCTCTGGTCGATCTTTGCGGCTTCAGCAGTTACAGAGAACGAGTCGACACGAGACGCTTGATCAGCTTGGGCATATCGGAGGTCAACCTCAAGCGACTCCTGAGGTTGTTATTGAAAGCAAATCTTCGTCTACCAGAGGCATATGTACAACCCGGCAGCGTTCAAGTGGCCCACACCAGGGGAGGTGACGAGATGACTCGTTCTAAGAGCAGACTGCTGCAACTCGAGAGTATTTTGAAGGAATACGAATTTGTCCGGAAGACTACCCACTCGATTGAGAGCAAATTGTTATATCCCGAGTTTTCGCCAAGGTTTAGAGCATCTATGGCTGTACACATTGGCGCGTCGGCTATTCAAAGATCTGTGCTACTGGCTGGGGAAGTTCAACACATTGTACCACCCAGTGAATCACTGTCACTTCAGTCACCTCAAACGGGCCGCAACGTGCAACCTGCGCAGGAGGAAAGCTTGGTGGAAGAGATGGAGACAATGGCTCTAAACGATGAGTGGACGGGACAACAAGGAGGTCCGAGACGAGGGCAAGCGCAAACGGCCCTAGCAACTGCAACAGGCGGGAGGAGGAAACAGGATGGACCGGTTTCAGAGCATGTTTGCGTTGAACCAAGAGGATTACTTGCATGGCAGCGACCTCCGAACCGAGTCTACGCCGCCGGAAGGCAATGGATTGTTGGAACATGAAGCCACCAATGTATGATACCAAAATGTTGTGGCGGTGGCGGGATGATGGTTCCTCTACTGCCTCGGTTACCTTGGCTAGACAAAGATGTTATTGCATAGCGTATGTACGGAGTAGTTGTGCCATTTATTATCGATATATGTACAGTAAGTATACTCATTACTGCACTGTGCACTGGGTCACACGGAAGCGGACATAACTAGTATGTGAGGCTCCACATGTGACTGCAATTTGCTACCTAGGTACTTAAGTAGGTAGTTCGTAGTAGGGTCAACAGAAACGGAGACGTGATGAGTCAGATGTCGGATTCCTTCAGGTTGTACTCCGTATGGCCCTCAGCAGTCAGCGCGTGTCAATCAATACAGGAAGACCCTGCAAGACACGTTGGTGGAATTTGCAATTGGGATTGGTGCGAGAGTCGTCGATGAGGCGTTGGAGGGAGAAAATATCGTTGGCATCTTGGGAAACTCTGAGTGTCAGCCTTGGTCCAGTCAGATGCTGGTCCTGGTCCACGGACACCAATCGGCAGCCGGAAGTGGTTGGAGGAGCTCAAAAGTTAGAATGCTGAGACTCGAGAGCCACCTCAAGGACGAGGCGGATAGGCACACGCCCCGAGGCCTCTCTCCTCCCCTCTCCTTCTTTCCTCGCACCTGTCGCCAGCTGGCCTTACTCCGTACGCGAACAAGTAAAAAAAATCTCGCATAATGACCGTCTGACGACGCATCATCCACTCTTTTGAGGCTCGTTCATTCTTTGTTCTTGCTCCTCGTGTCTATGCCATCAACCCCGAAGCATGTTATGACTTCCCCACATCTCCATTCGCTTTCTCACGCATGGATGAGGGCCAAGGTTGAAATTTCTTTAAAATCCGGGTCAGGTCCATACGAGGCACACAACTCCAATGGCGTTTTTGTTTTGCTTCCCCATCCTGTGAAGGTGCCATGAATTGGTCCCGATGTCACTGCCCATCATTTAAATTTGTTACGGGACGATAGACAACAACAGGCAACATACCATACGCCAGACGCGGAACGACGAAAAAGTGGTAGCGAGCGAACCCCTACTCCTCTCAAGCGCTTGGCATTGTGGACGCCACCTATATTTGATGGGCTCGTCTCACGATGCCGTCGTCAATCAACAGAAAAAACTAACAGCTGTCGTAACAATAGTTTGGGGGGTTTCAAGACACGGGTGACCATCACGCGACCTTTCGGGTCCATCTCCCTCTCCACCACCAATTCGGTCTGCACTCGGGAGTCGCCGTCCATCATTGCATCTTGTCATTCGTTGAAGCGACTTTTCTCGGCTGGTATTTTGGTTCTTCGTTTCGTTCCTGCTCCTCCTTTTTCCTGCATCTTGCACTTGATCCTGTCCCGCCACTCGACGTGTTCCCGTCCCCATCATTCGCTGCCCGGCCTGGTCCTGCTCAGTCACTGAGTTCAGGGGCTGACAACGGAACACAAGGGGTTCACCACCAGGGGTAAGCCAGAGAGTCTGCGAGTCGCCAAGCGGACTTGGCCCTGTAACACGGCGGCTCAAGAGGTACCTGTGGGGAGAGCGCGCGACTAGAGAAAGAAGATTCCCTGAAGCGGAGGACAGCACTGTCAATAGGATGAAGTTTGGCAGGAAGTGAGTTTTCCCAGGATTCCCGTTTTCCCACTCCAAACTCCAAACTCCAAAAGAAAAAGAAACTTGGAGCGGGCAGAGTCACTGAGACTGGCGCTTGGCTTTGCGCAACTCGCAAAGCCTTCCGCGCAACCAGGTCCCTGAGTGGGCGGCCTCGTACATCAACTACAAGGGCCTCAAGAAACTCGTCAAAGCCCTGGCCCAGAAAGCAAGCAATGGGGAAACGGTAGATCCAGCAGGTGGGCTTCTTTTGCTATACAACCTCGTACTTCAGAGCGAGAAGAATGCCTTTGGCGGGTCTTTTCAACCCCCGGGTCCCCTAACTCGTGACCCTTGCAGAACTCTTCTTCGCCCTCGACCGTAATCTCGAAGATGTCGACTCTTTCTACAACAAGAAATTTGCCGAGGCATGCCGGCGGTTGAACATACTCCACAATCGCTATGGCCGCGTTCCCGACGTCGTTGCCACTCTCGATCAGGATGAGGTTGAGGAGGTTATGGGCGCCTTGCTCGAATTACGAACACAGCTGAGAAATCTGCAATGGTTTGGTGAGATCAACCGCAGGGGTTTTGTCAAGATTACCAAGAAACTTGATAAGAGAGTCCCGCAGATTTCCTATCAACATCGTTACATCTCTACCAAGGTTGACCCGAAGCAGTTTGCCAAAGACGGGAACATTGGCAGATTGCTTGCTGAGATCAATCGCTGGTTATCTGTCCTTAGCGATGCCCGCCAAATTGACGATTCCAAGTCTGACCGCTCTACTCGCTCACTCGGTCGTGCTTCCGCCAAGGCAATGTCCAACTTGCCACAGGACCAGCTGGACATTCTGGATCATGCTGTTCGCAGTGATGACGTCTCATCACTGAAATGTGGACTCGCAGACGCCAATATCGGCCAGGACTCCTCTGCTCAAACGTTGCTGCTCAATCTGCTTCAGCGATCCATCTCTGCCCGTTCTAGGCAGTGCATCACTTACCTTCTCACCCAAGCAAAGGATTTGGACGAGCCAGACGACATCAATGGCCGAAACTGCATCCATCGACTAGTCATTCACATTGGTCGTACAAAGTCTTCGGCACAAGATGATCGGCACCTGCAGCCGGCGGTGTCTTCTGCCGTTCCTGTCAAGGCCATCAACACCAGGGAATCCAATCTCCTTTCAGCAAATGACGAAGCGGTACAACTACTTATTTTCCTTCTAGATCAACTTGGCCAAAGCCAGCGTTTGGCTTTGATGGGTCGCGACTCCCTTGGGCGTCTTCCTTTGCATTATGCTGCCCAGTTTGGATTTGTTGTTGTCTGCCAAATCATTATGAAATACATGCAGGACTGGAACCAGTTTGACGCCAAGGACGGCATTGATGCTCCCGAATGGCATGACAGTGATGGCTTTGCACCACTTCACCTGAGTGTTATTGGGGGCCATCCATTGACTACGAAGGCACTGCTTCAAGGGGAGAATTGGCAGGGAAGCAGCGAAGCCAAGGTTCAGATTCGAAAGACCATACCAAAATCCGGTGCCTCCCTGGCCTTGGCCACAAAGTCCAACTACGAGCCAATTGTTCAAATGCTTGTTGACGCAGGTGTAGACATCAATTGGACGGATAAGACGGGCGAGACTGCCTTGCACATTGCGGCTAGATTCAGCCACGAAGCCTGTGCCCGCATTATTCTCCGTGGAAGCAACTCGCAAAAAGCCGACATCGAGGTTGCCGAAAACTCTTACTCCTGGACGCCTCTCCATGTGGCGGCCGTCGATGGGTCACTCTGTGTTGTACAGCTTCTCGTTGACGCTGGCGCCGACGTTTCCCGGCCCGACGCGTCGGGTTGGACGGCCAAGGAACACGCTGCGCTCCGTGGACACATGGATATCGCTCGTTTTCTAGCTGCTCACACGAACGAGGAGGAGGCTGTTGCGAGAGTCGCACAGGGTATGCAGCAGTCGAACCCGCCAGAGAACTCGTCCATCGATGGAAGGCGCTCCAATGTGCCAAACAGCAATACGCCGCGCCCCGCCGAGCCTGTCAAGACTTTTGGACATCGCTACCTCACCGATGAGAGCTTGGTGCTCGTGAGTCTAGGAACAATGGACATTCGAAAAGCTACAGAAGCTATTCACCTTGACAGTGTTCCTCTCGCCGAGGCTCACAGCACTCAGTTGGACACGGCACTTTCCGTAGTTGTGAGTGCCAATGGTGCTCACGGCGACCCAACCACCATCGATCTTCCAGTTCACGAGGGTATCTCAACGGAACCAATTGTTTTCAAGACAGTTGACACAACCAAGGTCACACTGTTGTTTGACATTATCCCAACCTATTCGGGAAGCGAGAAGAACAAGATTGGCCGTGCCGTTGCCATGCTCTCATCAGTAAAGCCGACCATTGGTTCTCGGCGCATGAATCTACAAGGAGACGTGTGCGTGCCTATCGTGTCCAGCAACCTGGAAGTCATTGGCACTGTCAATTTCAACTTCCTCGTCATTACGCCCTTCTCCCATCCCAATATTGAGATTACATCGCGACAGACGTACTGGAGAAAGCTCTCATCGACCATGCTGATTGGCCATCGAGGCCTGGGCAAGAATCTCACTTCCAACAAGTCACTGCAGCTTGGAGAGAACACTCTGCCATCATTCATCGCCGCTGCCAATCTTGGCGCCCAATACGTTGAATTCGACGTGCAGTTGACCAAAGATCACGTGCCTGTCATTTATCACGACTTTCTTGTCAGCGAGACGGGCATCGATGCTCCAGTACACACCCTCACGTTGGAACAGTTTCTCCACATCAACCCCGACCGGGCCAGGGATCGGGCACATAAGAATGGAGCCAACAGAGACAGCCTTGATGATCTTACCGTCCGACCCCGGAGCAGCAGCTTCGCGCCGCCCAAACGCTCCTTGTCCATGGGGTATGCTGGGACCGGAAATGAACAGATGGAGGAACGCATGAAACATACTAGGGATTTTAAGGCGAAGGGATACAAGGCCAACTCTCGAGGAAACTTTATTCAAGCCCCCTTTGCCACCTTGGAAGACTTGTTCCGCCAATTGCCAGAGGAGATTGGATTCAATATGGAGCTCAAGTATCCCATGCTTCACGAGAGCGAGGCGCACGAAATGGACACGTACGCGGTCGAGCTCAACTCATTCTGTGATACAGTCTTGTCCAAGGTGTATGATTTGGTGGGAAACCGGCACATCATCTTCAGCTCCTTCAACCCGGACATCTGTCTGTGCCTCAGCTTCAAGCAGCCTTCTATACCTATTCTGTTCCTGACGGACGCGGGTTGTAGCCCTGTGGGCGATATTCGCGCGTCATCTCTGCAGGAGGCCATTCGATTCGCCAGCCGGTGGAATCTGCTGGGCATCGTGTCTGCCGCGGAGCCGTTGATCAACAGCCCCCGTTTGGTCAGGGTGGTCAAGGAAATTGGCTTAGTTTGCGTCAGTTACGGCGTTTTGAATAACGATCCCCTCATGGTTCAGGTATGCTCTCTTGTCCGCCCCTCGTTGAAGGGTGGAATTTGTATTGATTGCTGTACAGAGACAAGTAAAGGAAGGCATAGACGCCGTCATCGTCGACAGCGTCCTAGCCATCCGAAAGGGTCTTACGAGCGGGGAATCGACTGGCGACGGATCCGATGGCTCACCCACATCGGAGGACACATTGAAACTTGGCATGGAAGCAAATTAAAGATATATACCCATTCACCCAATCGAGGCAGCTCGATGTAGGCTACTCTAAGAAGCGATATGCAAAGGGCAAATAGAATTTTTTCGGCAGGCACATGAGGGAACTTGTTCCTTGAACAACTTCACAATCGCCAAAGTCAACCGTGGATGGACGATGACAGTTTGACCTGCCTGGCCGACAGGTATACCTTGAGAGCCTGATGAGTTGTTGAAGTGTCGCTGTTGCGAGTGGCTGCAATGATGGTCAAGCATCACCGAGACCATCATGTAAACCAAAGCTCAGTCAGTCATGGGCGTCTGAGCATCCGACACCAAAGCAGCAGCAGCGGCAGCAGCAGCAGCGGCAGCAGCAGCAGCGACGCATCAAGCCGAGGCGCACGGCGAAGAGAAATGGAGCTTGGGAATATCGTCAGCTGGCATGACCCGTATTCGGCGGTAATGGGTTGTTGGCACTTTACTAGGCAGACGCATGCAGCCAGCCAGGAACTTGTTTGGCACACACACACACACGCGCACACACACACACACACCCTTGCTCGTATGACGGGGGTTTGAATACCGTTCTGGGCAACCCGTGCAGCCAAAAAGAGTCAGCCAGGCAAGGTGCACGACACGATGCATCAATCCATCATCAAACCACGACTCCCGTCACCGGGGGGCGGAGAGGTTCAGGCGCCGACGCGCAGCAGCAGCGGTCTGCGACGTCTCTCGGCCGAGTGCGTGCATGTGGTCAAAATGAATCCAAGACCTACATTGCGTCGTTGGGGCTGCGTCATGGCCTCCCACGTTGAATGTCTCGGGGCGGTTGGGCGCTGGCCGTGGCGGCCGTGATGGAGGGAATCGAGGACCGACGTACCCATGGCGAGCTGGAATTGCTTCGAGTCGGCTTCCGGATCGGGATGGTGACGGGCTGTGAATGGGCGTTGTGGGTTGGGGTGACGTCGAGAAGCTTGCGGGGGTTTGATTCTGATTCCGGAGTGTTTATTCCCCTTGTTCTGCTTCTTCCTTGCTCTGCACGTCCTGCTTGCTCGGCTCGTCGAGCGCGGGCTGGGCCGTGCTTGGCGGGTTGGGTGTGTTTTGTTTCGTTTTCTTTACTGTGGAGAAGCGAGACGTGCTGGTTTAGTTTGGGGGTGGCTTTGACGGTTGGGGATGTTTTTGTCTATTTTTTGTTTTACTTTTATTTTCTACAAGAATGGCGGTTCCCCCCCGCGGAGTCCCTGCAGGCATGTTTGTGGCATTGCCGACACGCATGTCGTCTTGAGTCGACGGTGGCCTCGCCTCGTCGTCCAAGGGCCCGTGGCTGTCCACGGACCTCGACGAACGTCGACGAACGTCCAACGTCCTTTTGGCATCGCCAACGCCGTCTCCGAACCAGACGGGCCCCGGAACCCCGACACCCCCTTCTTTCCGTCTTCAGGTGACCACGTTCCCGCACCGGGCCGGGCAAGCACTTGCTCGCCACACGCCTACACGCATGCTGCCAAGGCGCAGGCTGCCTCGTCGTCCCGAATCTCGAGTAGGCAGGCATCATCTGACAGGGTCGACATGAACGACAATGTCAACGTCCAACCAGCCCAACCCGCAACGTTGAGCAGAGGAGCGACGGGTCCCGCGCCTGGTACCCCGTCATTCGAAAACTTGACACCGACCACCGCTACTGGCGCGCTGCTTGCTGGGAGTCCGTGTCAAGTCATCCAGACTTGTCGCGGCCGGATCGTTGTTACCAGCCTGCCCGCAGGGAGTCCTTTGATGCCCTTTTTGCGTCCATGGACTTTGCCATGCATCCGTCGACCCGCCGTCTAAGCTTCAACCTCCCTCGCGCAGGCCGACACGATGCCGGCGCAGTTGGGGAAGGCCTCCAAAACAAGGGAGGGTGTGTGGGTGCTGCAATGTCCAGGCCAGGTACCTGGAGCTGCTGAAAAGATACAACGGTTGAGAGTATCTGGACTTGTTGCCACGGACGCTGCGGCGTTGTGTACGTACGCACATACAGACACACATACATGCGCACGTACGCGCAGTACGGGCGCGCTGCAGCCCAATGCACGGCAAGACGCAGCAGGCGAAAAGGAAAAGGAAAAGGAAAAGGAAAAAGAAAATCAGTCAAAGACGCGTTCCAGCAGGGATGTGGGTTGCAGTGTTCGGATGTGACAGACAGCTCGTGGCCATGGACCGCGGTCGTGGCAGTCAGTCAGTCGGTGCTGGCTTTGTGACGGCGGCGTCTCTGAATATGCTCCGTGCCGCGGGCCACCGTGGAGCACACCGTCTGACAATAACTTAGGCTAGTCTGGTCGTCCCGAGCATCTTTCCGTGTCACCATGCTGTGTCTCCCTCGTGAGACGATGGGTATTTCGTCGACGGCAGAGACGGGGCGCGTGCATCATCGTCGTGGAGCGGCCAACGTCGCGCTCTCCCCCATGGGCCGTGGGCGTCCCGACGAGAGACCACGTTGGGCATTGGAGACGTTCGTCCTTCCTGTTTGACCGGTGCCTGACGTGGCACGCGTGGTGCCGAGGACGCCGTGCCATGGTTCCGAGCCCTGTTCTCGGCCAGCGTCCTTGTTCAGCTCGCTCGCTGCATCGAGACGGCGACTGGGGGCTGCTGGCTTTGTTTTGCCGGACAACAAGAGGTCCTTCCACGCCGGATCCCAAGAAACGAATCCTCCAATATCAGAGTGATTCCAACGCGCTCCTCGACACGTCAGCCCGTCGCGGCGCCGCGGGGGTGGGAAAGCCGCATGGGCAGGGCATGCCGTGCCGGCATGAGAAACCCATGCGAGAGCCCAAGACAGAAGAAAAGGAAGCCGACATGTGTCAGATGCACACATACCGAGCATACAGTAGTGCCGCTGCCACCTACTCCATGCTGCATGCCCCGAACCACCCATGTGTATGCAGGTCAGCAAGCCGGACGGCCAGTTTCTCGGCACGGGTGGCGGCACCCCAACATCTTGGCCAGGCCTGCAAGAAGACGTCGTCATGGGTCATTTTGTTCAGTCGTGCAGTGCACCCCTCCCTGCTTTTGCCATCCACAGCTCCTGCTTCTGCGGGCAAGTCTTTGAAATCGTATTGGTCCGACTTTTGCTTTTGCCGTCCACGGATGGGTTGGGTGCGGGCCTGAGGTGAGGGAAAAGGGGGCTGCCTCGTCCGTCGCCAGGGCCACACGACGGATGTCGTTCTGCCGCCATTCCGCGCTGCTCGCTGCCCTCTCACTGCACTGGTTCGCAGCATCTTGCAAAGCAATGCAAAGGCGGATGCTACCGCAACTCCCGGTTGCGGTCCCGGTCCCGGCCCCGGCCCCGGCCCGGCCCATCACCTGTCATTTTCCCGCGCCATCCAGGACCACAAGACCGCAAGTCCGGGTAATGAAGAGCAGGGCCAGGCTGAACAAGGCCCAGGGAGCCCGTCGTGCCTCGTCCATGCTGTACTGAACTCCGTACTCCGTCCCCTCTCAGCCAGCCAGCCTTCATTTTTTGCCTACAGTGTGAGCCATCACATTGCCGTCAGTTTTGAATACCATGCCGCCGCATGTTTCTTGCATCACGCTGCTGAAGCCTGCGTGTGTCGCATACTTTTTCCAACTTGCGCGCGTTGCAAGTCGCCAGTTTCTCCGAGTTTCTCTTGTCGTCCCCGTCCAAAACACTCGGCGACCGCTGACAACAGTGTCGGCATGCTGCGTAGCTTCTTCGGCGTTTTGTTCTGTTGACGACGTCTACGCGGCTGGCTGTGGTTGGCATCACAATCCAGCCGACGAGGCGCAGATGCCGAGGCGTCCCGAGTCGCACCTCGTAGTTGCACCAAATTCCCGGCACGTCTTCCAAGGCACAGCGATGCCATCTTTGGCAGGGTCGTCGCTGACAGCTCTTTCGACTCCAGAGCGTCAGGTGCACGTCTGCCTCTTGGCGAAACAGCACTTCAGAGCTGGGCTGCGCATCGCTGCCAACGCCAAGTTGGCACATTCATTGTCCGTAGTTGAAAATGGCGCTGTTTGGCATCGCAGGTTGTGAAAAGTCCATACCGAGGAGGCGTCTAGTCCTTGCAAGTCTGGAATAGAAAGACGTACAGTCACAGTTGGTTCCTCGGTTGGAGCGCTCACATCCTCTGTCATGTGAGTGTCGGATCATGGCGCCACGACATCAGAACCAAGGCCTGCTTGCCGCCTTATGGCTCATTGGTAATTACCATCCAGACTGCCGGCCAGCCAGCCAGCCAGCCATGTCTCGAGATGCCGCAAAATCACCGTCGCTTACGCCAGCAGAACTACAACACGCCCTCGAACTGAAATGTCCGAGGTAGTCCCCGACATGACTGTGAGCGCAGCACCTGCACGGGGCAAGCCTGTTCAAGTCCCAGTCACCTGTGCCTTGGTAGCCTGCCTCAACTAGGGTTAGCCCCTGCATCTTCGCTCCTTTATCCATGACAAACCTCTGGAATATCCGCCTCGGTCCTTGCGACGACGGGCATGCAGGCTCCGTTGCACACGGATAGTGACCGGTCAAGAACATCGACAACAACTGTCGGCGAGTCCCCCGATCAACTTCTGCGGTGTGACATGTCTGCCGGCTGCATCATGCAGGCCAACTTGGGATGAGCGTGCAAGGCCTTTGCTGTTGACCGGTCAACTCTTTCTGGACTTGAAACAGAAACTGCATCTGTGAGTCCAGTTGTGAGCAGGCGACGGACTTGATGTTCCGAAATATATTGCGAAATCTCCTCGTAGCGCAGAGGAGGAGGACGCCCTGGAAGCCTGTGGTGAAGCAGCAGACACCACGGGCCATGTCAATTTCACGCTCGGAATTCCATGAGACATGTACTTCAAGAGAGGCCTACCTGTCTGCTCTGGCTTGTGATGATGTACTTGCACTGTACATGTTCGGAATACCCTCATCTGGAAACAAACGACAATGGCACCTTTTCGTAAGGCTTAGTCAGACGAAACAGGCACGAGTAACTAGGATGGATATGCAGAATTACCTGGCAAATTGCGTGCAAGCCCACAGGA